GGGGGGGGGGGGGGGGGGCAGGTGGTTTGGTTTTGCGCGTTAGTTCCGGGGCGGTCGAGTCAGGCTCCTAGACGCAGGTCTCGTGCTCGTCGTGGCACTCGAGGCGGGACTTGTTTTGGGGTCCTGGTGCTCGAGACGCGGACGCCTTATATGCGTGGCTTCAGGCAGGGAAGATCGGGGGGGTTATGGTCGGGGCGTGTAAAAGGGTCTTCATTTGCTGCAACGAAAGACATTTGTCTTGAACAACAGGATCTATTCAACACATCGCCGTGGCTGCCGCTTCGCTGGTGGCGGGTTACGTGGACTTACACACTATAAGAGCGAGGGGGATGGGCAGGGCAGTGGGGAGAGTAAGGGTAGTGTCCATAGATAAGGTTTGAGTGCTTGAACTTGAAGTGGTATTGTCTAGTTGTTATACTCCAGTCTAATATCCAACCTAGCAAAAAATAGCAACGACGAACCAAGACAAGCATAAACAACTCTACAAAATCAACCATATCCCCTGAAACTATCACCATAGCAGTGAAATGACTACCCTAGAGAACCTCCTAGACACCAAGAGACCCCCCCATCAGACAGGTCCCGCCCCCCACCCGTCGATTGAACGTCTTGCCCCTATTCCCACGCCCTTCTCTGCATGGACGAACCCTACTTCACACCCCCCGACGTCACTACCAAGGCACGGACCCCCTTGACTGCAGCAGGGCGAAACCTTATCTACCCGTGTCAACGGGAGTGCCAGTCACCAGGCGAAACCACGGAGCAAGCCAACCTGGCTAGCGAGACACTGGAACCACGGCCGCTCTCCCAAAGTTAGCCGGGGAGAGGCCGGGGCTCCAGAACAGCGATGAGAACTGGGAGACGGGGCGGAGACGGGAGACGGGTGAGGCTGCGGCACACGCGCCCGACTGACTTGTTCTGACCCAATATCTATGTCCGGTCGGCGCCCGTCCCGGTCCCAGATCAGACCGCGCTGAGCTTGTCTCTTCTTCTCTCGCTCTTCCTCGCTGTTCTGGTTCTTGTTGCTGTGGTGTTGGGTTAGTGGCACAGCACAAGCCAGAGAGAGTTGTGTTCGGAAGTGGGCCGTTGCGTACCATCCACACCCACTGCTGTGCTTTCTGGACGGCGAGTTGTGGGTAGGGCGAGTTGTGGGTAGGGCGAGTCGTGGGTAGGGCGAGTTGTGGGTAGGGCGAGTCGTGAGAGGGGTCGAAGCCCTGTTTTGTAAGAGCCTGCTGCTGCTGGCTCAGGACTTATTCCGCTGCTCGTCGCCCGGTTCCCGGTTCCCGCTTCTGGAACCTTCTTCTCCAACCCGCTCCACTTATGTTGGCGGGTTCGAGTACCCGCCAGGCCGTGGCCGCAGGTCATCCAGCGGGATCGGCGAGGGGTACCGCGGCGGGAGTTCCGCCGGGGTACCGGGGTCGTGGCGGGCGTGGACGGGGGGTGGGGGGGTTGGGCCGAGGGCGGCGGCGGCATCGGCGGCGGTGGGCGTGTACGCCGGGGGGTCGACATTGGCGTTGCCGTCGGCGTCGTCCTCGACGGGCTTGTACGTCGGCGGGGCCTCCCCGAGCTCGTTGAGCCCCTCGTCCCGTAGGCGGCGGCTCTCCTCGCGGGCGTGGGCGTCCATGGCGGCGGCGGCGGCGTCCCCGGCGAACGTGCGCAGGTTAACGCCGCCGGTGGTGGTGGTGGTGCCGCGGGCGCGGCTGCGGCGGCTGCGGCGGCTGCGGCTCGCGGGGTCGACGGTGACCCCGGTGAACGGCGGAGCAAAGATTGCGCTGCTCCGGCGGGGGCCGTCTCTGCGAAGGCTGCAGATGGCCCGGCGAACCCACAGCGAGAAACCCAGGGCTAGGCCCACGATGATGGTGACCGTCACGGCCACAACGACGCCCATCATCGGGGCCACGGAGTTTTCGGGCACAGAGTGGCCCGTGGCAGCGGTGGGGGTCGAGGTGGTGGTCGCGGCCCCGTGGGGGTGACCAGGGCCGGCGACGACGAAGGTGCTGGGCACCGAAGAAGGGATGGCAAACATCGCGAAGGGTGGCTGCGAGTTTGCAAAGAATGTGGTGGGTACGGGCTAGGTACCGAGAAGTCGTGGAAGAAGCGGAGGGAGTGACGATCTAGATGTGATGGTCGAGCCTGCTTCTGATGGATGTGATGAGAAAGGATGGTCCATTATGGGGGAGAGAGCCGAGGGTTATATACGTTTTGCGCTTGCCATTCTGTCTTTGCGATTTTGGGTTTGGACGGTCCAACAGCAAGGTTTGGCTGAGCGTTCGTCTAGGAACCTAACGGGATATGCTGGCGAAGTAGCCAGGTGGACATCACCGGTGAAGCGGCGAGCAAACCCTAGGGATTAGAAACCCGAAAATCAGAAAACCCAGCAGAACCTAAGAGGACCAGGCGCATCGAGCTGCATTTTGAGAAGGTCACCGACTTGCAGGATGGGCCCAGACTCCCGCAAAACCTGTGGATCCCCATCGTGCAGTAGTATGACGAGTATTTCATGGTGTCGACAGACGTGCCCGAGCCCATCCATGCGCACGATGGGCGAGATTAGGTAAGGGCGAGTTGATAAGTGGATTTAGGTTCTGACAAAGAGTTAGTTCGAGCTCTGGGTTGGGTCTGGGACAACTCTACCTGTTACTGCTCTTCAAATGCTTAATATAATGGAGTGCTACGAGATGAGCTAGAATAATGAACATCACAGTATCGGAAGTAGACGGAGTTGAGCATGATAATGAATGCCAATGTATGGACATCTCGCAAATAAGATACACGATTACACAGATCTAAGAGATTCTGAGTTTTACTTGGACGGTTAGTTAGACAAAAATGAGAACTGGAGTTGTTTGCTAACCTGTTTGAGTTTACAACGTTATGAAGAAAATTATTGCTTGAGACTAAGTCAAAATAGACACAACTTGATGTCGATTCGAGTTTGTAGAACATCTCGACCTGCGAGTTTGACTCGTTTGCTCGGTGAACTGATCTATCGTAAAACTACCGTTAGAGCGAGCGTTAAGAAATGAAGGTCCTAAAATCCTCAGTAGATTCATTGTATAGGATACACATAACCGTCAAGGCAATCAATTGTCAGTAAAGTGAACAAGACATTGAGACTCGAAGTTGTTCAAGAAGGAACTCGGACGAGGTCGTCTGTTCCGAAAAAGGAAACTAAAAGTGGACCCACATCTGCCTGGTCTTGGCCCGAGTTTTGATCCTGGTGGGACTAACTATTCAAGACTTTATTCAAGACCGTTTCAATCCTCTCCCCTAACCTGACCAACGACTTACCATCCACCATCTTCATAAATTTCACGAGCTATTCAAGGAACAACAGTATTATACACCAGAACTTTCCCTCGGCCATTCCGAGAGCGCTGGCACCATGGTCAAGGCCGTCAGGGGTGAGTTTGCGATTCCAAGTCCACTGTGATCCCCGTTACGGCTGCGGTCTCATACATCACCTTTCATCAATAATGTAACCCATTTACTGACAAACACCCCCAGGCGTCCTCGTCGAGTGCGAACCCGCCATCAAATCCATTCTAGTGCACATCGACAGCACCCACCACCACGAGTTCATCATCGAGGACCTGGACGACACCCACTTGTTTGTTAAAGAGACCATGTTGCAGGTGCTCAAGTCCAAGCTGGAAGAGGTATGTCTGCCGTTTTATTGTTCTACTGGGGGGTTTTATTGCTCCACTCGGGGATTGTATTGCTTTACTCGAGAGATGCTGATGCAATGATTATAGCGTCTGAAGGAGACGTACCGGCCCGAGGAACCGTTGGAGGATAGTGAATAGGAGGAGCTCGACTTTTACGTGTTTGGCGAGCATCGATACCCGCACGCAAAGTGCTAGTTAATTACCATGAACGACATGAGTGCATAGCAGATACCGATACAAATTTTGATTACTACATTCGAGTAGTCTTCCCATTTTTCAGTTTGTACGCCCTTGTATGTACATCCATCTCGAAACTCAATCACAATTTCTCAAACGTCGGCTTCCGCTTCTGGAGCACCGACATGAGAGCCGCCGGCACGTCGTTGGTCTGGAGCGCCGCCGCATTCCACACACCAGTATACCTAAGATCTGCGAGGTTCCGTCAGCATACACACAAGCAACAAACTTAAAGACTCCAAGTCAGGGGGGTACATACTATCCTCCACCGTATGATCCCTCGCATGATTCAACAACTCCTTAGTCCCCTGCACAGCAACCGGACTCTTCTCCGCGATAAAAGCCGCTGTCTTCAACCCCACCCCCAACGCGGCGGCCTTGGAATCCAACACCTGGCTCACAAACCCCACGGCCAACGCCTCCGCCGCGCTGAAGTCCCGCGCCGTCAGACACACGTCTTTGACCCACGACTGTGACCCCACGGCTTTGGGCAGCCGCGCAAGCGTGCCGATGTCTGCTGCTAGCCCGATGTCGACTTCTTTGACGGCGAACCGTGTGTCACGCGCGCAGAGCCGGATGTCGGCGCAGCAGGCGATGTCGATCGCGAGGCCCAGAGCGATGCCATGCATTACGCAGATGACGGCTGACGGTCGGAGGTCAGTTTCCTGAATATTTTGTAGAGGGAGAGAAAGAAAAAGAGGACATACGCTTCTCACACCTCTCAACCGCCGAAATACATCCCTGAAACTCCGCCACATACCGTCTCAACGCAGCCGCCTTCCTCGCCGGATCCAAGTTGGCCGCTTCCCCATCACTGCTGAGAACCCCACCCTCACTAGCGGCTTGCACGTCCAATCCAGCCGTAAACGCGCGGTCGCCGGCGCCCGAGAGCACTATGGCGCGGACGTCTGGGTCTGTGGAGAGTTGCGTGAAGACGGAGCGCAGCTCGAGCCACATGGCTTCGTGGAAGGCGTTGAGTTTGGAGGCGCGGTTGATTTCGACGTGGGCGATGAGGGGGCGCGGTTGGGTGGTGGTGAAGTATTGGTAGGAGGCGTAGGCGGGGAGGGCCATTTTGACGGTGTGTATCTCGGGTTTGGAAGTACTTCGTATGGGATGGTTTTCGGTATGGGACGGGGTTGAGGCTTCGTGATTGTATGTCGTCGAATTGAGGTCGAGTCGAGAATGGTATAATTGGTATCTACGGCGGCGTCTTTGCAATTTGGATGTCGTGAATGGTCTGAAACTCAATCGCCAGCTTGGAAACCCCAGGCGATGCCATCTTTAGCGTGGTCGTCGGCCGAGAGTTGACACCGAGAATGGAGTTGCCGAGGCCTAACTTTCAGTGGAGGAGGGGCCGAAATGGCAGCGGGCCGAAGCTGGGAAGACAGGGGTGCCAGGGGTCCTTGCGTGGGGATGGCACGTGAACGGTTAATATTGGGTTTGAGAAGAGGTTTAATTACATCTCACCTTATGTAACTAGAGTTTTTACGCAGTCGAAATACTTGTCTGTTGGGCACCCACAGAGTAAGCTTTCTGTCAGGTTCTGTATGATCAAGACTTCCATCTCCTTGGACCGATAAACTGCTGTCTTGAGCGGGATGGTAGACGATATCTGGACTATTTCCGGCGCAACTTGAAATCAAACCCAAGACCCTGATCGAGAGATAAACAACCTCCCACCGATGGGCAATGAACAGAGTTATCTTTCCGAAACATGGCGCATGGGCTATAGAATTTTAACTAGTTAGAATTTTAACTAGTTAGTGTAAGCGCTCAGCTTTCCCGGCGCCACGCAAGCAATGCTGTAGATCCTCGTCGTCAAGAAATCGCCGCAGTGCGGGAATGCCAAGGTGGCGTCGTCCTCCTCGATCCGCTTCATGCAGGCACCGAGTTGCTAGCTGTGCTTGTTTTGAATAGACGCCTTGTGTTCCTCGGTGTATCCATTTCCATGTGTTGGGCGGGGTTTCTCCCCACTACCGTGCTTGTAAACCCGAGAGCAGCGCAAACTTTGACGGGCATAAGACCGAGATGCCCGAATCTGCAGATGGTGGATGCCCGTCTTGGGCTTGAAATCATTACGCTCTCAACAATCCGGCAGGCTGATGAGTGGTTCCGATTTGGCCAGTGGGAAACGCCGGCTGTCCGTTGCTTCTGCGGAGTGCAGACCCACAGCTGACAGCCCACTCTTTTAGCTTTGGAAGGCACAGCCCTGGAAGGCGGCTGGCCGGGAAGGCTGCCCTGCATTTTCAACAGACGTTCATCCCGGCAACTTTTTTTTCTTTCTCTACCTTGCACTTGGTTTCAACGTTCTCGGTTCGCGACAACAACTTCACGTTGACTACCGTTTCAACCGTTGGTTTCGGCCTTTGCAGCATCTGTGCAAGGTGTGACGACACCGTTGGAACTCCGCAGAGAATCCGAGCAACGGCATTCCACGCCCCTCGTCCCCGTTCCAGAGGCTCTCGTCCCCCAATCAGCGGCCGACACTCCCAAAAGCGGTGCCGCTTGCCGGCGTTGTCGCGCTTCAGCCCCCACTGCCCGCCATCGGCCCAACTGGCAACAGTCAAGTATTTTCCCCTTGGCTCAACCACAGACGGGCATCTTCTCTCTTACGGTCCGGAATACAACATTCCATCGTAACGTGCTCGCTTGCCGCGACAGATCACTGACGGCACTGCATTGGACTGCATTGCACTGCGCGAGCAACGGCAGCCGCCCACTCATTCCGGCCCCCGTTCCCGTTCCTGGAAATAGATCCAGCCCATCCCGTCACTCACTCACATCCACCCAACAACATCCAGTGGCTCTCTTTTGCAACGGCGCAGGAAGGCGTTGGTTAGACCATGGGAGTTCCACCACGCCGTGCACCGCCGCCTACCACCACGACTACTTTTCTCCTTTCTCCGTCCTTTTCGCCGCCCGTTTAAGGGACACGCAATCGGCCAAGAATATTGGTTGCATTTGCATTTCTTCTACCTGAGGTTGACGGCCGGCTGAAAACTAGAGGGCTAGCTTGAACCCGTTGGGCCCGCCCCTCACACACCCGCAGCGTTGCCCCCCACTTCATCGTGCCGTTGCGCTTGTCCGCTGCTTGGTTCCGATTATCCTGGCCTGGGGTCTGGCCCCTCAACGCCATCCATCGCCTCGCGCACCCCCTCGTTCGACCGACCTACCGACCGGCCGACCGACCAAGTGACCGACCGACCGATTAAGCGGCCGACAAACGACCGAACGGAGGGTCATCTGTCCGACGTATCGAGGCCACAATCGTCCTTTTTCTCACCCGGTTCTCTTTGTTGTTGCAGACGGCAAGAACCAAAACCAAAACCCAATCACCGTCACATCTGTGAATCGCGAATTTGATCTCGAACGAGCGTACGATCCCGTGCCGATTGTCGCTTCAAGACAAACTCGTGCGGCGGGACGACCGCCATTGACGAACGATCATGGCGGCGTCCAATCCCAACAAGCCCGACCTGGGCGACATTTTGATGGTGATTCGTGAGTGTTTTGTTTTTATCTGATTCTGATGTTGCGCAATCGGAGTGCCACTACCAATGCTTGCGGCGTTCACGGTGCATGTGCCTTGCAAACACTTTGCGAAATAAAGGGACGAGAAAGGTGACTGACTGAAGACCCGCCCTCCAGATGATTTCCAGGCCCGCAGTTCCGACGAGTTGACCCTCACGAAAGGCGACCGCGTGGAGCTGCTCGAGCGTGATGATGAATTCGGCGACGGATGGTACCTGGGGAAACACACGAGCAACGGAAACAGCGGGTTGTTCCCAGAAGGTATGCTCTGCCAGATCGGTTCTTGACCGGTGTCTAGCTAACTTGTGATTTGCAACAGTCTATACACGACCCATACCGAAGAACAGTGCCGCTCCCCATGTCCTCTTGCCGACGAAACTGCCTGTCGCACCCCTCGCAGAGACCACCAACCAGCAGACCCCGCGCGGCCCGAGCCCCGATGCGGACCACGAGAGCAATTCGACCCAGGCGCGCGAGTCTCAACCCGTCCCGATCGCCACGCTGTCCCTCGACTCGTCGACAATATCCAGCTCCAGTTCTCCCCCATACTCTTCTAGCCTCCCGCAGCCTTCCAGCCTTCCACCATCCTCTAGCAGCGTCCCTGCGACGGCCGGCTCTGGCCTGGGCAACACCACCCGCCCAGGCACCAGCGGGGACAGCCATGTCCTACACGAGACGCTGAACGTCATCGACGAGCACATTACGGACTTCAACTCGCCACAGCCCAATGCGTCGTCGGGGCGGAATGGGAACGACTCGGGCAGCGAGTACAGCTCGCACATGGGCAACCGCATATCGTACATCCAGGGCGAGGAGACGGACGAGGAGGAGGAGGGTGCGCACACCCGCGCCGAGGTCGAGTCGTGGAATGCGGACCAGGTCGCCGAGTATCTGTTCACGGCGGGCGTGGAGAAGCACCACTGCGAAGTGTTCCGGGACCAGGAGATTACGGGCGAGGTAATCCTCGGAATGGATCAGACCTCGGTGTTCATCAAGGCACTCGACCTGGGGTCCGTCGGACGGCGGCTGAAGACCTGGCAGAAAATTAAGCAGCTGCAAGACGAAGTCAACGGAACCGGATTTGGCGGGCTCAGCACGGGCAGGAACACGCAAAACTACGGTAGCGACGCAGGCTCGGATGCGGGGAGGGTTCGCAGCCGAACGAACACGATTACCAGCTCGAACCGGTTTACACCCATCCACGAAACGATCGGGTCGACGAAACGCGGGTCGCAAAGCAACAGCCACCACAGCCAGCCGAGCCACCAGCAAAACCAGCACAATCCGCACATCCACGGTAACACCACGCCCAAGATGGAACCCTACGAACCGGGGTCGCCCGCCTCGCCGCAGATTGACCTGGGCCGCGCGTTCCACGAAAAGTACCACGAAAAGCGCCCGTCGGCTGCGTCCGTACGGGATTTGCACCATTCGCGCCGCCACTCGTCGACCGATTTCCGCGGTCAGGGCTCGCCCCTCAGTTCGTCCGCCGCCGTGGCGCCGCCCAAACCGTCAGCGAGCAGCACGGGGCTGCTGCGACAAGACGGCGCGCCGCATAAGAAGCAACCGTCGTTCGACCGCAATTGGACTCTGGGCGCGGCAGCGGGCACGTCACCACGTCCCCTGTCGTCTGCGGGGCACCAGGACGACGAAACGGCGGAAATGGAACTGACCGGGGGTGTTTTAAGTGGGAACAGCAGCGAACTGCAGGACTCGGCGGTTGACATGGACCGTGGCTATTTCTCAGGTCCCGACGTCGAGGGCCGACGCCGCAACCTGCTTAAGAAGCGCGAAAGCGGCCTGTCGTCGTCGTCATCACCCAAGGCTAGCTATACCGAGGAGCAGCGGATGCGCAGCGCGACGGGTATGTCGAGGCATTCGCGGCTCGGCAGCACCGAGTCGATGCGCGAGTCGGCGATGCTGTCGCCCGCGGCGCAGAAGTACTATGGTGTGCCAGCGTCCAAGTCGAAACGCACGTCGTCGATGGCGACCACCGACTCGTTGCGCCATATGACAGGGTCCAAGGAGAACGTTAACCCGACCGTTACGCGCCTCGACAGCAACTCGTCTGACCATTCGCAGTCGCAATCGCAGTCGCAGGCACGCTCGTCGCCCAAGTCGGCTATCAAGCGGCTCAGCCAGGTGCACCACCCAGACTTTAATGTTAGCATGATGCTGCGCAGCGGCCTAGGCGGTTTGCGCGCAGCGTCGGACGCGATCACGGGTGGGGAGAAGGCCAAGTTGTCGCCTATTGAATCACCCGTCGCCCGCGAGTCGCCGACTACTACGTTGTACTCGCCTGCTCGCACAGGGTCTAGCACGCCCTCCAAGGGCGCGAGCTTCGATCTCGAATCGCCCGACGCTACCAAGAGCCCGAGCACGGCCACAACGGCAACTGGGGCAACAGCGACGACCTCGACAAGCCGCACCAACCGCAAGAAGACTAAACAAGAGACGAGCGCGTACACGCGCGGCCTGCAGGCGATCAGCCCGCGTGAGGCGATGAAGGACGCCGACTACAGCGGGTGGATGAAGAAGCGCAACGCCAACCTCATGACAACGTGGAAGCCGCGGCTGTTTGTACTCAAGGGCCGACGGCTGGCGTACTACTACTCGGAGGACGACGACCAAGAACGCGGGCTGATCGACATCTCATTCCACCGCGTGCTCCCCGCCGACAACGAGCGGCTGACAGGCCTCCATGCTACGCTCACGGGGGTCTCCAGCTCGCCTGCCATGCCGGCCGGCAGCCACATGACGACGCTCGCGGAAGCCGACGCCGGGCGGGATCCCACTGCCGGCCTTGGTGGGAAGGATTCAGATAACAACATCTTCATCTTTAAGCTGGTCCCGCCGCGCGCGGGCCTATCGCGGGCCGTCAACTTTACCAAACCCACGGTACACTACTTTGCCGTGCCGAACCTCACGCAGGGCCGCCTGTGGATGGCTGCGCTGATGAAAGCCACCATCGACCGCGACGACTCCCAGCCGATCACGAGTACCTACCAGCAAGAGACCATCTCGCTGGCCAAGGCGCGGAAGATGCGGCATCGGCCACCGGCGCTGATGGGGTTGGAGGAGAATGCGGGGGATAAGAAGGGGGCGAATGGGAGTGGGAAGAAGGATGGTAAGACGGGGTCGGGTACAGCGGCGAGAGAAGGGGGTGATGATGAGGAGGTGGATGATCATGGGTTGGGGATTTATAGTGGTGGTGATTTGGAAAAGTTTGGGCTGCAGCCGCATCCGGAGAGTGCGAGGGGAGGGGGGACTGAGACAGAGAAGAATGCGTCGGTGCTGCCGCAGAGCGCTTAGGTGGTGACTTCGGCTGGTGCGTTCTTTTAGGCGTCTTGTCCTCGGTTGCTCTTCGGTTGGTAGGCATGATAGGAAGGAAATGGGGAGGGGTGGAGTTTATGAGGGAGGTGGTGGCTTACAGATGGATGAACGAACGGGGACAAGGAAAGAAGGACAAAGGGACAGGAGGAAGAGATATCCAGCCGGACCGATACACCTACTCACCTACACACCCACCTACGCACTCGCCCGTACTCACGCATACCCGTACGCATACCCGCACGCATACACCCACAAATACCCGCACATTACATACCCATCCATACCCTCGAAAGACCTGAGGGTGTGGTTCGCTGCTGCTGTTTTTCTCGCTTTCTTTTTTTTGATTTTTGTTGTTTTTTTCCCTCCCTCTTTTGCCCGCGTCTTGACTGGCCCGTTTCTGGTTGGTTTTTTTGATGGTCCTTAGGAGCGGCCGGGGGAGGGTTAGCTTAGCTTAGCTTAGGTTGGGGCTCAATTTTGATCCGTCATGGCGTGGGTTGGCCTTGGGTTTTTGGTTGTTTGCTTGCTTCGTAGTGTTTTGTGCCCATATTGTGTGCAGTTGTTGTAACTTTGCCCAAGCTCTGGCAACAGTTCTATGTGGGTTTGGAAGTTGATCTCTCTTTGATTGCCTCTGCCGTTGAGAAGATTTGTGTCAAACTTGATCCTCCGTAATTTACTCTTGGCAATTTAAGTGGGCCTCCGGTCCAGCGCGCCAAGCACCAAGTCGCGTCCGAGCTTTCTCTGCAGCTCTGCGCGCCAAGCGAAAACTGAACCGCCGGACCTGAACCAAATCAAAACCAAACCAAAACCAAAACCAACGAACCCGACCTGCAAGAGGCAACAGCAACAATCTGCGTTGCCCACACGTCCGGTCGTATTTTCAATTACGAGGCCAAAAAAGCAGTCGCTGGATTTAATCCTCGCGACTTACTCCTCGCACCGCGTTTGCGAGTTGGCTGTGGAACAACTGATTTAGTTTGTTTTGCAGCTGCCGCTCTGCATTCGACGACCCCGACCAGTTTCCAAGCGAGCGACTCTTGCTTTTCTCCCGACTACCGAACAAACGATCGCAACCGAAATCAACTCACCCAACACAAACGAAAAAGGCCAACCGACCATGTCCAAGCCCTTCAACTTCCACATCCCCTCGTCCTCCATCTTCAACCCCGATCCCGAGTCCGACAACGCTCCCAACCCAACCACCTCCAACACCCTCGGCAACAGCATCTTCTTCGCCCCCTCCACACCCGACCGCTTCGGCACCAACACCACCAATAACCGCCAATCCACCGCCTCCCAACACAACGCGGCCCCGTACACCGGCGCCACCAACCGCTCGACCACACCGTCGGGGCCCGCGCCTAGCGAGCCGGACTACCGCGGCAGTAGGGCGAGTAACAACAGTGATTTGAACGACGTGTCGACGGCGAGTTTTACGCCGGCTGGGGCGCCGTCGGAGCGGTATTTGGGTGGGTCGATTTTGAAGGGGATGGATACGAATACTGGAAGGGAGCGGGGGGAGCAGCCGCCGAAGGGGTTGTTTGCTAGTGGTGGGCCGACGAAGGGACTGTTTACTAGTGGTGAACCGGCTAAGGGACTTTTTACGGGTGGTGAGCCGGCGAAGGGGCTGTTTACTAGTGGCGAGCCGGCGAAGGGGTTGTTTACCAGTGGCCAGCCGGCGCAAGGGCTATTTACCAGTGGTCAGCCTGCTAAAGGGTTGTTTACTACCAATCAAAGCAACGCACCATCCGGTCCTTCGCCCGCCGCGCCGGGACTATTCACCGGCATCGGCGGTGGGTTTGATTCAGCCAGCGGGTTTACAAGCAACGCCGGAAACACCGCGAAGAAGACTCTGTTTTCCAACTTGGGCGGCGACGGCGGGGCCGGACCCAAAAACACACCCCTCGGCCGATCGATCCGCGGGACGGCACACACGCGACAGCCGTCAAGGTTGAGCAAGTCGGTTATGGTGGCTGAGGAGGAGGAGGAGGAGAGTCCGAAACGGGCTGGACCATCTAGCGTTACAGCACAGAAGGCTACTACTGCTACGAGTGCTGGCGGGCGCGGGAGGACGTTTGGTGTGCCGCTGGATGAAGAAGATGAAGGGGATAGCGAGTATCTGGACGATGCGGATGCGGATGGGGAAGGGGATATGTGGCTGGATATGCCGGAGGAGGGCGGTCGGTCTGGACCGGGGGATGAGTCGGACCTGATGATGCTGGCTACGCCGGCGGCGACGGAGAGAGTGCGGCGCGAGGCGGAGGATCTTTTCCGGGCGTCGTCGTTCCATACCGGGACGGGTGCCGGTGTTGGTGCTGCCGCTGGCTCGGCTGCGGGCGCGGCTAGACGGCGTGAGCTGCGGTATGCGGCGCTGGCCAAGGATGTCTACCAACGCATGGGCACGGCTGAGTTGACGGAGCCGCCTGAGGTGATCCTGGACACGGACAAGCTGCTCGCGAAGCTGTACGACGAAGGGGTGGGTGCCGGGGATGTTGCGGGGGAGGACAACGACGACGACGGCAAGCTGGACGACGCGCTCGCGACGGTGGCGAGCAAGTTGGTGGGGCTGTGGAAGGATTATGTTGATACGCTGCCTGCGCCGACGGGGCAGGACCACGCGGTCGAGATCGGACCCGGCCCGTATGCCACGGCCTTTGAACAGGCGCACTACCTGGCCAACCTGGCGCTGCAGGTCCATCATACGCGGTACTACGCCGAGAACAACTACGACGGAGATAAAAACCTGGGCCGCGCGGAACCACTTCCCGAAACGCTATTCCGCTGGCTGGGCGAGAACCACGACATGTACGGCCACCAGGTCGACGAGATCCTGCGCCACCGGCCCAGCCCCGCATGCCACTCGCTCTTCTGGCAAGCTGTCTTCCTGTCGCTGCTGCGCGGGCGAGTCGTCGACGCCGTGCGGCTGCTAGACAACGCAGGCTGGGGCCACGTCCGACGAGGTTCCTCTTCTCGCGTCCCTGGCGGTACCGGCAGTGAATACGCCTATACCGGCCGGGCGCTAGAGAACGTCGAGCGGGCAGTACACGAGACCATAGCCGTGCTGGAGACGTGTCCCGGGATCGACGGGCAGTGGGAGATCTGGGCCAGCGACTGGAACTTGTTCCGGGTGCGGGCACGGGCCTCGCTAGAACACCTGCGGCGGTTTGCTGAGGGGAAGGACGCCGCGTTTGGGGAGCCGGGGTTCTCGTCGCCGGGGGATACGAGAGGTGGGAATGCAAACCGACTTAAACAATCCATGGCCGGGCTGGCGCGCCGGGCTGAGAGCCAGGTGCCGTGGGATATCTACGAGAACCTGAATGTCGTGTTTGACATTGTGCTCGGGCAGGAATCAGCCATCCTCGAGGCCGCGCAGGACTGGCTGGAGGCCACCGTCGGATTGTTCGGCTGGTGGGACGAGCGAGCCGCCGGCGGAGCTCCGACAACAACCGACCGGCCATTCAACATGTCGCAGTCCCTCTCCCGGTCGCAGGCGCTGGTGTTGCCCGGTGGTGCTGCTGGCCAAGGCGATACCGAGAGCTACCTCGACCGACTGGCGCGGACCTTCCACATGGCCGTCGCATCGGACTTCCACTTCAACTCGCAGAGCCCTGTCGAGGTTGGCATGGCGTGTGTGTTTGAGGACAATGCGAAAGGGGTCATTGGCTTGCTGCGTGGCTGGTCGTTGCCGATTGCGGCCGCCGTGGCGGAGATTGCGTCGCTGGGCAAGTGGCTGCCGCCGCATCAGTTTCTGTTGTCCGCGGGTGGCGGAGCCGGTGGTGCGGGTTGGGGAATGGGGGATCTGGATATGGATGATTTGGAGGTGCTGGGGATGGATCCGGGTGCGCCGGCGCCGGATGAGGTGGATGGGATTAAGGATAGTACGCTGGTGCAGTATGCGCAGGCGTTGGCGGATTATCAGGGGTTGAACTCGCAGGAGGCTGAGACGGAAGAGAAAGATGGTTGGGAGCTGGCGATCAATGTGCTCGGCCGGATGGATGCTTCGGAACGGTCGGAGGAGGTCATTCGGGAATTGGTCGAGGGGTTGGTCAGTGAGTTGCATGTGGACTCGCGGGCTACGGTTGATCGGCTGTGGTGGTTGCTGAATGAGCTGGGCATGATTGAGTATGCCGAGGACACGACCGAGGTAGGTCCCTCACTCCGAGATGAATCCTAGACTTTACCGTACAATACTAACAACAACAGACCTACGGCAACATCCTCGCCCGCGACTCGCACCGCTACGGCGAAGCCATGTGGTACTACGCCCTCGCCCACCGCCCCAATAAAGTCCGCGAAGTCATGAACCTACTCATCGCCTACTCCCTCCTGCAATCCACCGCCTTCCCCCCGGCCGCCGATCTCGACGACCACCTACGCCGCCTGCTCGCCGACCGCCAGCAGACCCTGCAGCAAGCCGCCGCCCAGGACGTCGAGGCCGCCGAGCTGCTGGGCAAGATGCTCAGCGGGTATGCGGCGTTGCGTCAGTTCTACGATCTGCGCGATAATACCGGGTTGACGGACACCGAAACGGGCTCAGTAGTCCTAACCGAAACAGCACGCCGCCAACAAGCCGCCGCCGCGCTAGTCAGCGTCATCGCCGCATCAGACGACAACATCCGCGGCGGGCTATTCGACCAGACCCGCGACGGCATCGTCAGCGAAGATTTCCTCCTCGCCCTGCTCGGCGAGGCCCTGGTGTTTGTCTCCAACCCGGACGACACCAGCGTCCATCATCTTGGTGGTCATCATCCCACCGCCGGTGGAACCGCCCGTAGCGGTGCGGCCCTCTCCCTCGAACAAATCGACACCCTCCTCAAAGCCATCGAGGACTTGCAAGCCGTCGCGCCCCGCGTGTACACAGCGTGTGATGACTTCTTGAAGCTTGTGCTTGCTTCCGCACCAGGCGGTTTGAAGGGTTCGACGCCGGGGGATTTACTCAAGTCTACTACCTCTACCACCCCCAATAGTCACGGCAAGGGTAAAGGAGGAGGGGGGAATATGATGGCGGGTAATTCGCTCGTGGCGAGTCAACTGCAAAAGTCGTTGAGTGGGGGGAAGGTGTTGGCGCTCGGGAAGGTGCCGGTGCCGAGGGGATGGGATTGGAGGGGGGGTTTGGTGGCGGGGACGGAGGGGGGGACGGTGTTGGGACGGTTGAGGTTGGGGTTGGCGAGGGATTTGGCGGGGTTGTGGGTTGAGGGGTGGTGATTTGTTTATTGAGGGTGTGTATTGAGTGAGGGTGTGTTGTGTTTGTTGTATTGTAAGGTATCTGGGGGGGTATTCGGGGGATGGGGGGTTGTCGTAATTATGTATTGGGATACGTGTTATTACCAGACGATAAGCCGTGAGTTGAACTGACGAGTTGAGTTCTATTTGTGTATTGTATGTACCGGTTGGGCTTCGGTATTAAGGATTGCCGGGTTGAACCGACCTACCTAGCTCCATCATCCACTTATCCTTATATCTTCCATTTATGTCGGCCGTTTCACTTCCTGCCCACCCATTCCCTTCTATCTCACCCATCTAGACTCCCAACTCACAACCCCATCTCAACCTACCCCCCTCAAATCAACAACCAAAACCTCCACCTAGCCCTACCTACCATCCATCCATTCCCCCAACACCAAACAAATCTCCCTACTCCAAAAATCCCTCACCCCTCTCCTCCTCCTCAAAAACCTCCTTCCAACTCTTCACCTCCCCATCCTGCCCCTCACTCTTAGACTCTCGCTGAAAAGTCTTCCACCCAACAACATCCCCCCCCCCAAAATTCCCATACAAATGCGGACACCCATTCGTGCCCGGCACCTCGTCCCACTTCACGCTTGCCGGATCGAAGTTGGACAGGCGGAGTTTGAGGATGGTGAGAGTGGGGGTGGTGGTGAAGAAGAGGGAGGCTGTTGTGGGTATCTGGTTCTGTTTTAGCATTTCTTGGGACTAGCAGGTTGGTTGTGGCATTGGGAAGGGGATGGGGGGAGTGGGGAAAGGGGGAAGGGGAAAGGGGGAAGGGGAAAGGGGGAAGGGGAAAGGGGGAAGGGGTAAAGGGGGGGGGTAAAAGCATACCTGCTTGGCGGTGCTGAGGTGGACGAACCCGTCTTGTTGGTCGAGGGGGGAGAGGGGGTATGGAGTTGGGATGGGTGAGGGAGGTGGGGTGGGGATGATTTTGTAGACGTATTCTGGGAGGGGGGAGGGGGGGATGATGGTGGACATTTTGGGTTGGTGTTGCTGTGGAAATTGTATGGGTGAGTTGGTCAGTGTGTTGGTAAGTGGTTGGTGAGTTGGTTGAGTAAGTTGAATTGTGGAAGTGGAAGTGGGAGGATTACAGAGTCCCCGCTTTTGACGTGATAACACTCTGCAACCTCACTTGCTTACTTTAAGCAGATAGGACTTCAATGCCGAGTAAGTAGAAAGCTGGGGGTTAGTATCGTACTTAACCTACGGCAAGTCAATTTTCATGTTAACAGACGCATGTTGATCAAGGCGCTCTTCATATTCAAGTCTGCACATAATTGTTCTTGCTTTCGTTTGAACGACTCAATTCTCAAGCTACCCCAGCTTCGTTCTATTTTGGCTCAAGGGAACCCATGACTGTGGAATCTCTGGCCCAAGTAGTAGCGGGGCAATGCTGAGTTAAAGGTTGTCAAGCTCAAACTACTCAAATTAGTCTAAGCAAACCACCTTAATCTGAGAGAACAAAACCGGAAGAAGTGTTCAGTCCTAACTGCCGAGCCGTGTACAAGAACCCGGATGCCGTAAAATCTCCGAGCTGGCCGTGCCGATGAAATCACAGGGAGAAATAGGTCCCGCTGCGGGAGTATACTTACGGAGTTTGACCTCGGACCCCACTTGGAGGGGGCGGGGTCAATTTGTCCCGCAGACACGCCCCAGAGCTCCAACAGCTGTGCTCCTACCTTTATTTTCCGGAGAAGCATCCCAAGTTCCATTGTGTTGCTTGCTGTGGTCTCAACACTCGAGTTTTGAATTGACTGGAGTCTCATCCATCAGTTCACAACCAACATGTCGTCCACGGAAGGAAAGGTGAGCATAAAGCACAAGAAGCACAAAGAGCAAATAAATAAACCCATGACGTCGTCGAGAGCGACAGCCCCGCGCCTCTAACAACGTCTCGGTTGCTTTGTCTACATGAACCACGCTAACGGCTCAGACCATCACCTGCAAGGCGGCCATCGCCTGGGGCGCCGGCCAGGAACTCAGCTACGAGGACGTCGAAGTCGCGCCGCCCAAGGCCCACGAGGTGCGCATCAAGATCCATTATACCGGCGTTTGCCACACGGGTTGGTCCCTCCGTCCTTCGGTCCCGCTTTGGTCCCTGCATGCCCCGACACCTTGATGGCTGACGGCTGACGATTGACGACTGACAACTGCAGATGCCTACACCCTCTCCGGCAAGGATCCCGAGGGCGCCTTCCCCATCATCCTGGGACACGAAGGCGCCGGCATCGTCGAGTCCGTCGGCGAGGGCGTGACCAACGTCAAGGTGGGCGACCACGTCGTGGCCTTGTAGTATGTCCCTTCCCCTAACCCCATCGACACCACATCGTACCCGATTCGAGGCTAATGCGTGCCGGCAGCACCCCCGAATGCAAAGAGTGCAAATTCTGCCTCTCCAACAAGACCAACCTCTGCGGCAAGATCCGCGCAACCCAAGGCAAAGGGCTCATGCCGGACGGCACCACCCGTTTCCGCGCCCGCGGCCAAGACATCCTGCACTTCATGGGCACCTCGACCTTCTCGCAGTACACCGTGGTCGCCGACATCTCCGTCGTCGCCGTCCAGCCCGACGCCCCCATGGACCGCACCTGCCTGCTCGGCTGCGGCATCACCACGGGGTACGGCGCGGCGCGCATCACGGCGGGGGTGGAGAAGGGGAGTAATGTTGCGGTGTTTGGCGCGGGTTGTGTGGGGTTGAGTGTGGTGCAGGGCGCGGTGGCCCAGGGGGCCGGGAAGATTATTGTGGTGGATGTGAATCAGGCGAAGGAGGAGTGGTCGACGAGGTTTGGGGCGACGGATTTTGTGAATCCGGCCAAGTTGCCTGAGGGGAAGACGGTGGTGGATCAGTTGGTGGAGATGACGGATGGCGGGTGTGATTATACGTTTGATTGTACGGGCAATGTCAGTGTTATGCGGGCTGCGCTGGAGGCTTGTCATAAGGGATGGGGGCAGAGCATCATTATTGGTGTGGCTGCCGCTGGGCAGGAGATTGCTACGAGGCGTACGTTTTTCTATCTCCCGCCCTCATATTTAGAATGGTTGGCATTTACTGACAAAATGCAGCATTCCAGCTCGTCACCGGCCGCGTGTGGAAGGGCAGCGCCTTCGGCGGCGTCAAGGGCCGCAGCCAGCTGCCCGACCTCGTCAAGGACTACCTCGAGGGCCGCCTCAAGGTCGACGAGTTCATCACCCACCGCAAGACCCTGGCCGAAATCAACGACGCCTTTGAGGTCATGAAGCAGGGCGACTGCATCCGGGCTGTGTTGGATATGCAGAAGGCGTAGGAGACGTCTATGATACGTCTACGATGACAGGTTGTATCTATGTATGAAAAGAATGGACGTGGAAAATGTGAAGGTGACGGGATACCAACCGAGTTTGCTCTTGGGAATGTATTCTCTACAGAATGGAATCTTGTGCAATAGCTCCCAGCCACCTGTATGGTCTCAATACGAATATGACAAGGCCGTACGTCTACTGGCGGGCGTCACTCATCGTGAAACAACTCGAGTATCTTGCCTACTAGTGTATTTAGCAGGATCGTCGCAGATAGACGAGGATCATTGATCCGTAAGACGGGCATGGAAAGGAGGGCTTCCAGAACTATTCGAGCTATTCCCCTCTGTGGCGATAGTGAGCCTACGCAAACCATCTGATGATTATGCCTGTTCAACCCACAACTCCTTGACCCTGTCAGCGCTGCGCTCGATCGTGGGGCGAGAAATAAAAAAAGTAAAACGCCACCGGAGAAGCCGACGCCATGACCTTCGGCGTCGACGATCGATACATATCACGAACTACACTATATCGGCACTTTGTGCTCTGGTACGATCTGATGGCGCTGAGGTGAGACAAGTACAAGACATTCATCGTCTTGTTTGTCTGTCTATCCTACCCATCGATTCCGGGACCGGGCTGGACCGGCCGGTCTCGGGGACAACGATTCGGCGACCGTTTCCCCGAAATGGCAGGATTGAGGTTTGGGGGAGCGTTGCTTTTTAAGGTTCAAGTTGGGATTTCGGCGACTGGGTTTCGATGGTTTCCACTATGTACACAATATTGCCCGATGCAAGGGCCGGAAATAAACGAAAGAAGGAAAAGAGTAACGGCTAGGATCGAGACAGATCGAGGGTTCTAGCCGATCCGATCCGGATTATCGACGGCTTGGAATCGGTTCTCGGACTGGCGCCGTCCCCGGGGTTACCGTTAAGTTAGTTAGTCACGATTCGGTCAGTCAATTCCGTCCCATTGTGAGAGAACTTTGACACAACCATCTCCCACAGTCGATGGAATAATGGTGATGTCTCGCCTCCCCTTCAATTCTCGCCAGCAATTCCTTCACCCCCAAACGGGATGATCCCCGACAGCGAACATTGGGCAAATTCAACCAAGCGGGCGATCCGGGCTACTGTGGCGGTCAAGAAAACGAAGGGCCTTGCTTGTTTCTGTTCTGTGCGATGATCGCGTCACTGTTCGGCACGTTGGGTTACTAGTTATGACCGGGTCCATGGAACATGGGGGTTGGGAATTGAAGCAGGGCGGGCCATGGACGGCTTGATGGCTCGATGACGTGGGGCTTCCTTAGCCCAGTCTGGAGTGCGAGAGTTGAGGTATCAGTAGGGCATCATAGCGCTAACGTTAAAGGGTTTGCATGTCCTTTGAGGGTGTTGATGAATGTTGGATTTGCGTTAGTTGGCGTCGTGTAACTTGACTCGTCCCTTCATGTTGGGCTTCGATTCAAGTGCATTTAGCGGCTCATGGATGAGTCTGGGTTGACGAGGTCCTTCGCGCGGACGCCAAAATCTTGGTTGGCCCCCATGCGATCAGATGTTTCCCCAACGAGCTGCCAGGGCCAATGGCTCTCCGAAAGTTGCCGACTTAGGAAGCAGTCAGGCAGTCGCGCGCTTGCGCAATGGGGTGAGGTCGTTCTTTCCTTTATCACGCGACTCAACGGCTCGAAGGCTGTAAATCATGGCCTTAGCGGGTAAGGTAAGAGTAAATACGCGCCCAAGGGCACCAATTGCAAGAGAAACTTTACGTCAAAACCGCTGGCGGGTTTGAGAAAATGACCTTTCACTGCCAACGCTTCGACCTCAACAAAGGTCTCAGTTATCGGCGGCCTGGAACACACGCCGGCTTCATGCCGATTCCACGATCCCCTCAAAGCTACTCTTTATACCTTTCTCTTTCCGGCCTTGATTTTCGGTCGTGGCAACAGGCCGGGCAACCTATCCCGTTTTAGTAGCATTAGTGTATGCGTCGGTTTTCGGAACTCTTCGCAGAACGCTGTATCGGCAAAACCATCGCCACTTAATCATGAAAGATCTTGTCGTCCCACGTTGCAGACATCGGATCATTTGCGCCTCCCCCGGGACATCGGGCAGCGACTTCGCGGGAGCCCGTGGGATCCCTCCCGCAGGCCCGGCAGCGCGTTATCGTCGCTTGGCGATTGATCGGTTGGTTGCGCCGCTGGCGGATCGCGGATGCAAAGGCCGGCCGGATCGCGGCATGAGAGGGGCCCTGCAGGCGGGTATTTGACGATTGAAGGTTCCCCGTATCTTGCGTCAGGCGGTCCATTTCTGGCATCACGACCCAACGCCTGTGAGATGCACTGGGAGCGCCGCGGCTTTTGGTGGAGACAGCGGACAAGTCAGTGGCTTGAGAGTAGACCCCGGCTCGGCAAGCCCCAGGTGGACCCCGTCTCCAACTCGCATAATAGGGGGAAGCCTTGTTAGGTTGTTTGTGAACGGGCAGCCCGCCACGCAGCCTGGTTGAACGGCGCTTCCATGATAGTGGGGGTGCCTGGACCGCTTCCAGGTTTTGTACCTTCGTACCTTCTCGCCCCTGGACCGCCTCGCCGGGGCCAGCTGTCCAAGCCTCTCTCCAAGGGCTTCCACTTCGTTCCAACTCCGTTAGCCTTTCATCAGTTGGCCACCATTGCCCGGGATCAGAACACCACGTGAGTGCCTTGTTGTCTCGGGCAGACGCACCTTTCAGGCTTTCACCTCCACAAGCCCGCCGGGGGGACGTTCCCGTCCTCCTTTATAACCCCTTCCGGCCCTCCATTATGGCCGCCTGGTCTTTTGACCTCTTTGCTTCCCTCCGACTCATCGACTTGCTTGACTAGCCGACTCACCGACTAATACCCGCCCGCCCCCCTTCAACGACGATCTTTAGATCGCCCTCTCTGTCCAACACCCAACCTTCGCCTTATCTCCTCACCCGTCTCACTTACATTTACCGCCCACACCAACATGGCCAAGGTCAAGTGCTCGTTCGACGACTGCAAGTCGGCTGCCCAACGCATCGTGGGCGACTGCACTTTCTGCAACGGCTCGTTCTGCAAGAACCACCGGCTGCTAGAAGACCACAAGTGCCAGAACCTCGAAGACGTAAGTTGCTCCTCCTCTGGTTCCTCTGGCTTACCCGCCCCGTCGCAGTGGTGGCTGGTGGGCTTGGCTGGTGTGTTACCCGAGGACGTGCTGGCTGACCTGTTGTCGTATCAGTGCAAGCGCGAGGCTTTTGAGCAAAACGCGATGCAGCTTAACAAGGAGCGGACGCAGGTCATCAAGACTGCGTGAGCAGGACGAGGAGTGCCCGTTATCGCGGCGATAGGCTCTCCCTCAGGGGACTGCCTAGGGTCCGGCGAATCGACCGATCCGTACCAACCGATCGACCGACTGGGACCGCAGCGATAAAATCGGCTGGCGGGGGCCGTGAGAGTGGGCTGCGCGCCTCGCTTACACGACCGGGAACCGCCGACGGCGATGCGACGGAACCGAACCGGGCTACCGAACGCATCATTTTTACTTCTCGTTACTCGACATCACAACCCCGCAACGCTCCACGAATATCGAACGAGCGCTACGAATACGATTCTCACATTCGCCATTTTTCACACCCAACATACCACACAACGGAGGCGGGGAGTTTCTGGGTCAGCCTGGAGTACTCTGGGAGGCATGATTCGTGGTTTTTATGTTCCAATGATATTTATTTGGCACGGCGTTAGGGCAGGATGATTTTGTTATTTGCACATTGTGCACTTGTCAGTACTTTTGCAGGATTTGGATTCCCAAGCTGCGTTTTCAATTTGTTGAAGCGCCAGCTACAGTTTTGGGACAGGATGGTGTAGGAAGGATCTGGGCTCTTTTCAGCGCTTAGATGAAGACGAGGTTCGCTTCATAGAGCCGCCACTCCCCAGCTATGTTATACACTGCTAGTGTGGCGCGAATCCGCTGCTGCCAACACATTTTTTTGGTGTTGGACAGAACAGCTGGACAGACGTAATTGACAGTCTACCAACAATTTTTCATGATTGCCCCAAACTGCCGTGTTTCGTTCTTTGTGCTATGTAACATTATTGTTCTACTCTTACCTTTGTTACCCATCATCACATTTACCATCCCTCCTCTTCTTCTACGCTATTATCCACGGCACGGAACCAGCGGGTGCGCAACACTTCCAAGTTGGATGGAACCGAGCGAGCCGAGCACGCGACGATAGACAGCTCCGATATCGTATCGGATCGGGTGGGATGACTCGACGCATGCCAAGCCTTGGGGGATATTGTGCATGACCCGATTCCACGGGGCCACGGGGCATTCTCGGCATGTGGGGACTCAGTCAGCGACCGTTACCGCTTGAATGCGGACCTTGAATGCGGACCTTGAATGCGGACCTGCAAGGTGAGGTGAGAGTGGGGTGGGATTGTGTATTGGACTTCGTATTGTGTAATTATGGTGTATTTGGTGGTTGTGTCTGACTTTTAGAGGAATGATATAAAGTGCCTTGATTAGTTGAACGGGATAAGACAAAGGTCATTGACAAATGAACAAAAGAGGCATTGTGTCAGGTGCCTCTTAGCTAATTAACCGAAACAAGGGCAACAATGGGCCAGTTCACAGGGACAAAGACATCCTGTAATTGTCTAGTAGGTACTTGATATACCCAACTAGCTATTCCAGTCATCTAATCTGGATGCCGTCCTGTTCCCTGGCCCGACTGGCCCTGCCAGCATTACTTCAGTTTCGTTCCAGTTTCACACTCGGACTCTTCGCCTTGACAACGCGCCGTATTCCAATCTCCATCTCTTCCTCCCTTTTGACACCCTGACCTGCCGATACCGTAACGCCTGTCTCTTGCTTCACTGCTTCTGCCTCCTCTTTGGGGGGTATCGAATTCTCAGTCTTGACAGGAGGGTGGACTCCGTTTGTTTCCCTTGTTTCTGACTCCAATTTGACAGCGGGGCTCGCCTCGGTGACAGTAGTTTCGTTCCGATGACGACCTCTTTGGGCCGATGCCTCGTTCTCTTCCCTTTTCACTTGCACTCTCCGGCGAGTGGTTCTAGCCGGCCGAGGTTCTTGTTTCACGACCGTAGCGACGGCTGGTTCTGATGACTCCTCTCCACCGCTCTCCCTCTTTACCTGCTGCCCCGTTTCCGCTTCCTCTTTTATTTCTAGAGGCGCGCTTCTCGTAGGGCGAGACCGGGGTAGCTTGCGTTCCTCCTCCTCCTCTTTCTTGACGGCTATATCCTTCTCAATACTGGGGATAGGCTGATCTGCACTCCCCGCGCGTTCTGCCATTGTCTGGGCCAGTTGCATTTGGATGTCGTCCTCTTCCGATTTCACTGGAGTTGGCTCTTGCTTGAGCACCGTAGGCCCGGGCTCCGATTTGACGGGTGGTGCTGGGTGCGAGCTGGGTTCTTCTGCGTCGGCCATGTCGACATCGATCGGCTCCTCTTTGATCCTAGGGTTTTCGGACGCAGGAGGTGGTGGGATAGGTTCCGGGGCAGGTCCTTCCAGTTCCATTTCCACATCCTCCTCTTCCTTCTTCAGTACCTTGATATCCTCCTCTTCCTCCTCCCCTTTGACTCCATTTTCCCAAACCACCTCCTCGACGTCCACAACCTCTTCCTTCTTCACAACCCCCCTTTCCTCCCTCTTCTTCCGCCCCGCCAAAACCTTCCCCCTCTCAGCACTCTTGCACAATCCCTTCAATCCCACTTCACAATCCCCACATTTCCTACCTATGGGCAAACACACCGTCTGGCCCAGCCCGACAAGCAACCAGTTGATCTCCTTCCACTTATCGCGCGGCAGCCACGATTCGAGGGCATGGCGTGTTTCCTCCGGGTTGCGCGAGGGATTGGCGCCGTTCCATCCCCAAAGATTCGTGATGCGGTGTACGTGGACGTCGACGCCGATACCGAGCGTGGTGTTCCAGCCGTGGGTGGCCGACATGCAGAGGTGGGCCATCTTGGGGCCAACGCCGGGGAGAGAGGTCAGGCCTTCGATGGTGGGGGGGATGTCGGAGTCGAATTGGGATTGGAGGAGGAGGGCTGTTTGTTTGAGGTATCTATGCGATGGGGTTGTATTAGCCACGGCTGAACCCAAAACTCCAGACAAAAGGACAAGAATAGATTGGGATGAAAAGAGGGTAGAGGGTACGCACTTCGTCTTATTATTATGAAACCCCACCTTCCCAATCAACTCATTCAACACGGCCGGTTCAACAGCCAACATATTCTCCAGATTCAACCCCGCCGGCTTCCCCGGCTCGTACGGCGGCAGCTCTGTCTGCAACCGCGCCATAGCCTCGGCATTGACCGTATCCTTCGTCTGGCTTGACAGCATCAGCGCGACAAGCGTGTGAAACCGTCGGTCGCGGGCGCTCGCGTCGGGCCGCGCCAGCCGCTCACACCCCATCGTGTCCACCGCGGCGTTGGCTGCGGGGCCCGTGAGACGCATCTGCTTGACCAGCCCGTAGATCTCTTCCCAGTCGGAGGGCGGCTCGGTTTTGACGGTGCCTGTCGCGGCGTCGGTTACGCGACGGGCGGGTTTGCGGACTCGGCCGCGGGCTCGGGGGGCCGGTGCCGCATCGGAGTCCCGGTCTTCGGGTTTGATGTCCTTCTTTTCTTCCGCCTCGTCTTCGGATTTGATCTCTTCCAACTTGACCTCCGGTTTTACAAACCGGGGCGAGTTCCGTCTTGGGGTCGGTCGTGGCAAAGCGGCAGTCGTAGCAGCAGCGATCGGCCCGGGACGCTTCCGCTTGCGTGTGGCGGTGGCAGGCTGAACGGCGTCCTCGATATCCGAGCCCAGCTTCACCTCGGGGCTGCCTTCTTCGTGGTCGGAGGTATCATCGCGGCCATTTGCTCCGTTTGTCCCGTTGTACGCGAACCGTGCGAGATTGGCGCGTGTGGAGCGCGTCGAACGGCGCGGCAGCGAGGGCGAGGACGTGGCGTCAAAGTACCGTGAGGTCTCACGGGCGGCACGCGTGGGCCTCATGGTTGGGGGGGACGCGGGGTGAGAGGGGGAGTAGTCGTCGCGGAGCTTGGGTTCTCTCCGATCTTTTTTGAGAGTTGAAATAAGGAATTGCTTCGCCGGAATTGGCGCCCCTGATGGAAGGATTCAAGGTGCCGAAGTGAGCCAAGCTCCTGGGTCGGGACAGGGGTATAGGAGCTTGTAAGCGACGTGATTGGTTGGTGCTATCAGGGGCCACTTACACCACCTGACCACAGTAATGTACTGTGTAAGACCTTCCCGTTTGATGGCAGCATGATCCGATTCTTCTGTTTAGTCTTTCCCAGCAACATTTTCAGTTAACCATTGTAATAACCAAAGCTAGGCGAATGGCCACATATGGCCGCATTTTTGACACGTTCAATTTCTTCAAGGTCTCAGATTACAGTACCTCACAGGGCTCCTCTTCGTCGAGTCTGCCGCCATAATGCGGTATCGTCAGATTATCTACATACCCTCACACCCAAGGACCTTACCGACGACATACTCACTCCACCGTGAACGCCAAGGATTCAGGCGTAAACCAGAAGTTAATCCGCCCACGCATTGGGACTCGTTCCCAGTCATCCATCGGCGCCTCAGCCTGCCCAAATTTGATCCACAATCGTTTTAAAAACACCAAGGGAGAGTTCGGGCGGAACACTTCGGTTCGGAAGTACAGCATCGCTGGTTCAGTCGTGAGCTGGGCCGGATCAACGCCCACCCGGCACTCCCCGACAGCGCGCGCGCCGCCGCTTCGGTAGCGGAAGATGATACCCCGGCAACGTCCGGTGTCCGGATGTTGGAAGACTTGCGCTGATCGAACACCCTCCAGCGGTGCCCATGAGAAGTAACTCGGTATTCTCGGGTTGCCGGTGGTGGGGCCGATTCTGGGTGAGGCAGAGGCTGAGGCGAAGCTCTTGGGGAAATCTTCCTCGTCATTACCTTGGAGCATACGCGCATTCTTAGAGTACGCGCTGAACATGGGTCTAGCCCATGGCCGTTTCTCATCCCCTTGGAACAGAGTGATGGGGGCGGATGCGGCCAGACAGTAATCAAAAGTTTGCAGCTTGTGTACAAATCCGATAACGAAGCTACCGCTGCGTTCCGTCCGGACGAGTATGCTGTGGTTGCATCGACGACGTTCCTTTCGCAAACCAAGACCGACGACCCGATCGTCTTCGGGTAGGGGCAAGTATATCCAGGTCACCGTCTGTCGGGGCCGCTGCGGGGCAAAAACGCGGTTGAACGTCGCCCATGCGCCGGATGATGGATGTTGGTCGTGATGGATATGCACACCACAGAAAGCGGCATAGGTGAAGAAGAAGGTGATGCCTCGAATCTTATCTAGGCTGGTAGCGTAGAAGAAATGTGTATCCGGGTACCCCACGCCCATTTCAATCTCATTTGGAGGCGTTGGCGTGTTCCACACTGGGATTTTCGGTGACCGCGCATCGCTCCTCTTGAAGCGCAACCGTCCGTCCTAGAGATGATTAGTTGCGGGTGGCGCGAGGGTTTTAAGGGGGTCAGAAGTGTAAGCAACGGAGTGGATTAAGAGAAATACCGCACCTTATAAAGTACCATCGCCAGGGATTCTAACATGCTGTGTTCACGCTCGACAATAAAAGTCGACTGAGTACTTTGCTTGCCAGCGTCCTCTGGCCAGCTCTCGAGGCGCTCTAGGCTACTGATGCCGTTCAGATCGAGAGTGAACCGCAAAACCCCTGGGGCAGTCACTCCCGCAGCAACCCACACAGGCTCTTGCCCGCGGGCCCAAGCAGAGGTACTCTTGAGCGGGATCAAGCGCAGTGGTTCTGGCTCGGTGGCCGCGATGTGCGCCACCAACCGCAGCACGGCAAGGCACCTCCACAACGCCGCGTGTCTCGAATGGTAATGAATCATCTCCAAAAGTTCCAACGGCAACGCGCTAAGCGCCGGAAACCCAGCCGACCGGATCGCCGCAACCAGGAGCCCATCGATCGTGAGATTGGGGGGCGAGAAATGATGTACGGGGGCTGCGCCTTGCCATGGGGTTGCCCACGCGACCGCGGTCCAAAGCCGGCCCATCGCGTCTAAAATCCCCTGCACCCTGCACTCGTGCCGGAAGATCGTGAGGCAGTCGGCGTGCACGACTACGGCTTCGGGCTAAGACATGCACCGCTCGCACATAGGAGGAGAAGAACCACAGCACAGTCTATAGCCGTGGTGGCCCCTCGTGGCCGGGAAGCGAAATACCGGGCTGCAGCGACGGTAGGACGTTGAATCGACGTTGCCAGTAACTAAATAGAGAAGAGGTCATCAGCTCCCCCGATCGCCCTTGTCTTTCCCGGGTTTGTTTGTGTTCCGTTTTGTTTCTTTCCCTCAATCACACGACTAGGGTGGTATTTCATCGACTACCTTAGGGCTTCAGGTCATGCTACTTACGTGCTCTCACTCTCGCTCTGTCGGATTTCCGAATTCTATCAGCGCAAATCCCACAATGGGGGAAAAGTTGGGCACGGAGATAATCCGAGTCTTCCACATCGTTATCGGCGGTTGAAGACGCCATCGGAGTGCCTCAGGAGCTGGTGCATTATTGGTTGTCAGCAAACGTGGGAAGTTGGTGAGAGAAGTCAGTGAATGCGGGAGGGAACCTTGTTGGTTTCTCAAGATGAGGTTGCCTGGGAGGGTAGGAAGGTACCAAATTCCAAGGCAGAACATGCGGTGAAATGCACGTGATGAACAGGGTGTCGGTTCAGACGAGGAAAGGGCCGGTTGGTTGCCATTCGGTATACCTCTCTTGGTAACAACGTGAGGCTGCGAAGCTGTGAGGCTGCGAAGCTGTGAGGCTGAGGCGTGATGTGATGTCTTTTGGTTACAGTCGACAATTCGAGGAGCAGATTCCAGATGGACGATCCCGTTTAGTAATTTGACTCCGCTGTTCTATATGGTATGTATGGCAGTGAAGCCGACGCTGCTCAAAAGACTTCCGCTAACCCGTTTAATACATGGTAAAAACAAAGATTGCACCTTCCAACTCGCTTTCCGCCGAGCTTGTTTGTTTCCCAGATTCAAGCCACCTCTTCCCGCCCAAGACGCCTCGGTACCGTAAGTACCGTACCGTATATGCAACACCAACCCAACCACACAAAAGAATACACAGCAAAACAGCGCCGCAGCATCAAGCCAGAAACTCATCCGTCACCCAATGCCGGAGCACCACCTTTCCCTCCGAAAAGCTCTCCTTCTCCGTCCGGACAATGATAGCAGCATGACTGTGCCGGACCTTGTGAATCCATACTGGGTACTTGCGCCAACCAAGCTGATCCAGCGCATCAACAGCGGCAAACTGATACGGCGCCAACGCCAGCGTGGGGAACCCGCCCTGCCCTTCTAACGTGCGTGACCGTTTCCGCTCCAGCGCGAGGATCCCACGCCCGCTAGCACTGTCCACTCCATCGTCGTTCTCGTCGCTCTCACTCCCCTCACTACCGCTATCATTCTCAGCAGTCCCGAGATACGCCTGTGGCTGCGCCCCGCTCAGCTCCTCATACCTCTCCTCCACGGCCCCGCGCACCTCGCGGATCCACAAGTTCACGCGCAGCTCTCGCAGCGCGTCGGCCTGGATACCTTCCAACCCGCGCTCGTGGCGGGCCACACGTCGGGAGGAGCGGACGGTTTGGATCGCGCTGTTGACGAGGAAGGCGACGACGCCAAGCGGGAGGAAGAGCGCGAGGCCGACGAAGAAAGCTGCGCGTTTCGCGAGTCGCTCAGCGTCGGCTGTGAGGAGGGCTTGTCGGGCTTTTGTGGTTGTTTGGGGGTTGCTGCTGCTGGATTTGCTCGGTGATGGTGGTGGTGGTGCGCCCGGAGAGACTGGGTTGGTGGGATCGAGGATGACGTCGTCGTACCCGGGGAGATAGCGGACGGTGACGTTGGCGAGGTCGGTGTAGGGGTCGGTTTTGGAGATGGCGGTGGTGTAGTGGACGGCGCTGCGGTCGTTGGTGATGTTGGTGTAGAGGGTGCGGCGGCGGAAGCGGGCGAGCCCGGACATGAAGATGGAGTTGGGGTCGGCGAGGACGGCGAGCAGTGGTTTGCCGGTGTCGCGGAAGCGGTCGATGCCGAAGAGCTGGCGGCCTGACATACACAGTGTGCGGGCGCCCATGACGTTCCACAGCTGGTTTGGCAAGCCGCGCAGTGGGGTGCGTACGCCGAGGAAGGGGCTCGCGAAGGCTGTGAAGTTGAGGCATTCGAGCTGGTCGAGTACGCCGCGCGCGGAGAGCAGGCCGATGGCGTAGCGTGCCACGAGCCCACCAAGGGAGTAGCCCACGATGCTGAGCTTGGCGATGTGGCCGCCGCGGTTCTTGATCGCTTCGAGTTCCTCCTCGATCTCTACGCACACACGCTCGCCGCCGAGTTCGATGCCGTCGTAGGTGAAGGAGCCACTGTTTCGTTTTGCCACGAGGATGTACACATGCTCGGGCGGGTACTGCGCCCGGAGGGCTTTGGCCACTGAGGCCATGTGCTCGGGATTACCCCATAGCTGCGGGAGATACGTTAGCGAGTCCGGTTGCGAGCCTAGATTTATTGTAATTTATTCGTGCTTGGGTTTCGCGGGAAAAGGAAAAACGTACGCCATGGACTAGCACACAGAGGTGGTCAGCCTTGAGACTACCTCCTGAGTATTCCGCCATTATCAAGGATTAAAAGTATCGTGGGATATTGAAAATAGGAAAATGCGCCAGAAGAGTTTCATGTTGGAAGAGGAGAAAGTGAAAAGGGGGCTGTAATTGCGTATATAATGCTCCGACGATGATGTCTACGGACTGCCGCACTTCCCGATCTCCGACACCCACAGCGGCTGAGACTTGCTAAAAGGGGGTGCATAATTGCTCTCGTCACCTCGGGTGAGCTTCGCACCTGCTTGGCAGCGTACGTCAGCGTTTGTGGCCCGGAGATAAGGCTTCGGTCGGAACTTTGGTGGGTTGTTGAGAATGTCTTGGCGCCGGCCGGCGCTGGAATTGCCCCGCACCGCTTCGGAATCCCACGACGGAACGGAATGTCGCCGACTGAGGCCCGCTCGCGCCTACCTCAAACACTAAAGTTCCAACAGCAAAAGTACCAAATTTTCCCTCGAATGCTTTGATCATCTTCGCGGCTTTGTCTTGAGTCTGGGAAATGGGGCGAACATATTTCTTCTCACTTGACAAATTTTACGAATGTTTCGCACACCAATGTATTTTAATTTCAGGATAACAAAAATCAAGCCCACAATAATGTTCACTTCCTAATTTGATTTATTCCCGAGGCAATCACAGCAGCTCTTGAACCGTGACAACCAGCATAACCTCCATTTCGTCCCAAACAAGCAAAAGTAGTCGAATAGTGGCCACTCATCAACATCATTCCAACATAAGCCGGTCAACGCCGGACGAGATAAAGTTATCGCAAGATTAAGCCTCGCCCGCGGGCAGATGATCTATGCAGGAGACTTGGGCGCAACTCACCCACCAAGTTATTCGCTTGATATTGGGAGTGACAACCCACGCTCCACTCCCATTTCAACGCTCATAATCCCAAGTCCACATCTTCTAAATGAATACCCCGGCCGGCTTTTACATGTTCATAACTGTCAATCCTTTTTGTCGTCGTTCACCCTGCTTTCTTCAGATTTACGAACGAGAATGTAATGATATAATGCTGATTCAGAAAAGAAACAGTTAGATGAACCATATGAGAGCTAACGCTTTTTATCCCTATATTTGATGAACCTGTTCTATTCTTCCAGAACTCCATACTACCTTCCCGCAACCTAAACACGCCCTGTGGAAGGAAATGTGCTGCGCTGACAACCCCGTGTTAAGCCAAATCGAAATAGTATATCCAATAATGGAGGCCTTTAACGGGTGTCTAACGGCCTCCTCGTTCCCTCCTCTCCGCCTCGTCCCTATCGCGGTTCACCCGGACCTGATCCTCAAGCATCCGCCCATCCGGCAACGGGTTCCTCTTGACATAGTGGAGCGCGTTCGTGAGAGTGGAAAAATTCCTCTCGATGTGCAGCCATTCGTTCCCCTTCGGTAGCATAGTCCCTTCAATATTGGATATCTCGATCCAAAGGCCCAGGTAGTTCTGGTACACCCACAGCTTTGCTGTCTCCCGGCCGCAGGTCATGACCCAAATACTCTCCTGTTGATACCGGGTGCAGTATTCGGCTGCCATCGCGATTGAAGGCTCCTGCAGCCTGTCGATCGCGTCACCCCAGAGGGTGGGCTCGGCAACGGCTACCATTAGTACGATACGGAAGCGGTTGATTGTGCTGTCGTAGGCCTCAACGGCGATGCCGAGACCCTCCAGGCCAGCAGCTCCGTAGTCCTGACAGGTGGATGACCGGTGGGGGGATACAGCCCAACCGGAGCCGTGGAATATGCCTTTGAGAAAGTACAGCCACAGCCGTAGGGTGCCAATTTTGTAGCGGAAATCTTCTGTTTCCTGCTTGAGGACGCCCAAGATAAATTTCCACTTGTTCGCTTCACCATGAATGGGGACAACCCCAAGCGGGTGTAGGAGGGTGTCAGCCATGTGCGTAGAGGGCAAATATAGAGTTCTTTAGTTCAATAAATGGTGCGTGTTGCTGACCGGAGAGTTGGACGAGCCCAGGTAAGGTATATTTATACCTGTGGTTTCGTTTTTCAATTCCCTAACCCGCATCCATGTCCGTGTTGCTTTTCCCGCAAATGGTCAAGCCCGTATGGCGGTATCATCCTGGCAATGTCCCACGCGGAAAAGGTTCTGATACTTCCCTTGAGAGTCATATGATGGTCATACGTGAAGGTGAGCAAAGGATACAAGTACTCCTATGACCTGGAATACAAGACGCTAACCCACGTGTATTCAGCGTGGTGCTCGTGATGCCTGAGTTCGTTCCTGAAAAGACAAACACGGGTGATGTGTAGTTATATCTCCTTCTTCACTTTATACACGTGACGCAGGTTCTACGACGGCAAATGATAAAGGGAACAAGCGGGGCGACGCAAGGAAGACAAAGATACCGGCTTCGTGGAAGGACCCAGTATCCTTCGGGATTCGTCACGCGTGTTATATTCAAATGAACGACAGTGGCCCGGCCGTTAGTTCGTCTAGGGGCACGTGGAAGAATGTACCGCCATGTCATGGGTTCCAGTCACCCCAAGGATGGCTAATATCCTCCTGTATATAACATCTCGAAACGTGCAGTGTGTACTGTCTCTCTCTCCTCATACAGAGTATCGTCTTGGATATACGCTCCACACTCGCATCGCTACGTCGTCTCGTTTCGCACAAATATGAATGATATTAACGAGCCTCTTTGGGAGTCCCCTCCCACAGAGTTGTGGGAAGCAGCCAGGCATGGTTCGAAACAGGATACGGAGGACCTGCTGAAGGACATTTTTGACAAGGTTTCATATTACGACTCTGAACGCCGGGAAATAAGGCTCTGGTGCGCCAAAGTGAAGGATTACCCGTACCTTACCTTCCCGCATCTTACGATGAGGGACACTAGAACCGGAATGGTAAGCGACGTGTCCAATTTCTTGATTGTAGGCACCGAAACGGCCAATGTCAGCCCGCGAGCCATTTTCCAGATGAAGAACCTGGTGCGAGAGGCTGCCTAATATCAGTGCTGGAAAGACGGAGTTGATCTAGTGTGGGCGGTAACTTTCGTCGGAATTAGGGCACGGCTGTGGATATATAGCAGCTATCTGGTGCAATATGGGGGAAAAAACACCAGGATGGCGAGGACTCTTATCCCCTTCTGACTCACCTGCTTCGTATCATCGTGGAGTGCCCGAAAGTGCCACGGCGTATGCTCTCGGACGACTGGCGCCATCACTTTCCTTATGAGAATCGCAACCGTATGGATTCGAAGAACCGTAAACGCGAGCTCCTCAACCTTGAGAGACTTCACTGGATTCGCCATCAGATCAGTAACTCGGGTTGGGGTCAAAAGTGACAAATCAAAGAGCCCTGTCTGAACGAAGGATGTACAACGGAAACTACAAGAGGAAACAAAACCCCTTCCCCACCAAAGCGTGAGGCCTAAAGCCTGGGCATAATTAGCGTCGAGTTGCCTATAGTGAGCTCATAGACCGTAGTGTCTAAAATATACTCTGAGCTATCCATCTGAATCGTGATATTCTCGTAACAATAAAGCCAAAGAAAATACAATATGATTACCCAACGCCTGGACCGAACTTCTCCCAAACCCCAAACCTCACACCATACCCTAGAATCCCTACGCTGCCCCCGGAGCATGCCTCACTTTCCGGAACCCCCCTTTCTGCTTCCCCCTCTCGCTAAACCGGCGCCACATAAGCACCGTAAGCAAAAACCCAATAGCCTGCCAAAGGAATGCATTCGCATACAACTTCACCCTACGCGGCCACGCCCCAATGCCACGCCTCCTCCTCGTCATGTATCCTTTCCCATCACCCTCACCACCCTCAAACCCACCCAACACCCCCTTCAACCTAGCCACTTCATCCGTGATCACCCCATCCACCTCCTTGCGCACCGCCCACTCCATCCACTCCGGCTCATTCACCGTCCATACATACAGCCGGCGCCCCTGGGCCCGCACAGCCCGGCGGAATGCGGCGCCCAGGGGCCCGACGAGGGAAGACTGGGATAGGTTGAAGTGCACGTCTGGGTGGTCGGCGTTGGAGAGGAGACGGTGGGCGTAGAGCAGGGAGAAAGAGATGAGGACGAGCGGGTGGTCGGGGAGGTGCAGGCGGGCGTGGTTGATGTAGTTTTCCTGGTCGATTTATCAGTTCTGCTCTAGGGGACAAAAAGGGGTAAAGAAAGGGAGGGGAAAAGCATACATTCCAACACCCAGCAACAACCCTCTCCTTCCACCCCTTAACACCCCCCGGCAACGGCACCGAAGCAATTGTCCGCGCAATCGCTGGCAGCAATAGCTCCGCGTCGTCGTCGGTCTTGATATCCAGCAGCACCCACACCGACGGATCGGCCTCGGGCCGGGCCAGCCATGTGAGCAGGTCGAGCAGACGGGGCATGGGCTGGCGCGGCTCGCGCACGGATTGGAGAGTGGAGAGGTAGGACCAGTCGCAGTCGGCGATCTTGGTGTCGACGCCGAAACAGCGTTTGAGGCTCGGGTCCTGGAAAGGTGTTAGTGTTACATATTTGTGCTAGTTAGTGTGTAGTGGATTTTAGGTTGTATTTTATTTCATTTATTTTTGAACGGCTTATAAAAAGTAAGCCAAACAAAACAAAAGGGGTAAGTAAGCAAGTCCGACTTACATGCGACAACACCACCACGCCGTCGCGCGACAGATGTAAATCCGTCTCGAGCGCATGCGCACCTGCGGCCAGAGCGCCCTCGAACGCGGCCATCGAGTTCTCGGGGAACACGGCCTTGTATCCGCGGTGCCCGATGTTTAGGGGTAGTCCGGCCGGGTCCGAGCCGGGCGCTGACCCGGCAGCGGAGGACGGACCTGGCGGGAGGAGCGGTGTTTGTTCCGACACCATGTTGGGAACGATGGTGTAAGTTCGCCGTTATTTTTTGGGTTCGGTACCGTTATGAGAGTCGGTGAATATGTTTAATATGCTGTAATTTACGGTGAGGGAGCTATGTGAAACAGATGCCGGGATATGCGACTCCGGCTCGCATTTGTGCGCTGCTGGAGGTTCGGATATCCACCAGGGACAAACGAGACTCGTAACAAAGCGGACGAGACACCAAATATGATATTCCCAAGACCACCGCCCGACCGCGTCATTCTGAGTGACTTGATCGTTCTTTCCTCCGATGCGCCTCGGGTCCCGGAGAGTCTCTGAAACCCGCCCCGCCCCGCGCGCCGGAGTTAGCCCGGCGTCTAGGATCCACTAACACCGCGCGCCGGGCCCATGTGGACAAGAGCTGCTACGATCGTACTGTTTCCTGCACTTGTGTAACATGTTTGCTCGAAGGAACCCGAAAACGAGAAGGCCGCGGAGTTCCCCTCTTTCTGCAAGCCACTCAAGCCACCGTACGCCACCTTTGCTTCAGTTCCGCTTGTCCCGACCCCCGCGCCTGTGTTTGCTTTCCATTCCTCCCACGCTCTTTTCCCCGACCGGTTGACGGGCCGAGGCGCTCGCTTAGCCAAAAGAGATATAGAAACAAATATAGAAACAAAACCAACCCTTTGTCGGTCCAAGGCCGTCGGCGCATTCAGGCTAATACGAAGGTAGAGTCCTCGATGTTTTCCCCGCCTTCGCTTCAGCACTGCACCTGTCGATCTCACGTGGCGAATACGTCCGGTTGTTCGTAACGAAGCGTTGAAATAAAAAAGGAGTGGCAATGGGCGACAAGCTCTGAAATTGGTTCCGGGCTAGTGGTGGTGGTTAACGATATGAAACTGTATATGTACACGTATGGATCGAAACCGGATCGTCCGGTATTCGAGCCCGGCTTACACATTTCCATGCGGAGAATACGCTGAGAAAACGGTTCGCCTGATCAGACGACGACAGATCCCGTTGCTTGGTACCGTGGCCTCGTGTGGGACCCGTCTTCAACAACACAATACCTGTAAATACACTCCAATCAACGACCCCGGGACCTGATGACCATCCACACACGCAATTCATCTCTTCATGCGCCGTCTTCAACTTCCCCTGAACGCTGTGTCCCCTGGCCTTCCGTTCTCGATGGCCACTACCGTGCTATACTACCGTCCTCTTCTTCCCAGTATTGATCCACACAGCTTGTTACCAGAAAGTTGAAACATGCCCTGCTCCTACCATCGTTGCCGTCATTAAGCCTAGCACAAGCGAGGTCCACCTCTGACCACTCACCCACGAGTAATAGCCATCCCCCTTTAACAGCCCCTTGATGATCATAACTCGGAGAATACGGGGGATCTGCTAATTCCTGCGCTCACCGGGGCTGCTCGCCTCGTTCCTTGATCCACTGATCCTCGTTCACACAGTACGGGGACTGGGCAGTATCCACCCGTTTTCGATTCACACAGTCACCTTGAACTCAGAGACAACTCACAACCCGGATGGAGGTGGCTGAACGTACACACTGACCTCCACCATCTCACCCTTGGCCAGACAGCTTGGCGAGACAGACACCCACAAACTACAGGTTGGGGTAAGACAGGAATCCACCCCTCCTCCCCGGCAGATCCGTTAACAAACATGTTCGAGTCAGGTCAAATCATGTTAGGTAGTTTGGACGTCCCACTCGCCTTATTTCCATAGGGGTTTTAGTATTTCCGGCACGGTCGAACATTGATAATCGAGATGGAGCACAACAGCAATAAGGATATCCCTTCCCCCAAACACCATGATAACATTGGAGACAGCGAGCCAAGAACGAGTGCTTTCTAAGCCTTTTCCTTGGATCATGATTTCGCCAAGTAAACTAGCCGTGCTGTAGCGTTGAGAGAGCAGCGAGCAGCGAACAGCGGCCAAATCGAATCCAATGAGTATTCATCATCAATAAAATAAAATTTCGAGGTATCCAAATAACCACTCCCAGACCAAAAGCGAGAGAAATACAGAGGAAACAAGGTATCAGCCAGACGCGGGAAGGAAACAACGACAGAAAGAGTTCAAACTTCACCGTTGAAATACCCAAGCATCCCATCCCATCCCTCCTTCAATCCATATACAAATAGAAACAAAATATATCCCATCCCAAGAAACAAACACCATAAATACAACATAATATAATCCTAAGCCCATCCATCCACCCACCGCCCATCCTCCTCGACGCCAAAAGCAGATATAGACACTGCAAACATAGACAAATGAACCAGGAACGAGAGAAAATTAGCAAACGGGCCAATGCTCACACCCCAAAACTCGCAACTCAAAAGCAACCAACAGCCAAAAAAAAAAGTCAAAAAGAAAATCAAAGCCCAAACGACCCATCCAACCCATCCAACACATACCCCTCCGGCCCCATCATCCCTCCGCCACCACCAGCACCACCACCCACACTACCCCTCCCAAAATCCATCGCACTCCCCACACTAACCAAATCATCACTCGAGCTCAACCCATCCTCACTCAAGCTCACCACGCTATGCGACGACCCCGCCGACGCCCCAGGCGCGAAATCCCCCAAGTTAAACCCGGCTAGATCCCACGAATCCGGGGACCAGGACGAGGTGGATAAGGGTGTTTGGTGGGTCGGGGAGATGAGGTGAGATGGGGCGGATGTGGTTGAGGTGGTTGTGGGAGTTGTGTCGGCGAGGGAGAGGCTGGGACCGCCGTAGATGGCGTCGTAGACGTTGATTTGGCCGCCTTCGATGGAGCCTAGGAGGGCTTCCCATTCGGCGGTGGAGATGTTGCCGCCGTTGGCTTTTTGTTGTTGTTGATGGTGTTGGAGGAGTTGTTGGTGTTGTTGTTGTTGCTGGTGTTGTTGGTGGTGGTGCTGCTGCTGCTGGAGATGGGAGTAGAGATGCCCTTGTTGTTGCGTAGCGTGATTCGTAGGTGGCTGTTGGGATACGTGAGATCCATGGATACCACGGGCTTGGACGGGCGAGGAGGGTTGAGAGTGGGAGTCGAGGTGGAGATAATCCATCGTCTGATGCCTGGAATTCGGGGAAGTTGAAAGGCGGGCGAGCATCGCTGCCTGTGCAGCCTGGGCTTGGCTGAGCGACAGCCGTTGATCACGCTGCGAGGGACCGGCCGTCGGACGTTGGCTGTCCAAGGAGTTCCTCGACCGCGGGGCCACCTTCTCGACACGTGCGGTGTGTTGCTGCTGCTGGGGGTACGGCATCGCCATCCTGCGGAGCTTCTCTTGCTGTAGGAGGAGATCGGTTTCGCTCATGCTGGCAGCAACGTGTCGACCAAGAGTCTGCTGTGGTTTGGGAGCCGTCGCCTGTTGGGGCCGTTGTGGGGGAGCGGCGAGGCAGGCATCCGGGCTGTGCCTTGGGGGTGTCGGTAAGGACGGCGATGGGGGCTCGTCGACGGTGATAAGAGTGCTGGCCACACGTTTGAGATGGTACAAGCCGGGTGCCTTCTCCTTCTCCGCAGCCTTCAGGATCTCGTTGATCAGCTTCTCGTTATCCTTGAACATCTTGCTGTCCTGCTTGAGGTCCATCGTCTGGTACAGCAAGACCACGCTGCAAAGAACAAGGGTGTCGGCTTTGTTGAGACAGAAGGCAAAGGACATGCTTCTCTCCTCCAGAAGCTGGATGATTTGGACGATGTGTTTGCTCGCCTCGCTAACAGTGATGAGTGCTGGCGCTGCCTTGGGCCCAAGGCTGGATGTTACAGCCGGGCGGTAAATAAGCGTGCGTGTGTAATAGTATGCAATGGCCTGAGATATTGTCAGTGATGCTAACCCTTGAGTCATAAAAGAGGACTACCTACCAATATTGGGGACCTGGATCCGGTGATATCGGTCGACGGTTTATCTTGCTTGAACGTGAGTCTAAGGTGAGACGGCAAGTTCTCATACCACTCATCAAGCTCCGCGCCGAGAGCAGACATTTGTTGGAGCGAGAGTTCGTGGGTGGTAGCAGAGGGATAGACCTTCTCCAGCACCTTTCCGAGAACCCGGGCTCCCCGGAATAGCGCTAGCGCGTTGGAGAGACGGGTAGCCTCACCCGGAAGGCTCGGCTGAAAGCCCTTCTCGGTGATGTACTCATCATCGGTATCCGAGGGGAATTCCGTGTGCACATCCTCCTCTTTCAGCAGCTTAGGGAGGCCAAGGATGGCGGCAGTGAAGCAGTCAAGTGTGTAGAGAGTCCAGAATACCTTCTTCCGGGTCTCGATCGTGAGCACGCCAAAGGAGAAGCGTTTTTGGCTCTGGTGGAGGCCGAGACGGAGCGACAGCCCGACAGCGATGCCCTTGTAGTGTTGCAGCCTCTTGTAGTCGGCGCGGATTGTGCAGTACACCAGCGCGAGCAGCAGACATTGCAGGGTCATCATGGTGTTGTCCATGAGAATCACATCGAGCGCCTTTTGCCATTGCTGTTCGCAGGCGGCAATCTGATGGAGGTCGGGCTGCTCACCCGACAAGGCAGCAATGCCAAAAACCAGGTACAGCTGGGCGAGCTTGTGGTTGTTCTTGATCTTTTCGGGGTCCGCGACGAACTCCTCGTAGACGCGGAGGAAGGTCGGCTTGTGAAGCACGGGGAAGAGAGGAGCCCACTCCTGGAAGTAGACGTTGACACATCTGTCCGAGAACAGACGCGGTGGTATCCTCATCGTCTGGCTGGGGGGCTTCGTCGTCAGGGGGTAGCACCCCTGGATGTGCAAATATGCCTCCGGGTTGAAATCGGAGCAAGACTTGCCGTTCTCTTGCATTTTGCGCTTAAGGGATTCTGCAGGATAAGGTTAGTTTATTAAGTCGTTTGTTGGAAAGTGTGCGAAAGATGGGAGCACAAACCAATGAACCCGCGGCCGCTCGAGGCACCCATAAAGTACGAGTCCGAGTTCTCGACGCCGAGCAACAATGGCGAGGCTTGGACCCGGAAAGTATCCTCCTTGGCCGGCGCCCCGGCTTCCTTCTTGACCCCAGCAGCGGGCTGGGTCTGGCACTGCTCGGCATGCTGGCGGCGGTTGCCATGCATCCGAGAGAGCATGTCGATCTTCTCATCCTTCTCGTCCAACAAGTCCTTCAACTCCCGCACTTCCGTCTCCAGTGTCCGCACGCGGTCCTCCAATGACTCCGTGTACCCACGTGGAAAGGCGCGACGGCTGAGTTTGTCGCTGGTGCGACACTCGAAGCCGACGTTGGCGCATTGTGAGCAGGTTGGGCGAATACCATCGCAGCGGATCTTCTTGCTCCGGCACCGGTCGCAGGCTTGCGCGATGCGACTCTGCGAGCTAGTGCCCACCTTGATAACCTTCATGGGAAGAATACCCGGCATTTTGGCGCAATTTCGATTTTATTTTCCCCTTGTGTCTTGCTTTCGTTTCTCAGTCTCGTCGCATTTGCACAGTCCGGCCGTTCGTCTGAATGGTGGCCCGGAACACAGTCACAGGTAGTCGGCCTTGTGCTCGTGTTCGGATGGGGTCGCACGCGCGCGAGTTTAAGTGGGCGTGTGACGGAAGAAATCGCAAGAGTCTAGCTTCGGCGGTGCTAACACCCCTTAGACAGCTGTAGAGGATATGTCGACCATGAACTGCCACCTTTCCGCAGTGCTGGGGTAATTGTCGACGTCGCAAAGGATGTAAAGAGGGTGTCGGATGTCAATAGCAGGCGAGGTGAGTGAGCGACTTGGAGAGGGCGGGGCCAGTGGGCTTTTGAAAGAATGGCCTGCAGGGGATGAGGGAAAAATGGCAAAGTGCAGCGAACACCCCAGTCCCATGTGGAGCTCTCAGCAAGTCGTGCGGAGGAAAATTGGAAACGGACAGGCAGGGGGGTGTCCAGTCGAGGGCAGGGATTGGAGGTTGTCGAGAGCCAGCGCCGTCGATTGGTCCCGTTCTGACTGGTTCGGCTCCGCCAAGCCCGGCTTCCCCAATCAGTGACGGCAAGGAAAATCTGGGGAGGACAGGGGTCCTGGGTTGGCATCTTCTGTTCAGACAGCATCGAGTACCCTTGGCGAAGGAGCGAAAGAACAGCCGCGTGAGCAGAGGAAGCCTCGACACCGCTGGGTTGCATTGATATCTTTCGGTTTCTTCCGTGGAAAATGCTACTCGTTTCCAGGAAGATCTTCTGAACGGCAAGACCATTTAGTTTCCTTGTAACATTCGGTCCTAAGCTCACAAAATAACGTCTAAAATACTTGTGGACGAAGAGGTGAAAAGGTAGCTGAGCGTGCTTGGCCGGATTCTCCGCCGACGGCCCTCACTGGTTGGTGTACTAACTACATGGACAGAGCCTACCAAAGAGTGCCGCAAACCAAAAAATGGGTGTCTGTCGTACAGAAACCCGACCGTAAGTACTGTACCTGAAAGACCGTATTCCCAAAATGACCGATTCTAGGTGATCTGAAGCGTGGTTGATTGCTCATCGATATTAATACGCGCGGCCAGTTATGGTAGTGTAGCTTGGGGGGCCGTCGATCTCGGACAGGGTTTACTAGTAGTGTACGGAGTATGTCCACGATGAAATGACCGAGAATCAAGCTTGATCTTCGGCGACTTTGGTCTGCCGTTTTCTTTTGCCGGGCTAGTTCGTTTCAGTGTTTCCCTGCAGAATCCCCAGCAAAAAGCGTACTCACGTACTGTACGTTTTGTTTTCTGAATGTCGCCGTTGACGTGCCCTCGATCTACAAGCATCTCGCAGTTGTCTCGCAGGTAACAACCATTTTGTCAGTACAGACTCGTCGTTCTCGTCACCGCCAAACCGCCAAGAATGGCAGTGTTCCGCAGGTCTTGAATGCCGAGACGCACCGATCGGTGAAGCCCATGAAAATTCATTCTTGCTGATCACCGGCGACCTACGACGACAGTGTGTGTGCAAGACCCGCCATCCGCCAAGAGCACACGGGCTCCGCCCACCACGTTGTCGCCCTTGATGCACACCAATCCCCCGGATTCTGGGCTGAGCTGCGCCAAGTGGGCGGATTCCCGCCACGATGCGTTCATCACTTGCCGTTCGGATTTTCGTTTCCTCACCGCGATGCCCTTGGATACGTCGGAGATAATCTTAGGAGCTTGTGTTATCTCTAAAAGCGGGCCTGACCGTAACTAGACGTCTGTCTGTAATAACTACCAAGCTTGAGGCTTCCTGATCAGCAACATCTAGAGCCCTGACCCTAACCCACCGAGAGCACATCCTCACTTGTTCTAGGCGAGCGAGCTTTATCAGCCCTTACTTTACATCGTGGACTATTCCGAGACAGGTAAACTTGTACACACATTTCAGCCCGGCGGGATCGGAAATGATCCTGGAAGCATATTGAAAAGAAGCTTTTGAGATCTCCGCTTACCGGAGTGGGGGAATTTGCCGTTCCATCCCTTTTCGAGTCCGGGGCTGACAACAAAGGCTACACTAGACAAAGATTAACCGTATGAGAGTGACTGTCGACAGACTCAACAGATCGATCGATTTTGACAAGGCCGAAAACACGACTGATCTTCAACATAGTCCACGACCTGCTGAAAAAAATTTGCGGACACCCTGCATCACATTGCGAATATGGAAAGCCTCGTTTCGTTTCCCGGATTCGACGTCCTGGTCAGGAAGTTGAACGCGCAAGAATCTGCCCCCACCCCTGGCCTGCGCATCTTCCTGAGGTGCAGCCAACACACCGAAGAAACAAGACATCGCCGAATCGAATCGAGGAACAACCAGTTGTTGCTGCTGGGAGGCTTTCCGTGCTCCACTACCGGACCGCGTCCTCGGTGCTAGCCAATTTCACCTTTCAGACCTGCAGAATCGGGAGTCGACAACGGAGGCGAATTCCGCCCGCAGAAGGATCGAAGATGCAGAAAAAGCAAAGCTGCCAAACAGATCACGGCCAGCCCAAACGCTGTTTCATAACAGTCAGCAACCCATCAGCTGAAATCGCCGGCGTCATTGGACGTTTCGTCGTCCACTTGTCCCGATTCGGTAACTTCCGCCAGTCCGAGATAAGCCACCACGTTGTCATCCCCCAGCAATGCGTTTTTCTGGTGCAAGGCCCCCTGTTAGCTCATGGAAATCACGTCTTCAAATCCCGATTTATCGAGAATCACTCTCGTGGTGTTTCGCTTTTGGATTCCTCTTTTTTTCCCTCCCATGCAAGCTTCAAGCCACGAAATGAAGAAAAAGGGAAGATCGCCCGCAGTCTCTGCATTCATGCATTCACGTACCTCGTTTTCCAGCTTCCCGATGCAGCCTTCGAGAATGTTCATCTCAAGCTCGCGCAGCGCGGCCGCCGCGCGGACGCATTCCGTCCTGGGCTGAGAACCAACGACACCACCACCACCGCCGCCACGTGCGGCAGCTCTAGTAGGATCTGCAGCCACGTTGTCGGCCACCCCGGCTACCGGTGTCGAAATCGAAGTTGACGCTGATGACTTTTCCACCCCCATCGAAGAAGCCGAGGCCGTTGTCTCACCCAGCCGCTCCAGCTGCGTTTGCAGCGCTTCCTGCACCACGGTCACGACGCGTAGGCGGAATACTGCCGCTAGCGGGTGCTGCCGCACCAACGCCTCAAACTCGCCTGTCCGCTCCGTCACGTCCTCGTCCTGCCAAAAGACACAGAGTTGTTGTGCGCCGTCCGTCTGCTGTAAGATGCGGAACTCGAGCCCGTCCTCCTCGTTGATACACATCAAGTACGCAAACGGGCTCGTCCAGTGGATGTCACTGTCACCGTCTTCTTCTTCTTTTTGTTGCCCCTGTTGCTCGTCGTTCTCGGCCCGCCCGATCCCCTGTGATGGTGGCGGCCCACGCGCCACGTGGATCTGGGGTGCCTGGCCAAAAGCCACGAGTTTTGCTGTTGCAAGCGGATCGTCGGGGAACGGCGCTAAGGGCAGGACTAGGCTATCGGTAATTGAGGACGGGTCGATAAACCCGTAGCTGAACAGCATCTCGGCCGCCGACTTGCCCGCGCCGTAGCTGATGGTGATTTCGCTACCCTGTGCCACGGCAACGCCCGGGCGTGGGAGCAGCACAACCTCGTCTTGGGCATTTTCCTCGTAGTACGCTGACGGTTCGGCGGCGTGATTGAGCATGTCGATGCAGGGGACCATGGACTCGCCGGACCGGGGCAGTTCGAGGCACCGTGAGCGGTAGAGCGCGTCGAGCCGGATCCAGTCTGTAAACTCTACTGGGGAGGGATCCTCTACTTCCTTTCCGCGGACTACCCCGTGCCAGAGCAGATCGTTCCACGCCACGATGTGTGCTGATTTCGCCTGAACCAGTCCCAACTCGGCGTCGAGAGATGATATCTTGGCGTCGAGGGCAGCCTCGAGTGATGTCCCTCGGAGTAGTAGCCGCTCATTCTCTGTCCAGAGCGTGGGGACGAGGACTGTTTCGGGCAAGAATTTGATGTACTCTGTCCACGGGTTTGAGACACCTAAGCTGCCTGCGTGATTTGGGTGAGCGGCGAGGACCGACTGGACGAGTAGGAAGAGTAACACATCAGCTCGCGAAGACTAGTCCAAGGTTAGCTTGTAGCTGTAGAAGTCACGGTGTAAGAAGCAGGGCGTGATACCCTGCGACCAACAGCGTCTAGCAACTGTTTGAAGCTCTTATCCTCCTTGGCGTACTCCTCCACGGCAGCAGCGTTCAGAATAAGGCCATGTGGTACCGAGAGCAGAACCGGGCCGTCAGCCGTATCTTGACTCGCATTCAATTCTGTGTTGGACACCACGCCGTAGCCTTTACCCTCAGTATTAGCGACGGTAATATTGTGGAATGAGACGCCGTTAAGGCGAGCCCAGACCGGGAGGCCCTGGATCGGTAATGTTGGTCGATGCATAGCAGAAAGTGCAGAGCCGAGTGTGAGGATTTGATGATTGGAGGTTGGTGCTACCCGAATCAATTTGGGAGTACAGATCGCATGAATGGAGATGGTATGTTCTATATTCCTAGATGAAGTGTGACATGACGAGGTGCCGAATACGGCAGGGATCAAGGTCGCAGACTTACGAACAGGAACCGTCCGTTGCGGGCCTGTATTTATCTTTTTTTCCTTCTTCGTCGTCTTCTTCTTTTTCTTCTGGCATTCTCAATCTGATAAATAAATATACGCAGATTAATAAGTCATTTTACAATTACCTTAAAAAATTCCTTGATATTTTTTACAAACTATCTGTCGTCAAAGCTTGAAGGGTGGTCCAAAAATATTACACTGCCCGAGCTTATCGGTCCTTATCCAAAGCGGGGCACATATTTTCCGCGAGACCTCGAAGTTACGAATCCAAGAGCGGCGACCTGTCCATATCATGATTTACCCCTTCACCTTTCTTTAATTTATCCTCCGTTGGCTTTCATAGATAGAGACGCTTCACCATGCCTCGCGACCCCTTAATTGGCCTCGTCGGCAAGCCCAGCGCGGGCAAATCCAGCACTCTCAACTCGCTCACAGATGCCTCGTCTAAAGTCGGTGGGTAGCACGTCGCATCTTGCGATCCCGAAATACGGGAGTCCAAAAAAAAAAACGGAGTCGTCTAGGTTACTGATCCAGATTTCCCGTGCAGGAAACTTCCCGTATGCCACACCCCGATCTATCTACTCCTGATCCCCCTCTCTCAGCCTCACCTCCAACTGACGTCTCGCTTCTTCCCACCCCCGCTCCCACAGATTTACAACCATCGACCCCCAACGCGCGATCGGCTACCTCCAAATCGACTGCGCCTGTGCACGACACAACGTCACCGAGCGATGCAAGCCCAACTACGGCGCCTGCGTCAACGGGCGACGCAGCGTCCCCATCGAGCTACTCGACGTGGCCGGGCTGGTCCCCGGCGCCCACCAGGGCAAAGGGCTGGGCAACAAGTTCCTGGACGACCTGCGGCACGCGGACGCGCTGATCCACGTGGTGGATGTGTCGGGCACGACAGACGCCGAGGGCAAGAATACGCGCGGCTACGACCCAAGTGTTGATATTGCGTGGCTGCGGAGTGAGATTGTTGCTTGGATCCGCGGGAATTTGATGGATAAGTGGGGGTCTATTAAGAGGAGGCATATCGCGGTGAAAGCGACGGCGGTTGAGACGCTTCAGAATCAGTTCAGTGGGTATGGGAGTACGTCGTCGGTGGTGGCGAGGACGTTAGATCGGCTGGGGTTGAAGGAGCCGTTAGAGGACTGGAGTGGTGAGTGGTACCATTTTATTTTTGAGTCACTACCCCATTGTTCTTCGCAACACCGTGCTAATTACTCTGGTTTCTTTGCGCCTAGACGAGACCATCGATCGAGTAGTCAACGCCTTCACCGACGAGAAGTTCCCCACCGTCATCGCGCTCAACAAAATCGACCACCCCGACGCCGACAAGAACATTGCCAAGATCGCCAAGATGCAAGATCCCAACACCATTGTCTTGTGTTCCGCGATATCCGAAATCTTCCTCCGCAAGCTCGCCAAGCAGGGCTACATCCGGTACACAGAAGGGAGCGAGTTTGTCGACACGCGCGAGGATCTCATAGCCGACGGCGACCCAGACGGCGGGGGGTTGAAAGACCTGGACGACAAGAATCGCGCGAGGATAGAGAACCTCAAAGACATGGTGCTGTATCGCTTCGGCTCGACTGGCGTCGTACAGGTGCTATCCAAGGCTGCCGAGATCCTTGGGCTGGTGCCCGTGTTCCCAGTGCGAAATACCACGACGTTCGGGTCCGGCTCGGCTGACTCCAAGGCCGTGTTTCGGGACTGCGTGTTGGTAAAAAAGAACTCGACGGTAGCAGATGTGGGGAGGAAGATCATGGGAGATGCGCCGATTGCGTATATTGAGGGCGCGGGCGGAATTAGGGTGGCTGATGATCAAATAGTAGGAGTAGGGAAAAACGATGTAAGTGTAGACAGCCTTGAGTCTCTCCGAGTGTCATTACTAACAATATTTGCAGATATTATCATTCAAAGTAGGGAAATAGGGCCGAGTGGATGGGTATGCTGTTTCAACGCTTCTTCACTGTGTAGTGTATATGGGGTATCGAAGTAGCTAGCGGTCAATTACGGCATATACAACATCTCTACAGTGGCATTACCATCTCCTTAACGCATCACCGCGTCCAACGTCGTGGTAGGCAATACGCGAGGATGGGTCCTCCGACACAGAGCTCACCAAAGTCGTCCACTCAAGGTTCCGACGACGCTGCCTCCAACGGGCAACATCAACAGATATGAGATGCCCACCATATAAAGAGGGAGGCTAAGGAGTTACGAAGTCCATACTCAATTTGTAGATGCATTGACGGGTATCGTGGTATTAGAACTAGCCCTCGAGAAAATCGAGTTGCGCTGCCAAGGAAAACATTGGATGTGTTGTAAACAAGACCACCGTCCCTCCTCTTTCGGGCCTGAAAAATCAAGGATAGAAAAATATGCCCCAAAAAGTACCCGTTCCGCTCCGGTCCCCCTCATCATCATCGCTCATTATTCCCGTGAGGAAAATGTCTTTGCTCTCCCAGCCTCCTCCTCCTCTTCCTCCCCAGTCCCCCTAGCAACAACCCTGTTCGTTTGCCCATCACACTTCAATCACCATCCAGGAACCTCCCCGCAACGCTGAGAAAAAATATAAACACCCCTTGCCGTAGTATTCGTAGCCCAAAAAATCCCACCTTATCCCAACCCGAAAGGCGTCTCGAAAAATAAGCGGTGATACATCGCGGTCGACTTGGCGCCCAGTGAAAATGTCTTGTCACGAGCATGTGGCAGCCCGAGAGTGGAAAGATGGCGGGGCTGAGTGCGCTGATGTCATCTTTTACAGGGGCCCCGCCTGATATGGACAGGGGTAGCTCCTGCAAGAGAGAATCTGGATCGCTCTCCGATTCATCAATTGCCGATTGCCGACGAAAGGCGGATCAAACAGCTGGAGCCCAGCCACAGCTTTTTTTTTTTCCTTTTTTTTTTTGGTTTGTTTTCTTATGTCGTTGACTGGACCGTGGTTGGAGAAATTAGGTTGTTATGCGCCGCATTTTTTTGGTTCGAGAATGGAAAGAAAAGGATCGTTGGGCCGCTTGGGCGTCTTCAGCGCTGCGCTGCGGTGAGGTGGTGGTGCTGCTTAAAGTCCGGACATTTGTCGACCCCCTCCCAGTTTTGTTGTGGGAGGGGGAGGATTAATATCTACAAATAATGAAGCAGGCGTGGACGATACCAGGCAGGTACTGTGCGATCAAGACGGTTAGCTAGGCTGGTCCTTCATCAAGTTAAAAGAACGGCTGGTTGGGAAATCAAACTTACCCCGAGGCAGGTCAATATAATGTTGATGAGCAGATCCATGTTGCACCCGCGCTCAAGGAAGACACCAAGAGGAGGTAGGATGACGGCGAAGATAAGCTTGCAGATGTCGCTACAGGTGAAAGGCATGATGGCGGTATTGGTTGATTGCTGCTGTGTAGGTTGGTTGTTGATGTGAGAAAGGTTACTGTACGTTTTATGTTGGTTGACGGTTGTTTGTTTGAACAAAAATACAGGAGTCTAGCAAAGTGGGTGTGGGCAAGGTCTTTAAATAGCTGTGTGGTGTGCCATGTTGGACCGGCTGTCAAGGCACGGCTGACAAGGTCTGCAAGGTCAAGATGGGATGGGCTTGGATGGCAAAGGCGCGGTTGAACGCATGCTGCCGGCTGCTGCTGCTGCTGGAGGTGAATGCGCCGGCCGCCCAGCCCGTCGCAGGGGTCTTGTCACGGACTGCTCCGGGTGACCTGATTGGAAGGACCAAGTCGTGCATCATTCATTGTCGCATGCGGTCAGTCATTACCCAGTTTTGAGGCTGGTTTTCCAAGCCCCGGCTTTCGTGGCGGATATGCCCGATACCCGAATGGTTTGCCATGAACGGAACTCGGTTCTCTCGGCGTTCGGCACTACACAGTATTCAATGACGTTACGCAGCACTGATGAAAATAAAATGAAATGAAATAAACTAAAATTAAAAACGGTTTGCAGGGTCGCAAACCACAGCGAGATCACGGGACAGCGTCGGTGTTGAAGCTTTGCGCAACAAAACTCTTTTTGTTTGCTGAGCCCCCCGAAGCCCCTCATTAACGGCAACGGGGTTGCATGACCTTTAGCTTGGGGTCTCGTTCACCGCGAGACTGCGGCCATGAGGGTGTTTTACCCGTCGTCCGCTTCTGCCCTTTCGGGCGTACACTTATTCGCGAGTGACACCCGCCTGACCAATGTTTCCTCTCGCGGCGGCCACGGTGTTGGTGACGGGATCAAGGTGCAGGGCGCTTGTCGGAAAAGGTCTTGGCGGCGGGCGCAGTGCCGCACTCGAATGCAGCACGCCTCAAATGTGTGACGTAAAGTCGATGACATCATTCACTACGTGGCGCAGCGGATTGTGGCGCTTAGATTGTGGCTCATGCTCTGGCCACGCACGACGACATTCTTGAGGTCAAGACCGAAAAAATGCCAAGGTTTCAATACCTGATCTGGCTGATCATCAGAGATTAGCGTATGCGAGGCGATACACTACATCAAAAAGCTTGTTTGGTTATCGAGTCTTACGGGTGTCGAGTAAATTCGGTGTTACCTCCTGCCCGGGGTTTGGTGGCGGGTTAGGCATCGGCTTAGGGGTCTTCTTTTCATCCGGATTTGTATGGATTCGTTTCTTTAATCTGTCAGGGGCCGTATGTGTGAAACGAACACCAACCTCTGTGGTATCAACGTACGGTTGAGGCACAGCTGGATTGAACCCCGGGAAGTTAGGGGGAGGCGCGAGTTTTCGGGAATAAGTGGCACTAAAAATGGATAAGGGAAGAAGGAGCCGAAACTGGTCCTAGCTAGCACCTTCGCAAGTTGAGAACGACTCGGGCATTTCAACGGAAGGATGGTGTATTCGTGCTACGTTAACCTCAAGGCCCTGAGACGGATGCGTTTCGGAGGGGTGGTCTGGACGTTCCCTTGTCCGACCGGCGCTCATCTTCAAATCCCGGCCTTGGCACGGCCCCGCTCCGCAACCGCCTAGCCCCACCCAACCCCAAAGCCCTAAGATTTTTAGGCCACAATTTTGCGCCAATGCGCGCGGAATTAGAGTTTCACCGCCCGCGCGACGAAGAGAAATTTCGAGGTCTGAGAATTTCAGCGACCCGCAACACCACACGACCAGACGCAGGATATCACCTCTTTGCGTTCCAGACATCCCTCCGGTCAATTTCCGCCGAATCATCCTCTCCCATCAGAAGCAATGGCTCCCATCGCAGTATGTTCCATCATCACCACCTGACCGCTTTGCTGTTGGCCCAGTCCCCTCCCGACAAGAGCGGATCATGGCGTGAAACAGTAGGCTAAGTCAATTTCCTTCGGGACAAACAGAAGAAGTCTGGCGCCAAGAAGGGCCCTAAGACGACGAAGAAGGTGAGTTTTTCAAAGCATCCATCCATTATTGCGCCCTTGGTTTCGTGCAGTCGCTGATTAGATCACCCTTTGTGTCTAGTTCGTCATCAACGCCTCGCAGCCCGCGAGCGACAAGATCTTCGATGTCTCCGCCTTCGAGAAGTTCCTGAACGAGAAGATCAAGGTTGAGGGCCGTGTCGGCAACCTCGGCGAGACCATCAAGATCTCCCAGGTCGGCGACGGCAAGATCGAGATCATTGCCCACAACGAGCTCTCTGGCCGCTACCTCAAGTACCTGTACGTTTGAGATCATCGAAGATCAACTCCTACTAAGGATTCGGGAATGCTAACGACCATCGCAGCACCAAGAAGTTCCTCAAGAAGATGCAGCTCCGTGACTGGCTCCGCGTCGTCTCGACTTCCAAGGGTGTTTACGAGCTCAAGTTCTTCAACGTCGTTAACGACGAGGCTGAGGACGACGACGAGTAAACTGGACGTCATCTGGCTGGGGCTTTTTCTGCGGGTGTTATCTGGCAGGGGGGACCAAAAGGATTACTGGACGGTTGTGCATGCATAGCGGCGGAAAATGGGTCAATAAATAAAAACAAGACACAACGCTGCTGTTGCGGCCGCCGGGCGTTCCGGGCAAACCAACTGGTGCTCCTCTTTTGTTGAATCCCCAGGGTATATGTGACGATGATGATAAGATAACCCAAGTATGTCCTGGCCCTCACGCCGGCAAAGACCTCATAGCCGCCTCAAACGCCACCAGCGCCATGGCATTCGCCGGGAACGCCCTCAAAAAACACGGCAAGAACCCCCTCCAATACCCCATCGCACCGCTCTCCCGATACACAGCCTTCGCAGCATCCTTCCACCGCGGGAACCTCCTCTCCCCATCCCCGAGCCCTCCACCAAGCGGATCAGTCATAATCCTCTGCTTCACCACATCACTCGGATAACTCAGCACCCAAAACACCTGCGCACTCAGCCCACCGGCCCAGAAATTAATCACCGGCGCGCTCATCGTCGTGCGCTCCCTCATCCACCTCGAAAACACATCATAACTCCCCCACCAAAAAAAGAAAAAACTCCTAAACAACAACGTCGCTTGCAACCCATGATACACCCCGCGTATCCCATGCCACCTCCACACCTTCCGCAAACAATCCACCGGCCCACTATACAACCTCTCACTCTTCTTCGCCGCATACTGAATCTGCAACCGCGCCTTCACATGCTCCACAGGCGCAGCCACAAAACTAACCGTCGCGCCCGCCATCACCCCGGCGATCCCATGTCCATGCGCAGGCAGCGGCAGCGGGATGGGTTGGGCAGGGTCGTAGAGCGGATGGCCGGGGGGTGGGAGGGTGTGGAAGAGGTGCTGGTGGACGAGACGACGGTAGACGGAGAGGGAACCCAGCATCACGCTGTCCATGAACATCCAGCCGACGAGGGGGGGTGTGGCGCCTTTGTAGAGGCCGACGAGACCTTCGTGGCGGAGGGTTTGGGCGAGACATTGGAGGGGGCCGGAGAAGCGGGAGGCGTCGGTGGTTTGGAGACGGACTTTGATTGTGTCGAAGGGGTGGCCGACTGGCGCGAGGTAAAAGTGTGTGTGTAAGTGAGGGGATGCTTCAGAGTAAATGGAGTCGGGTGGCGTTTTAGGTGAGCTTACCGGAGAGCTTGGCTATCCCGGAAAATACCCCAGCAACAAAGCCTTTGTAGTTCTTGTTGGATGTTGTTGGAGGTTGGGCTGCTGACGCCGAGGATGTCGCCGGGTTCGGCTGTGGTATTGAGGTGCTGGCTGACATTGTGTCTTGTTGCTTGTCTGAGTGGGTGTGGACAGATCGGAGTGGGAAAATGCGGGGTATTTAGAGAGGTAAGGTAGTATGATCGGACGTCTCAAGGCGTCGACCGACGGTGAAGTTTTAAAAGTGACATCTTCATGTTCTTCGACTTGGAGTTTCCGGGTGGAAGTCGCTGGGCACTGGTGCGGTATCGGACAAGCTTACAGGTCCAAAAGCCGGGCGGTTTAGGGTCCAGGGCACCGAGCCAGGGGTTTAGCTGTAGGAGCTCCGCCCCGTCCCGTCTACCCACCTATTCTCGGCCTTGTTGCGCCCTGTAATAATCCCCCAAACCTGAATATCAGATACCTTATTTGATATTTGAGATTTCGATGGGCTACATCGTGGAATTGATGAAGAGAAATCAGGCAATCTCGGGATTACAGCCCCTTCTTTTTGTGAGTGTAGGAATATGTGAGATGCACCTGTGACCTCAAACCTCGTCCTCCGCAAATCTAAGGGTATCTCTCTCAAACCTTCCCACTCGTCCCAACCATCCGCTATTACAGTTGTTCACAAAGCCTCAAGCATGTCAGATTATTTTCCTGCCCCTAAAACGTCTTCCCCCACACCACCGTCCCCCCAACCACCCTTCCCAGCACATACCCCCCATACAACCCAGCCAGCACCGTAACCGGCCACTTCTGCCACTCACGGTCCCAATCCAGCGGGATCGGCACCGCCCCAAGCCACGCGCCCACCACGGCGCCCACCAATCCACCAAATGTCTCATCCAGCGGGGCCGCAAACCCGCCGACGACAGCCCAGGCGCTGCCGTCGACGCCGTGGATGTAGAACAGCGGGAATAGCGCGAGGACCGCGAGGTGCGCGGCACAGAGGAAGGTGTGCGCGCCGTGGGTCAGGAAGGGCGCGCCGAAGAGAACCATGGTGATGTAGAGGAAGGGGGTGACGAGGAGGGAGAGGATGAGAGAGAGGAGGGCGGTCTGCGTGGGTCGACGTGTTAGCAGACAGCAGAGAAGACACAATAGCATAGAAGAGAGGAAAAACACTCACAACAACCCCCTTCCGTCCGCCAACCCCCTCCCCTCCACCCCCCTTCCTCCCTTTCCCCCCTAGGGGCTGCTTCTCACCCACACCACTCCCACCCGCACCAGCACCACCCGACTTCGAAGCCAAAGACCCCGACCCCGGCGCCGGCAAACAGACAACCGCATACCCAACCTGCAGCGCAGCCGTCACCGGCAGCCCCGACGCCATCGCGGCAACGGGCTCATCCACTAGCGCGCCAAAGCGCGCAGCGAATAGTACCGCGAGCAAAGCGGGGAGGGCGTGGCGGGCGGTTTGGGCTAGGGGGGTGGGGCGGATGGAGACGGGGCGGAGGATGGAGGTTGTTTTTGGTTTTGTTTTTGTGTTTGTGTTTGGGGATGTTGGGGTTGTTGGTGAGTTGTTGGAGGATGTGGTGGTGGTGGTGGTCGCGCCGGGAGTTTTGGAGAAGGCCGCGTGGGCTTGGGCTTGCGCGGCGGCGCCTTTGGCGAGGGCGGAAGACATTGTTTTTGGGTCGGTGGGGGGCATTGGCGCGTATGTGCTGGGTTCTTCGAGATGGGAATGGATGCGGGATTGGTGATGGGTTTGTGTTGAAATGCTCGTGGTTGAGGATGGATTGGATGGGACAATTAAATTCAAGTTGCGAGATGGGCCCGCGCTGGTTTGGATCAGCGCGGCGCGCCTGGTATTGAACCCTAACCCTGAGATGGCGCACATACTGTATTACAGTCTGGCGAAGAGAAGTGAAGAGACAATGGCTTTCTCTCATGGCGTTCATTCATATTTAGGCATATCAAGGTATCAATCCCTCAATTTTAATCCCATATTTTTAAACCCCTCCCCAGCCCCATCACCCCTCATTGCGTCGTCTCCTGCGCGGGAATGAGATTCCGCAGCGACAAATCATACACCACATCCTCCACCTTCTTGACCGCATACTTGATCGAGTCCACCCTCTTCCGCAAGATATCATTCTTCAGGTTCAGCACCTGGAATCCCGCGTGTAGGTCCTTGATAAACCCGCTGATCTGCACCGCCATAGCCGTATCGCCCAGCGTGACCGAGTTGACAGCCAGCCGGCTTAGGTCGTCGATGACGGAGATCAGGCCTAGCAGATACTCCTCGATGGTGATGTGGAAGGCGTCGCGGTCCTTGAGGTTGACGGGTGCTACATTTTCTGGTTTAGCACATGTCGGGTATGGAAAGTTAATAGGTATAGTAATAATTACCATTAAAAACCTCTCCAATATCCTCAAGCGTCAACAGACGACCGAGCTCGCCCGTCTTGGACTCAGTCGACAAACCGCCGAGCCAAGTAGTGAGAATGACCGTGGAGATGGCGTCCTGTACCATGCGTGTCCACTTGTGGTTGTATCTATAGTCTCATTGTCAGTCTACCACCACTACCTCCGGTTCCTATCAAACCCACTCACTTGTAATACGGAAACTGAGACGCAAACGCCCCCAGCCTCCCAACCGTTTCAATCTCCTTCTTGACCCCCGCCTCAACCTGCTCAAACAAAGTCGCATCTAGTTACCATTCATATCAGCTCTCACTCCTACTCTCATCCCCCAACAAACCCCATCCCCACCGGTAACCAAGAAAGGGTCAGAAAAAAGAGACCTACACTTCGCCCGTGGCGTCGAATGTATCCGCGACAGCACCCCCTGCGTAAACGACACATGCTGATTCAAATCATCGAGGATCTGGTCCAGTTCCTTGCGGACGCTGGTGTCTTCCTCAATCTTGGTCTTGAGCTGATCAAACAGCGCGGGGTCGATCAACGGCGGCGCCATTTCCGATTATTGGGGGAGCTTTCTGTTCTGTTCGTTGTCGGGAAATGGGTTGGTTGTCGATGGTCGTTGAGTTTGAGCCTGATGTTTGTTCAGGTGGGGAACTTTGAGCGTCTCCCTTGCACTAATTAGAGACTCCGGTATTTGGAGACGGTGAGCGACTAAAAGTACAACGGGAATGGGATTGCACTTTAACGGTAGGTTTAGTACCTAACTAGAATTTAGAGAACACAATCATTTCTTAGACACACAACCTATCGGTAAGGAAGGGGCGATGGAGGCCCTCAGGATCGGTGTGGGGTGTCAGACCCTAACCCTCGCCACACCCTATCTTCTACCACAGTAAGCTGGCACACACTCCATGGACACTTGACAACAAATTGCGAGCATAGGCTTTCAGGATCTAAGGAACATCAACGGATTCAATTTCTTCTCACATCACATAATTCGTTAGAACTGTACAGTATTAATCTCGTGGAGAGGAGATATCCATTTATTTGCTCATCGTTACATCATTAGACGCATACAGCTTCCTCGTCGTTCCTCATGCCAACATACTCACTTAACATCGCCGCCCAAGAGGCACCAACGAGAGAACCAACACAAGACAAGAAAAACCAAACTCGCAAAACACAATCTCAACAGATAGCCACCCAACCATATCATCCAACCTTCATTGCTCATCCATCCGTCCATCCCGTCATACGTCCATTCAAAAAAATCATCAAGCTCATCATCAGTCATAAAAAACACACGAAACATAAGAAGTGAACAAGAAAATCATATCGTCGTCAACCTTATTTCACCACCCGCCCGTTGACAAGCCCCTCAAGCACTACTGGTAAAGAGCCGCTTGAAAGCCGCCCTGATCCCAGTCTTCTCCTTCTCCTTCGCCCGCTCCCTCTTCTCCTGCCTCATGGCCCGGTGCGCCTGCGACTCCGCATCGCCGCCATTAGCTGACGATCCCGAGCCTTCGACATCACCAGAGCCATTGACGTCGACCGATGGGGCCGAGGCTTGGGCACCCAACGGCCCAGCCTCCTCCTCCGCCGTCGCCGATGGCTGCTCGTCAATGACGTTGTCGCGCTCACGGTCTCGGTCACGCCTGTGCTCCCGACTAGACTTGGTCAGAGCTTCGTCCTCGTCACGCTTGCGGACGGAGCTACTGCGCTCCTCAGACCGCCGCGCCCTGTGGGAACTGCCGCGATTCGGGTTGGAGCGGCGGAGCTCATTTGGATTGACCGCGGTCCGAGATGATGAAGACGCTGGCGGAAGAGTACCGGCCGAAGTCGTGGTGTCCCGTGAACTGGTAAAGTTGGGCTCTATGATGCTGTGACCGCTCTTGAGATCAAAAAACCGCTTGCTAGCGCCCGGCGAAGGGGGCACTGTCACGTCAGTCGACTTGGGGTCGATGCTATGGCGACTGAAGCTGCTACGACGCGACTCGCGGTGGTGCGAGGATCTCTCCGAGCGCTCGGAACGGTCACGAGGGGCGGCCCGCTCCCATTCCTTGTCCCTTTCCCGTTCCCGGTCCATCTTGGCTGGTGAATCCGGAGCGCCGTCCTTGGCCTTCTCGAGCTCACGGGCACGGCGTCGCTCCTCCTTTTTCTTGTCATGGGCGGCCTGTTCCTCCGGGGTCCTGTGTCTCCGACGGGGGCTGCTTTTGTGTTCTCCGAAACCAGGATCCTCGCGGTTTGGCGTGCGCGGAGGCTCGTCCTCGCCCCGCGAACGCACCGACGCATAGCTGTCTGACCTGGACCGGTGTGAGCGCCGGGACTCCTCCCTGCTCCCGTCGCGGCTGTCATGGTGGGAACGGCGGCGTGAAGAGTGGTGACCATCCCTGTGGCTGTGGCTGTGGCTGTGGCGCCTTGAGCTGTGAACGGCCTTGGAATCATCGGTCTTGGGCAGCTCTCTGTTTCTGTCTTTGTCGTCTACCGAGAGGTCAGCACCAGAATCAGGAAGATCTCTCGACCTGGCTCTGCCCCTATCCTGCTCATCCTCGACCGAATCTTGGAGAGACAGGTGAGGCACATCGGCAATCGCTTTCCCTTTGCCTTTCCCGTCAGAATGCATTTCGGGCGAACCAAAGGCGTCAAATCCTGGACTGGCAAGCCTCGGGCTCCCTGGGGGGCTCAGAATGTCGGCAGTGGCATAGATGACCACGGCGGCAGCTACCATCTCCTCGGCGTGCTTGATGGTATTTCTTCGCTGCCGGCGCAGACTGCGCATCCGGCCGAGCTGTCTGGCCACCGGATCTTCGAGGTCAGGAAGTATGAGGGCGGGCGTGGGCACGCGGAAATCCAGAACGATGTCTTTGTCAGAAGGTCCGGACCCGTCCGCTGCCGTTCCTGGGGCGGCTAGGAGGCCCTCACCGTGTTTCGCTCCGTTGATACCAGAAACAAGCCCAGACCATTCACTAGCGTCTTTTCCTTCCACATCTCTGCCGTTATCTGCCCCCGGTGTGCTTCTCTCCACGACGTGGAACGGCTCGGATAGCGGGGCCTGAGATGGCTCCGTTGGCTTGACTTGGCCACCCGATTCGAGCGGTGATATCTCCCTCGATGTGACGGTCTCGCCTTCCGGCTTGGATGTGAGTCTATCAAGAGGCGAAGCTGTGGATGGTGGCGCATCACTCTTGCCGGCCAAGCTGTGCGCGGCTAGGGCAGCGGCAGCTCCAAGGACGCCAACAGCACCGGCGCCAATCGCGATCTCCTTGGTATGAGAGCCCTCATCCGTCGCAACATCCGTGCTAACTTCCGTCGCCCCAGGAAGTGCCTTCTCATTGCCGTGGGGAAGGGAGAATGACGTATCGGTAGGCAGTGTGACGTTTGTCTCGGTCGGCAAGGGGTACGTTGTGTCAGTCGCTAGGGAGAAGTTGGTGTCTCGGGGGTCGTAATCCGAAGTAGCCTGGTGGATTGTGCGGCCGAGTACGGGGCTTTCTTGACCGGCATTGGGTAATGCAAACGCGGATGCCGACGAGTCCCGGGCGGCAGCAGAGTCGGCAACGGCAACGGCGACCTTCTCGGAAGACGGTTCTTCGGCCTGGCTGGGCAGCTGATCCTTCTGAGCTGTGCTCGTTTCGGGGTCTTCAGCGTCCAGCACGACGATAGAATCATCGATGCCAGCCGAAGCAGATCCCGCTTGCGATGGAGGTGGTTGAGAATCAGAACCACGCTGGATTGACTCAGTTGACCGGTCAATAAGAAGACCTGATTCATCAATAAGCTGAGAGCTCTCGGCACTGACCACGACGGGCTCATCAGCCGTCACGTCGCTGGCAATGGTGTTGTCCTGGTCTCTAGGCTTGGTGGCAGTGCCGTCGTCAAGAGTTTGACCGTCTTCGGAAACTTGGGTGCTTTCAATCAAGACGTATTCTTCCGAGGCGGTCTCGGGTACTGGATCGTCTGCCTCGGGCTGGGACTTTTGGCTCTCTGGCTCGGTGATTTGCGTCTCTGTGGGAATGCCCTCGGTAGTGGAATCGCTAGTCGTGGCCTGCGAGATTTCGAAGGGCTCGGTAGGCACGGCAGACACGGCGGGGGTTTCGGCCACAGAAAGCTCGTCAGTAGCACCGGATTCAACGACCAGAGACTTCTCCGTCGCAATGGATTCAGGGGTAGCCTCGGGTCCCGCAGTAGCAGCCTGAACCTCAGGCTCGGGCTCAGGCTTGGGATCAGACTCAAGCTTGTTCCCCTCGGCTTGGGTGGACTCATGGACAGGAGGCTCAGCAATCTCGCGGGTCGTTTCTTCAGCGGCCGATCCGGATTCAGCGATCTCTACTGTTTGGTGGGCGATCTCGGGCTCAGAGACTGGTTCGACTTCGGCGGGGACTTCCTGAGGCTCAGTAGCCACTTCCGGTCCAACGACAACTTCAGGCTGGGGATCCAACTCGGTTTCGGCAACTACCTGCGTTTCAGCAACCGCGTCGGGTTCAGCAACTTCCTTAGCTTGGAGCTCAGGACTTGCCTCGGGCTCAGCGGTCGCTTCTGGCTCGGCAGTTACCTCGGGTTGGGCAATGGCCTCGGGACCAGCAAGTCCTGTAGCTTCATCCTCAGAAGTCGCTGGAGGCTGGAAAACCGGTACTCCCCCGTTGTCCTCCGTGTCGGAAGCCTGTGCTTCCGCCTCCGCATCTAGCGTCGGCTCATCCTCCTTGGCCGGGACCTCCACGGCTCGCTCCGCAGTAGCCTCAGGCTCGGGCACGGAGGCGGAAATCTAACTCAAAGTCAGTAAACAGGGCCGGATAAGACATATTTCAGACACTGACTACACTTACGGCCGGTTCGACTTCTTCTGTGTTTTCCAGCTTCAGCGCATCAAGAGCCTGCTCCTCGCCAGGGCCAGGGGCAACATCCTTCGTCTCGGTATCGTTCTCATTATCTCCAGCGGCATTGCCGATATTAATTTGTGCGGGGGTATCGCGGGTATCATGGGTATCATTCGTAATGTTGAAAATGGAAGTCGTCAAATTCGCATCCTGGGTATCATGGGTATCCGGAAGTCGCGAGTCCAGGTCCGTATCCTTTGGTTGTGAAATGCATTCTGGTGCCTCCTGTCCTGCCTTTCCGCTGCCATCGGGGGTATCAAGCAATACTGGGTGTTCCTCACCTGTAGCCTTTCTCTCAGCCACCTCCTGCTGCCCCCTGAGAATTGGCCCAACCGTGTCCTTGCTCTCGTCATCTTCAACCTTGGATTCCTCGAGATTGTCGTTAATGGGTTTCTCCTCGGCTAGGACAATGGGAGTGTCATCAGTCTTCTCTGCTGTATCAGCCTTCGTTTTTTCGGCAACAGGCTCGGCGGCCGCCACGGGGGACTCCTCAGGCGCGGGTTCCTTTGCCGTTTCGGGCTCGGGTGCTTCTGTGGAGAGTTCCGCGGCCGGCGTCTCTTCTTCTGGCTCTTCCTTGGGTTCCTCCGACTTGGCCACTTCAACCTGTTCTGATGTCGGTCGGTCAACCGGCTCAGCTTCTTCCGCTGCCGCGGCCTCCCCGGTCGGCTCAAGAACTGCTCCCTGCATCTCATCAATCTCAGCCTCCTCTGAATTCTCCTCGACCAGAGCGGTTACTTCGGCTGGAGCAGCTTTCTCAACAAGCGCAGGCTCTTCGGCGACCGCGCCGGCTTCGACAGCGAGAGTCTCATCAACAGGTGCTGGGCTTAATTCCTGAGTGGGCTCGGCGGCGGCCTCCTCGGTGAGTGCTACACCAGAGTCTTCAGTAACCTCGGCCTCGGCTTCTGCAACAGCGACTGCTCGCTCAGCTTTCACAGTCTCAAAGGGCTCAGCGCTGGTTCCTTCAGCGGTAGTGTCAGCCTCCTGGGCAAGTGCAACGCCGCCGTCCTCGGTATCTTGATCAGCCACAGGTTTCGGATGCGCAGCTTCGTCCACCTCGGTCGTTGCTTCTTCGACAGCGTCGAGTTTTGCACCTTCAGTGGGCTCAAGATCCGGCTCCTCTGTAGCCGCAACACTGACTTCCTCGACGGGTTTGGGTTCGGCTTGTTTGATCTCGACCTCCTGAACAGTTGTAGCCTCAGTCTTGGGCTCTTCCGCATGCTCGTCCTTTACCTCGGGCTGAGATTCCTCGGCCGGCTCGTTCTTGGTTTCTTCCGGCGTGCCAGTCGGAAGCTCAATGACAGGCTCAGGGGTAGACTCTTCTGCGAGTTCAGGGGCAGACTCTTCGACAGGTTCGGGAGCAGACTCTTCGACAGGCTCAGGGGCAGAGTCCTCGGCGGTTTCAGGAGCCGTTACGATGGGTTCAACGGGGGTCTCTCCAGCCGGTTCGGCAACGTCCTCAGTCAGCTCGGCCTTGGTCTCTTCCAAGACCTCCGTGGACTCCAGGGACCTCTCCTCAGAAGCGGTCTCTGCAACGGGTTTGGCCGCAATATCTTCAACTGAGATAGTAGCCGCTTCATCGGATGCTTCGATCTTGGCTTCTTCCGGAGTCTGGGCTGCGGCCTCCTCGGTGGGCTCCAGAATCAGCTCCTCAGCCGCTTCAATCTTGGTCTCTTCCGGAACCCCGGCATCAGTTTGTCGGGAGGTTTCAGACGCTGCCTCATCTGTGGAGTCCGTACTAGTCGGCTGAGGAGGCCCTGGCTTCGTGTCCTCATCGGCCTCAGTGCTGAATTCCTTGACCTCTTCAGTCTTGTCCTCGTGCGGAGTCTCGGTAGCAGGCCCATCAATGGTCTCGACAGCGGGCTCCTCGACATCCTTGGCGGCGGGTTCCTCGACAGTCTCGACAGCCTCAGCAGCAGGCTCCTCGACAGCCTCAGCAGCAGGCTCCTGGACAGTCTCGGCAGCGGATGCCTCGACGGTCTCGGCAGCAGGCTCATCGACGGTCTCGACAGCGGGCTCCTCGACAGCCTCGGCGGCGGGTGTCTCGACAGCCTTAGAAACCTCCTCGGCCGGCTCAACCTTGGACTCTTCCGGGGTCTCGGCAATAACCTCCTCGCTAGACTTGGAGGCCGCCTCCTCGGCGGGTTCAGTGGTAGGTTCCTCAATGGACTTGGCGCTGACTTCCTCTGCTGACTCGACCTTGGCTGCCACCGAAGTTTCGTTTTCATTTACTTCGGTCGGCTCCTCGGGGGATTCATTGGCAGGTTCACGCTGAGATTCCTCGACAGGGTCGGCCTCGGCTTCCGCAGTGTGTTCGGCTTTGGCCTCGACCACTGTATCAGGGACGGCCTCTGCAACATCCGGTTGAGTGCCTTCGACCGTAGGAGGGCTATCTTCGGTAGGCTCAACCGGCTCTTCAGATGTTGGAACCGTCTCCTCTTCCTGGGGAGCTGCGGGCTCGGAAATTTCGGGGACCTGCTTAACGCCGGTTTCCTCGGCGGCAGGCGCAGCCTCGGCTACATCTTCGGGCTCCGGAGCGTCTTCGGTCTTGGGTGCCGCTTCCTCAGTGACGGGGACATCTATGGTTGCTTCCTCAGCATGGAGAGCCTTAGGGTCGTCCGACTTTTCGGCTCTAGTTGCTTCGGCCGGCGTATCGGCGATGACCTAAATATGGTCAATTTCAAGAGCTCGTAGGTACCACAACGGGGATAAAACTTACCTCGTCCACAGGGACAGACTGCGCTTCTGTAGGCTGTTCTTTGGCCTGTTCGGTAATCTCCGCAGCTTCGGTGGTCTCGGCAGGCCCTGCAGCTGCGGAAACTTCATCAACCTCAGCGGGCTCGGCAGTTTCAGCAGGCTCCGAGGCATCAGCGTTATTTGTGACGTCACTGGCCTCGACGGATTCTGGAATACCAGAGGACTCAACAACCTCGGTAGACTCAGCGGCTGCGGTTGCCGCGGGGGCTTCGTCACCCTCATAAGCTTCGGCCACCCTGGGAGCTTCAGAAGAGGCGGCATCTGCTTCCGTCTCAGCCGCCTCCTCGGTGGGTTCAGGCTCCTCTACAGCAGCGAGCGTTGGGGCTAGGATTTCGGGGGCGGAATCCTCAGCTTTGCCGTCTATCTCAACTTCCGATGCAGTTTCGGCCGTCGCCTCAACAACTGTCTCCTGTTGTGTGAGAACCTCAGCCTCAGGAGCAGCTTTGGTCTCCGCAACAGCTTCAGCTTCGGGGGCAGCTTCGGGAGCAGCTTCGGCTTCGGCTTCGGGAGAAGCTTGAGCCTCGGTAGTATCCTCAGTCTCAGCCACGGCCTTGGCCTCGACCTCAGCTGTTGCCCCGGGGGCTTTCTCAGGCTTCGAGTCTTCTTCCGCCGTAGCTGAAGCATCCGTTTCTATTGCCGGGACCTCCTTATCTGTGGTCTCGGATTCAGTCGGTTGCTCAGTGGGGACGGCCCCGGCGGCAGATTCCTCGCTCGCGGGGTGTGCTTGTGTTGGGGAATCCTCGGTAGGCTCGGTAGGCTCGGTTTCTCTGTTGAGTTTCATGGTCAGTTGCGCGTTAAAATCCACTCAGACTGAGAGACGGAACATACGTAATAGACTCCTCGGGTACAGCGGGTGCCTCTTTGGTGGCAGGGGCGTTTTCAACCGGAGCATCTTCAACAGGGGCATCTTCCGCGGGGGCATCGGCGGTTTCGTCAGTGGGAACCACGTTTTCAGAAACCTCGACTACGACTTCGGGCTCGCCGTGCACCTCATTGACCTCTGTGGACTCGGTAGCCTCAGGAGCGGGCTCTCCAGCCTCAGGTGTGGCTTGACTCGCGTCAGGAGTAGACTCATGTTCGGGTTCAGGAACAGTGGCCGCTTCGGCTTCGACTTTGGGCTCGTCCTTGGTTTCGACTGCGGGTTCTTCAACAGCGGGCTCTTCGACTGCGGGCTCTTCGACTGCGGGCTCTTCGACTGCGGGCTCTTCGACTACGGGCTCATCTTTAGCCTCGACCGCGGGTTCTTCCGCAAGCTCGGTGGCTGGCTTGGAGGCCGGCGTCTCGTCAACCTCAGCAGCAGGCGCTTCCTTAGCCTCCGGGGTCGATTCAGCGGCCGTGTCAGCGACAGTTTCGGCAGGTTTCGCATCCTCGGTAGGTTTTGGGGCCTCAGCATCCGCGCTCGGGTTAGCCACGGCTGCGGGTTCCGTTTCCTCGTTCAACACGGTTTCAACAACCGGGACATCTTGAGCCTCTTCTTGAGGCTTTTCAGCCTCTGTTTCGGGGGAATCAGAGGTAGGCTGCACCTCCACCGAGTCGGCGACGGGGACCGGGGCGTCTTCTACGGGCTTCTCGGGCTCGGTGGCCTCTTCCGAAGCTTCAGCAACCGAGGTCTCAGCTGCTGGCTCCTCCTTCGCCTCGGCAGCTGGCTCATCTGCAGGGGTGACTTCGGTCTCAGTGCTGACAGGCTCTTCGGTGGAGACCGCGGGAGCCGTTTCGGCGGCGGGCTCCTCCGCCGGCGCCGCTAGAGGTTGTTCCGAGGTTGGCTCGGCCGGGGCGGCTTCTGGTTGGGGAGCGGATTCAGCGGTCTCTTCCGTCGGAGCAGCCGCGGCGGCCTCTTCAGTGGCAGGCACCTCTTCGGCCGTGGCTTCGCTCGCTTCCGGTTGCTCACGTGTGGCTTCCGTAGCGGCAACTGCAGTCTCTTCCGATTTCGGCTCTTCTTTGCTTTCTGTGGCGACCGTCTCAGCCGGCTCGCTGGCCTTGTCCTCCTTTTCGGCGGCCTTTGACCCCTTGTCCTTCTTGCTCTTCTTCTTCTTCTTTTTCTTGTCACCAGTGGGAGCAGCTTCTTCAGCTTCCTCCTTGGGCATGGGCTGGGGCTCAGGCTCCGCTGGTGGTGGAGGAGTGGGTTCGGGCTCAGCGGCCTTCTCTGCTGCTGCTTTGGCCTTCTTCTTCTTCTTTGCCTTCTTCTTTGCCGAAGCACTTAACGGGGCTGCCTCCTCTACTGGCGTCGCCTCTTCCTCCTGCAAAAGCTGGGAAGACTCGGCCTCGGCAGAGCCGCCTAGGCAATGGAACCTGGTTAGCCCCCCGATTTCACTCAATTCCACTCACACAGGGCGCTCACCTTCACCATTTACGCCATTGGCACCTTCATCGTCCGAGTCGGGCTGCTGCTGGAAGTACTTGACATCCCCATACTGAGCGACCTGCAACTGGTTAAAATCGGCAAATTCGACATTGTCATACTGGGCCTGGGACCAATGCAGGCTTGCCCGTGTTGGACAGAACTCGACATTCTCTCCTGGGAAGCTCATACTTGTGTGGGACTTGTCGCTGCCTGGTCGGAGGGGAGCTCGACGGACAGGACTTGAGGGGTATTCTTATTATCCTCCATGCAGAGCAGCACAGCACACGAGGGGCTGTGTGGGACACTCGTGTGCGTGACGGGTGGAAGCGAGGGAGGGGCAAAATGCCAGAGCCGGAATTGAAGCCTTGGAGCCTTGATGGGAGTGCTGTGCTTCGGGGCACTGCAGATTGGCTTCCCGAAAAGCAAGTCCTGTGGGGCGTTGGGTCGGGAGGACGGCTCACGGCCACTCGGATACTGGGATTGGGTAGATGTGTGTATGAGGGTTTTATGGGATGCGGTTGCACTGTTGGTGTGATGCAGCCGCCGAAGAGCTATTGGGTGGGTGTCACGGACGGTCGTGCGGCCGGGACAGTGAGGTTCGGTTGACGAATATCAAGTTTAAAAAATGCCAAAAGCAAAGTAAACAAACGGATGGGTATGCTTGGTATTTGGGGGTTTCCGTGCTGATATGGGATGGAAAGCAAAGACGCTACACAGCTTCCTCGGATCGAATGCTTTCAATGTAAAAGGGAAAACTTTGCACTTGAGACGAACTGGTCATCGGAATTGGGATGAGGAGGGGGCCATCTTGAGCGGGAAAGGGTGACCCGGGACTGGAGGGGCAGTTGCATGCAGAAGGCGATTGAGTTCTTGGCAAGAACCACTTGCACTTTCCAATTCCTCCCCAACGCAACCCTCTTTTCCCCCTCCCCCTCATCCCCATCAGCCGCAACACAGTCACCAACCCCACGCATCGGGACAGGGCTCTTCAATGCGCGGGGTCGTGAGACCTCCAGTGACTGGATTTGGCCGAATTGACTGGAGTGACTTGGGGGACTGGGCCGAGGCCGACGGAACACTGGCCCACCCGACTGCAGTGGCGCCACGTCTGCAACGGGGGTTGGTTGCCGGGCCCATCAATCACTTGGATCAGAACCGATCACGACAACGCAGGGCGAGAAGTCTACCCAATGGACACAAACCAATTCGGCAACTGAGCAGGCAATCAAGGACGGACGGAGCGCTCGTGATGGGCAGCAGGCGACTCAGCTACACAAGACGCAAGTCGATGACAAACTGAGCGGCAAGAGTCGCCGATTGTCTGGCGTTAGCGACCGCAACGACCGCAAAAAGCCTGCTTGAGCTCCGTCCGCTTTCCGCTTGCGTTGAGCCGGTTGATAACATTCTCCACGGTCACTGGCGAGAGGATATCAAGAGGCAATTGAGTAAGCCTTACGCCTAACCATTGGCCGGCATGAATCTCTCGGACTTTGGCATCAGATTGGGCCGCCATTGAGCCATCCATCACGGGGACCCGCGCTGCCGTATCCGGGAGAGGTGAAGTTCATGGCGCATCCCGTTCCGGGAAGCTGACCCAAGGTGTCATCAGACAAGAAAAAAATACCGAGAAAGAAAGGACACGTCTGACGGTTCGAGATGGTGGTGTCATGGAAGAGGGGGAGGGGATTTGCCGCCAGTATATACCCTCCCGCTCAGCCTGAAGCCATTGACAACACATTGTGATACCAGTCAAACGTTTCACAGACAGGAAGTCGTGAAGCTGGATACTGGACGTGGGGAATGGGTGTGCTACGTGGTTGTCTGCTGGCTTGTCGCTTGCGGGGGATCCCTGCAGGACGGGCCAGGCTAACCGCGACGGGACTTGAGCTTGATGGGGCGCGCTAGCAAACTTCGGGTCGGGACGTGGGGCATCAACCAGGGGTCGTTCGCGAGCACGCCAGCGCAACAACTCCGAAGTTTTGAACCACTCTCCGAGTTTGGTGTTGTGGGAAGATCAAATTCTGGAAATACACAGGCCAACGGAAAGATATCAATCCGTTATGATACGAAAGAATCCCATTGCTCTGATGCGGTGAGCGGAGAGGAGGTGTCCAAATCAAGCAGTTAGCGTCAGACCTCTGTCCGAAGGTCCAGCGACTGCCAAAATCACGCTAGGCAAGGGTTGGTGCAAAGTCACACGCTAACAACCGGGCAACAGACGTTGGACTCGGTGATTTGGCCCAAGCTCCTCCGTGGAGGAAATGCAACCATAAAATCTTTCATGTCGAGATAGAAGAAAAGCGGTGGCGAGGAATTCCCAGCTCTTTGTTCGCAGGCTTCGGGAAGACGGTACGGGCTCAATGAAACCCAGCGCAATACTGTTGCCAGATATTGAGGATGAGGGAATTGCAACAACCTGATAGTGTAGTTTCAATCTCGCACCTGTGTCGCGAGGTCGTGTAATCGAACCCCAGCACGCCCAGGTATTAGTACATGCCAAGGACTGCACCCCGCTTCATCGTTGCTTCGGTCGTGGGATACCCCCATGTCACTGTACCAAACTGAGGTGCAGCACGACAACGAGACATTCTTCAGCAGATTTCTCCAACGCAAGGCGCGCTGACGGCCCAGCGACGGCCTCACGAGGATGAGACAAAATTTACCAACCTCCTCCTCTCTCTTGAGATCACGTTGTCAAATTCCTTTCCCAGATTTCAGATTTCCAAAGCACAGCCAGCCATCCATTTCCTAATCGAGCCCGTTCGGCCTCAGTGCAAACAGCCACAGCGCCAAACAAAAGGCCTTCTGATTTGTCGTTTTGAAGAACGACAGAAACGCGCGAGGCTGGAGGGCCTACCATCCCAAATGGAGAAGATATCAGAAAAAAAAAGGTAGGCAGACCTTTTTCTGTGTTGATCATGAACCCTTGCTGGGAAGTTCGCAGGGATCAAAAAGGCGGTGAACGGCGTTCGATCAATCCACCTTGGGCGGCGAGATTGCCGGGTTTGTCGCCGGCGCCGATACCCGCCACGGTTGATGGTCGGGCGTTCGTGAGCCCAATTGGTAAAACAAAACACACGGCTGGCACGAAAGACGGCTTCTCGGCACCTTAGCAGCCTTCTCCAAGTGGTTCTCCAAGCGGAGAGGTTGAGGTCCCCACTCCCACCCTCCCCTGACGAGGCTGGGGCGGCCGAAAGGGTCTTAACATTTAACAAGGCTGGAGTGAGAAGTGTTCAAGGCAAGTAACCAAAGGTGTGACATGTTTCGTCTGTGCGACTTCCCCCATTAACTACACCAAATCCTGAACCTCAAAACGCCATCCCTCGGCTAAGAGGGCTAAGAACTCCAAAGTTGCGTCGATGTCAATGCGATAAAAAAGGAAACAAAAACAACAGGCCCATCCCTCACTCCATTGATAGCACACCCACTTCCTCCTTCAAACAAAGACCCAGCTGCCTTGCTATACCCCGTATTCCCGACAACCCCATGGATGACCCGTGAGGCAACGAGCTGTATCATAGAAACGGAGAAGGGTTGGCGTGACGTCGTACCAAGTCCGGTTCCTAAGCTCACATGGCCATCTCGGCCTGGAGTCTCTTGAGCTCCGCCTCCTCATCGTCCTCGGCGACTGCAGGCGCTTTGCCCTTGACTAGAATGGCATTAGCACAGGTTAACTGAATGACGAAGCCATACGGTCGGGACTTACTCTCTCCATTTGCCACCGCAGGTAGGCGGTCGACGGGGACCGGGCCAGTCTCAAGCATCTTATCTTCGATTTGCTGCTGCTGGAGCTCTTCCAACTCGTCTTCGAGTTCGGTGTCGTCGAGTTGCGGGCCCACGCTGATGCTCCCCATGGCATCGGCAATCTCCTCATTGAGGCGGTTGTACTCTTGCAGCTTGTCCCTATTAAACCGGTCAGCGCCCGTCTGGTATCACGCGCTCCGTGCCACGCTGCGAAAAAGCAGACATACATCGTCTCGTCCACCTTGGTGGGTGTAAGCTTGCCATGTATCGACTTCATGGCATCACCCGCCCGCTGCATGGCGACGAACGTCTCCTGGTTGATGTTTGCTGATTCGATCGCATTCACTTGCTGCTCGATCGTCCCGATATGGTTCAGTGTTTGCTCGAGGTTGTGTTCGTGGATCTTCTTGCGTCGAAGCGCCGCCTTCGCAGCTGTAGAAACAGGTTGGTTAGCACCATCATCACGCCTGTCGCGGTCATCGTTGGCCGGGGAAAGATAAGCGTACCAGTCTTATTTGTGTTGACATTCTTCCGCGCAACCTGTTCCTGCTCTTCTATCTGGCGCGTAAGATGGACCTCACGCTTCTGCAGCATCTCCAGCTGCGCCCGCAGATCGAGGATGACATTCTTGGGGGTATCTTTCCGCTTCTGCGCGGCACTACCGCCGCCAAACCAACCCCAAAGTCCTGACATGGCGAGACTGTCGAAAACGAAAAGACCGGTGGTGAAGCGGCGATACACGGAGGAGGAAGGGAAGCGTCAGGCTCGAAGTCGGGGAATGAGTCGAGGTTCGATGTTGTGGCGGACAGGGGCAGGTGATCACCTGTGCCGATGACGCCTCCCGGGCTTTGGCGGGGTTGAAACCAGACCGCTGGCGACACTGCTCTTTATTCGACGGATGCTCGCCAAAAGAGGAACGGCCGACAAGGCAGACAATCGTCCTAGCGAAGATAGGTCTCGAAAAGCGAGTCGCGATGGGAGGGAGATGACGAATGCGCGGCAGGTCGTTTGGATGTTGCGAGGCTGCCTATCGGGGAGGATGATGCAAGGGTCGCCAACCAAGGCCGCTCGTTGAAGATGGCCAAGTGCGGGCACTCGCGAACCTTGGGAAGTGCCGAGGTTTTTCCGATTTTCCACGTGACCACCGCCGAGAATGACTAAGCATGTTTTACCACATGGGTCTCACCAGGAAGGTGCTCCCCTGTCAACAAGACCGTGATGCTTCACCAAAACTCCCCTTTCTTCTTTCACGGTTCATCTTCGAGAACCTTTCCAAGTCAACCGTTTCTGAAACACGAAACTCGGTATAGAAAGCCCTGACTTCAATTCGACTTTCGCACACCTTCTCTCATCATGTCATATGGTCCACGCGCTTCTCAGCTATGCCTGTTGTCATCCCTACCCACGAAATACGTGGGCGACAAGGTGAGATTTCTGGGCTGGTAAGTTTTATTTCTTTAACGGGATTTGTTCAGTTTATTTGAGCTTCCCGCAACGGCGCCAACTGTGGCTTAAGACGACAATTTGCTGCTTTAATTGTCCCGTCGCCGTCGTTGCTCAGTCAATGTTCAAAATACATAAAAGACACGGCACTAATGCGGCCTTTCAGCGTGGTATCTTATTCGACAGTCTCTGGAGTCCTTGCGCTCGAGCACCGTATACCTGGAGAATCACACTCTGTGACCGCTCAAGTGGACGTCAATATGGTTCTTCAAAGCCTCGGATCCGAACAGATCCGCACGGGAGAATGGGTGAACGTGATCGGATACATTACCGAGATAGCCCCTTCAACCGACGACGGGGAGCGTGACTCTAGAAGGACAACAGTTCAAGCACAGGCCGTTCTACTATGGTCAGCCGGACCTTTCGACTTGCGAAGGTATGAGGCATCCATCATGGCCCTGGAGCCGGCCGGCACCACCCGCGAACGCGTCGCTTCGTGAGAGACGTGGCAGTAATTCATCCCAACACTCGAGAGACAGCAATCCGATACTCCATGCGGTGTCGCGAGACATGTCTTTTCCAATGCCTGTTTGGGCAAGCAGTTGACCCAACGGGACCGCAAGGGGCCCACCGTCCACTTTCCGGACCAGAGTCGGGTCTCTAGCTCCTCTTGCCGCTCCTGTGGAATCATTCAGCTCATGTTGTGGGAGGGCACCACGGACGCAGACTCGGTCAAATGTCGCGCAGCATATGCTGTGCGACCACGTTGAGCAAGAACCCAAAGCCGACACCGTCTATGGCGCACCTTTGAATCCGTTCTTCGTTTATTGGAGACTATCCAAGGACATGTCCACTCTTCGCCGTTTCTTATAGGCAGCAATGCAACTCTCTAACACCGATCATATTGGCGGGGCTTCCGGATTGGACGGCGCCAGGTGCCCGACGATACGACCGCCGTTGAACCGACCGCGTGTCCTACACCAGTCCACCACTACCAAGCTTCCCAGCCCTCCGACAGCGATATGCTCCGAACTGGCCCCGATGATCCCAAGTTTTGCGATCTCTAGCTTCGGCCATTGTTGAATCCCGCGCCGAGTCTCGCCCCGGCCAAAATCCGCGAAAACTCACAGGGATAGTGGCTGCAGCCCAATGAGGAACCCGCAGCCGTTCGAAAGCTGACTAGCCCGAGCTTCGGCTGCAGGATCCGACATATACACATGCAGTTCTCCGCCAAACATGGGGGAAATTCCAATGTCCATTGCAGTCCATTGCAGTTGCGGCATGCCAGTTGGCACAATATTGCTGGTCCGAGGACTGAGCCCCCTGACCGCCATGCCACGGCTTGATCTCGCAGCTGCATGCTTGGCGGCCAATATCAAACACCCCGTGCGCCATGCCATCGTCTGTCATATCTGTCTGTTCGTCAACACCGGTCGAACTGTCGAATAGTGGAACACCAATCCCGGTGTTTCCTTCGCATGGAAAGAAACCGCTCGCAGACTTCCCTCCCAGAACCCCGCATCCATCCATTCATCCACCCATGCTTTGGTCCAGCAATCCCACGACACGAGGCCCCTCTTCCCAGAGTTGGGCTCTAATGGTCGCACCGCGGTGATGATCAGGTTCTGCGCCGCTCTTCGCGTTGACTCCTAGACTCGTTCCTCCTTCGGCTGTCTCTCCTCCGTCTTGTCGAGTCACCCGTGCCGGTCGTCGACATGACGACGGGCTGGTGTAGTGGCCGCTTGAGGACCTTGTTGGAGGTGCCGGATGATGCCCTCGCTGCGGCCCGCTTCTCCCACATCTCCTTGGACTTGACACAGATGTCGTCTATTTGCTCCTAGTCAGATGTGTCAATATCTCTCGTGATTCACAGCCGGTCCCCGTCTCGCTTTCGGCGGCTTACATCTGTCAGACAAGGCCCTGGTGTCGTGATCAAGAATCCATCCTCGCCCTAGAACCCCACATGGTCAGCGTTTGGGATGTTGCGAGAGTTCGACGGAGATGGTTCCCTTACCTCACGAGTGAACGACCTCACTGTCGCTTCCGGTCCGAGGTAGTATTGCAGCTCCTGGGTGATGACCTTCTTGTGAATGTCCAGGTGGGGTATCCAGTATTTGTTCATGGCTGCCGATGAAGACATGGTACAGAATACAGGGTGTTGGGTTCGGGGGTCGGGTTCGGGGTATGTCTGATATGACGATGGGCGATTAATATGAAGTTGCACCTTGTTTGCTTCCCACTTCTCTTTGCGTCCAAAAAAAGCATGGGGGCGATGGTCCGGTATTTATGGTCCTTTCCGCCCGCTAACCGCCCGAGCGCTCCGGTCGTTGGCCATCCAGTCAAGAGGCGCTAGATGTTGCGCGTTTGTAAGGTCGAGAAGGAAGATAGTTCTGGGTAACAACAAAGCCACATTACATCTTTCATCCCCTCCATCCCCGCTCTCTCTCTCTTTTTTTTTTGCGTCAGCTACACCGCCCAGCCGGTCCGGACCACTCATAACGGCGCCCTCCCTCGGGAAGCTCGTGGGCGTTACCGGAGTGGTGGTGTTCAAGCAAGTCGGGTCGACCCGCCCGCTTACTGGCTCGTTTCATCAACCTAACTGCCCGCCTCACTTTTTCGCCTCGTTACACCCCCCCACGCCCCCCTTCAATTTCCTTTTTTCTATCCTCCTTCTTGCTCACTTTCCTTTTTCAGCCCTGTTTCCTTGCATTTCTGGGCTCTTATTTGTGACACAAGAAAACAAGGTTGAGATTCGGGACCGACCCCACACACTCGGCACTTCCAGGGTTTGCTGCTTAGCGGCCCCTTCGACTCTCTTTTGCCCGATACGGAACGTCATCATACCACAGCAAAAGGGGAATTGCGCTATGAAAAGGCACCGACCGGCAGGATCGGTCTCAAAGGCTTGCCGAGACGAATGATGCATTCGGCATTGGTCACGATGGCCTCCTCTCCAAGCTCAGACTACCTCGTGTTCCTCGCGATGATGCTATCGCAAGGCACCGAGTTATCCCCAGGGCAGCCCTATCCGGCCGCGCTAACAAGACTACTCTGCAAGCTCCGGGTGAGGACTGGGAGAAAATGCCGAGCCAAGAAGGAGGCGGATTGGACCGCCGAGGAAGGCTCCAGAAACCCTGGTTTCGGGCTGGTCGAATTCCTTGTTTTCTTCCTTCGTCTCCTTTCGCTTTCCCCCCACTTACCGTACCCCTAAAGAAAAGGAAGAAAAGAGACGACTGCCTCCAGTGGGGGTGGCGACCGTCCCGCCTCACCGTTCGTTCGTTCGTCCCTGGTGTGTCGCCTCCTATGTTCGCTCGCGATTGTTGATGCACGAAATCAGATTTCTTACTGTCGTCATCAGGCCGAGTTTGCCACCGGTTGTTGTGTTCTAGGCCTATAATCGGGCATATGTATGCATGTATGTGTGTGAGTATGTATGTATGTCTCTGCGCGTCAGGAGACGACGTAGTCGCTGTTGATGTCGAGCGCGCTTGGGAGATGTCAACCAACAAACACACTTCACGTTTCTCTCATTTGCCGCGCTGCCAAAACACACAACCTAACTCACCAACCCACACACACACATCCACACACCGGTCCAGATCCATCCCCAAACCCGCCAAGAAACCCGTCAACAAAACGCAACCCTCACGTTCCACCCATGCTGTCTCGGTTCCCAAACAAACCCGAATATCCGCAACAAACCCTTACACTATTTCCCTTCACCAGCCCTGGGCCTCCTCCATTGCGGGAAGTCGTCACCCCGAAACCTGAGGCGTGCTGGTCTTGTCGATCTCCCGCTCTCCCCCCCTTGTCCCCTTGTCACTTGCCCCCCCGCGCCATCGTGCAGAGTGGAGCATGTCCCGTGCCATGTTACCCCGACCAGGGCCTTGCAGCCTCGTTTGCGGCGATCCCAAGACTTCGGCTGATGGGTTTTAAGGCTGTGGTGGTGTTTGGGTTGGTCTTGGTGTGGGTTACGATGTGGCTGCCGGGATAGGCGCTGATGGAGAAAATAGGAAGGGTGGGTTGGGAGAGAAATGGCATGGGGCTTTTAGGGAGCTGCTTACTTACTGGAGTGGGGTTGTTTACTACACTTCTTCCCCTGGCTGGTTTGGGTCCTGGCTTGGTTGAGGAAGTAAAGCTGGGGCTATGGTAGCCGCCGTTTCGACGACAAGAAGTCTTGACATCTAGAAACCCACTACTGCGCAGGTATCGGCTGTGTATCTCGGACCATAGGGCGGATCCTGAAGATACTGGGCCTCTGGCGGACTGGCCGTGCTGTTATCAGCCGGTTACGCGCGCTTCTCCTCGTCGCTGGGTTGGGAAATTAGGTTCCGTGTGCTTTGACCACTCGAGAACGACAAGGCAATGGCAAGCAAGGCCCAGTTCGATAGCCTCACTTCTAGGTCATCGGCTAAAAGAAGGCGAGGAATAAGTCCCCCTATCCCCGCGGAGACGAAACCCGCCCGCCTGTTTGTCGCGATACGCCTAGTATTTCCAAACAAGTGACTGATCTCAAACCCAGCGCGTAAAAACAGCTTGTTACCTAGGAAATCCGCGTAAACTCAAGGTTCAATGACGAAGAGGCGGGCGCATGGCCACCTAGCCCTGTGGCTGCTTCGGCTGGCAAATACTATCATCTCTAGCGTCTACTCTTTGACTGCCCACGCAGCGGCAAGGCAAGGGCAAGTAAGGTTCGGTTTGATAGCCTCACTTCTAGATCGTCCACTGAAGAAAGGCCGAGGAATTGGTCCTCCTCGTCCCGGGAGAGTGAAACCTGTTTGCCGCGATATGCCTGGCATTTGGGAACAGATGACCGACCTTAATCTTAGCGCGTAGCCAGTGCTTGCTCGCCCTGTCTTATAGCCTCAGTGGTCGCTTCCGCGTCCGCCGGGGTTGGCATGTTGCAATGGCCCCTCTCAAGCTGCTCTGTCAAGGCTCTCGGGAACTTATCGGTTAGCGAGTCAAGTGGGTGAGAGTTGCTGATGACGGCAGCCGACCCTTGGGCGTTGACTGTCCCGTTTGGCGCCCTGGGATGACCCAGGGCGGTCTCCAGGCTCACTGAGATAGGGCTATGGAAGTGTTATTCGAGCGGAACGCCCCTCTCTTTCTACTGTATCTCTTGCCTGGGAGCCGATATAACCAACTGAGTACATCGGTTACGAACAATACCTAACGCTAATACGGGGTAAACACGTACCGAACCATGTCAACAACAGCCCCGCGGAACCTTTTGCCTCCTTTCAGTAAGGCAGCAATGCAGACTGGGGCAAAGATTCTCGCCACTCGGCGCTTATGTGCGCGAGGAGTTAAGTTTGGCGGATATCAATGTTAGGTATTCAACGTCATCACCCGTCCCATTAGTCCGCATTTGAGATATTTGTAATTAAAAGGGTGTGTTACCATAAACCGACGTTCTATCGTGGCTTCTAGGTCACGCCCCTCACCCTGTAATCAGGGACTGTGTGATGACTCTCAGGACAACAATCGCCGGAATCCGTCTTGCCATATTCAGACACGGGAAATGTAACATAATAAACCCCCTTAAATGGTCACGAAACCCCTATTACAGGGAATCACATCGTCAAACATTAAGACGTACTCAAAGACAAGTACGCTTCCGATCATCCCCATCGTGTTCTCATGGCAGCCGTGAGTTTTAATATAGCACCATTCTCATATGCATCCACATTCGCTAGAGCTAAACAGCTAGAGTGCACTAAGAACTGATAACGGCCCAGCAAATTAAACCATACTCCTTCCCACCATCCACCTCATCATGGTTAGCAACCCCCCCGAAACCTCCGCCCCCTCTATCATTCCCCCTTACCATAGATGAAATAAAACATTTACATTAGCCACATACCCCTCTCTCTCTTTACCGCACCGATTCCCATTCCCACCCATTTCCCACCCAGCCAGTCCGTGTATCTATATCTGATGCAAGCCGAGAGAGACCGAGACCGGAACTCCGAGCCTAAATAAGATTGAAGCAATGATAACCGTGAACAAAGGAAAAGGGAAAAACAAAGTGAAAAGAAAGGAAAATAAATTGGATGAAATGTGTGAAGTTGAAGGTATAACGGCACATGTCCCATGTAGAATGGGATGTTAGGTTAGATGGTAACTGGTGAAACGTGGGTGATTTTGCTTGGGAAGGGATCGTAACGTCGTCGGGAAATACTTGCTCGGGCCATACGAGGGTAAATATCGGGACATGTCCGGGGGTTATCGACGTTGTCGTTGTGTTCTTGTTGACGATGCGTGACGATGCGTGACGATGCGTGACGATGCTGATATTCCGTTTCGCCCCGGCCGTCCCGCCCCATCCGCCCAGTCTGTCCGTCCCATTTCACACCTGAAGGAGTCCTAACATCCGCAACACCAAGTGAGCTGTCACTACCACCGCGGATTGAAATAAAACATAGATCACAAAAAGAAAAAAAGAAAAACCAGCAAAAGCCAAGACCAACGGCAAAATACGGGGTATCAATCGTGGTTGTTCCTCCTCCTCCTCCTCCCACTTATCATCGACCCCCGCGTCCTCATCTATCACCCCTCCATCCCACTCCTCCAGCACCTCAAGGATGATCTCGTCGTAACCTCCATCCGTCCTCGCCGTCGTCACAGTGAGCGCACATACTTCCCGGCCCCAACTCCACCCAAACCAGTCATTCCCCAGAACGACACAGAACGACCCCTTCCAGCACCTAGACTCGGGCGTAATCCACCTTTGACTGTAAAAGCGGGCGGACAGCCTCACGCGCGATTGTAGGAACCCGCCGAAATGTTGGCGCCACCGGCGGTACCACATCAAGCAGCCCATCGACTAATCGGTCTTCCAGTGGGCGCCGCCGTCGCCGTCGCCGCCGAGGTACAGTTCAACGGCGTACAGGCCGACGGTCGCGGCCAGGTTGACCCAGCGCCAGGTGCTGCCGGCGGCGTCGCCCGCGCGGAGGGTCCAGCCCGCGGCGTCGTCGGCGATTAACCCATCCAGAGTACCACCGGTGGTGGATGACGAGGAGATGGTGAAGTGTTGGAGGAGCAGGCTGGTGTAGACGGCGATGAGGATGGATGGGGAGAACCAGGAGAGGAAGCCGATGAGGCGGTTGGCGCTGTCGGATTCTTCGAGGGAGATGGGCGGCTCGTCCATGATGGCTGTTGCGCCGAGTTCGCGGACGGCGGGGATGATGCGAGTCGCGCAGTAGAAGACGATGATGCGGTAGGTGAGGGAGATGATGACGCTTGGGGTGATGGTTTGGAAGGCGGCGTAGAGGAATTGGAAGGAGGAGCTGACGGCGGTTGGGAGGTTGCTCAGCATGTGGAGGAGGGTTGAGTACGACGCCATGATGATGGGTGGGAACGGGGGGAAATCGGGCTGCGCTGCAGCGGCTTGCTCGGCGGCGGCAGCGGCCTCGGGGGAGGGCTGGTAGTCGGTGAAGATCTGGTAGACGCAGAGCACGGCGTAGGCGAACAACATGGACGACTCGACGGGGTTGCCGCGGCCGCTGGCGATGCCGAAGGCGCCTAGGAATGCAGCCGACGTCATAGCCACGCCGATCAGCGTAGCATCGAGATTGCCGACTTGTGGGAACGAGATGACGCGCCACAAAAAGTAGACGGCGCTCGAGATGATGGAGGCAGAGAACACGAGAAGGACAATCTGGCCGACGAAGTTAGTATCTTTTTGTAAACCTAAAAAAATGAACATGGACAATGAAGACAGAAACTCACCACCCATGTGTCACTCCTCCCACGGTTGACCAACCACCTCGTAATTTGCCCCGCGGCCTGGATCACCAGCAGACTGCAGAATCCCTCCAGCAGCTGAAAGAAAGGGCTCGAGTAGCTCAAGGTATTATCCCAGGCGCCCAGGGCAACCGTCTCAACAAACCCCTCCTGTCCAAAGAACCATTCCTTCCACGTCTTATGATTCGTCGAGATGATCTGCGAGAACGTCCGCGACACCCACCCGGCGTTCTCCGTGGCGTCCACCGAAAACCGGCTGAGCGACCAGATCAACAGGGCCGGAATCACAACCCATTGGGACCAACCGACGAGGCTGCGGAAGAACCAGCGTACCCGCGAGCGGTCGGGCGTAAGAAGTTTCGCGAGGCTGTAGAAGAAGTAGAATAGGAACAGGGTGAGCGAGTAGGCTAGCCCGGTGTCTCGGCCCCCGACGTCGAAGGCGAGGGGTATGGAGAGGACGACCGTGAGCAGGAAGATGGCGCTCGAGCACGCGCTGAAGAACCACCACATGGTGCTGCTGCTAATCCGCGCGGGGATGCCCGCAGCGTGTTTTTTATTTTGTTTTCCGTGCGTTTACGGTTGATCGACGGCTAGGCAGACGAGTAGGTGTTTTCGGAAAGGTGTATCGTCGTTGTAAGAAGGAGTTTGTAGTATGTGTTCGTGGCCCGGTCGTGTGCAACCCTCCCTGACGTTGAAAGTGTGGTGGGGTACTTGTGGAGGGGTACGCGGGAGATCGAACGAGCGATCGGTCGGGTCGGGGCGATAAAGCTGCAACCGAGCCAAGCCGTAGACGCGAGAGAGAGGCTCTCGCGACAAGGATGGACACCTTCGTCAATCGGGTTGGTTGTGTCGTCGTCGTCGGCGCAAGCGGTGAATGCGATGGCGCGATGCGGCTCGGTGGTGAGGCGGCCGGTTGGAGAATCGATTCGTCAATGAGCAAGAGTGGAGGGAGCAGTTTGTGGCCAGCCCATTTGGCTGCGGCTCCAGCTCAATTCGAATTTTCTCCACGGCAAAGACAGCTGGCACTCGACGATCTGGCGTCGGCCTGCGGTCGAGTCTGCCGGCGGGCGGGGCGTGCTGGTGCGATTCGCTCGTTTCGTTTTGTTTCGTGGAGTCCCTCCTCCGGCTCTCCCTTTTTTTATTTTTTTGCCCTGGCGATTTTTGGTTGTCCACCGTGTCCAAAAAAAGAAGCGAGTGGCCACCGAAATCTGGAAGGTGCCCACTGTTTAACCTTTATCTTCACGTGTCCAGTCGCGGCTGCAGCACTGGGCCTACCCCTGCATCGGTTGCATCATCCAATCTAATGGGCGCTGTGTCTGTCTGGGCAAGCGACGTTCTGGCATGGCTACAAAAATGGTCATGGGAAATGTTGGACAAAAAGGAGGACAGTAAAGAAAAAGAATCCAATTTTCCCAGGCAGATCGATGGTGTGTGTGTTGGCATGTGCCATCCAGACATCGGTCTGTGTCGCATGTGCCGGCAGGGTGTCTGGTTGGGAGCGATTTGACGCAAGGCACCAGACATGCAGCTAAACCGCAGAAGCCAGCGCCGTCCTTCTCACCGCTTTGGTTCGTGCATGCGCGACTGCACTTGGCACTATCAGCAGCATGTGACAGCCAGTCACTTGCCCACCAGCTAACCGCACGATGCAACCCTGCTAACTTCAGCTCCTGTTCTGGCTGCTGTGCATTTAGCCCCGGGGGACAGATGATCAGGGGTTGTGACCTTCTTTTGCTTTCCACACAAAAGGAACAAAAAAGTCTTTGAAAAAGGGCATTGCGGGGTTATCTCCCCTCTTTTTTGACTAGCCCCACTATCCATCGACCGTGCCGAGTGGGGCGACAGACCGGCCGTACTCCGGTATTCACTCCGGCCCGGCCCCAGTTTTCCCCCGAAATCATCACTTCGACTTGGAGCTGTTGTCAAGGCAAGGAGTAAATTCTTGGAAGCATTGGAATTTTTCCACACTAATATGTACTTTCTATGTTGACGGAAAGAATTTGTATACTATAGGAGATTTTCCACTTCTCATTTTCCATGTCCTTTCATCCCAGCCCACATCTCCGCTCATCTCCCGCACACCAAACCAGGTACCTTCCTGCCCTCCCTATATAACCCAGCTCCCCGCTGCTCTTGTCACCAGCTCCTCCCAATGCCGCTGCGCCAAACATCAGTGTTTGGCGTATTGGGAGGAGCACCACCGCCACTTCCGTCGTAAATCGAAGTGGTCCCGGGTTCGATTCCCGGGACCAGCCAAGAAAAAGCCCCCTCGGTGGGCTTTTCGTAACCACAGACCGCTATCCCTCCAGATGGGGATAGGGTTCTGTGGTGAGCTTCTTGTTAAAATTTAAATCGTTTTTCCCACTTACCCTCTAAATAAAATAAACGGAAAAACAAAAACAGAGGAGACAAAAGACTATCCAGCAACAAAATGGTGGCATTCGCCTCAGAGAAGCAAGACATCTCAGGCCAGCGAGCTGTCAAATGTTTTATTTTCTCAATACAAGTATCTTCATTTTCACCCACATCCTAGATCACCTTATAACCCCCCAAAATCAAATCATGTTTCCAACGACGCTCACCAACAGCGCCAACACCCAACCATGCGACCAAGGCGGCCAGCAAACATCGCACCACCCATCAAAATCAAGCCCACAAACCAACGAAAATGCTTATAGCAGATGATGCCATGTTTCGTGGTCCATTTCCCGCCATCTTACCGCCTCAGCCTCGCTATCGATGCCGCTGGCACGTTGTGACGGAGGTCTCGTGGAGGGCGTCATGGAGCATCTCCTCCTGTGCAGGAACTGCTTCTTGAATTATATAATAGGCTCGCCATCGACTTGCTGGTGAGCATGTTCGTACTCTCTCAACAGACACCATTTCCTACACGAGGTAACCGTTGACATTGGACTGGACTTTCATCTTCCGGACATCCCGTCAGTGTTCCCATTGAACAATAATGTCTCGCATCTGGAACCAAGTCTTCGATCATCTGCGGCACCAGGCCGAATTCAACCCAGAATGGCGAACCACACCATTGTGGGAATACTTTTTCAACAAATCTACATTCGCCCATGACCGTTTCATAGTAGCGTCCTAGCAGCCGCCAACAAAGCAGGAAGGCGATCGGAGGCGTGTCGACCTTGTCGTCGAGACGATGGGCATCAGGGAATGGGAGCCTTTGCTCTTTGTGGAGGCTAAGCGGACAATGGCTTCGGTTGACGACATCACAACTGTGGAATTCCAGGCGTTCACTGCCGCCTGTGCATGCTCCGTCCAGAACAAATTCCGCCCTGTTTGGGCGATGACCATCGTCGGCAGCAAGGCACGGCTGTGGACATACTCCTTTGAAAGCGACTATCTCATTCCATTTGAGCCCAAAGGCCAAGGCTTATCAACATTGGGTGAATACCTGGAGCTATCTACCGATGGCCAGAGAATTGTCAACGCTTTGGGGTACATAGAGCGGAACCCAATACCCCCGGACCACTTGCTCAAGGCGCCCTCAACCCCCAGGCCAGCCAACCCACAACTGCCCCCTGACTGGCACGCCGACGAAGTTGACATGGCGGATGAATATCGCATGTTGAATGCAGGTCCTGCGCAAGATGCAACGCGGAGGTTGGCCGTTGCTCTGCAGGGTGACCCTCAGGCCGGCCCTTCAGAGCAGTATTATGGCTAAGATGACCTGTAAGAAGTGGAAGTGAAGGTTATCAGGGTATCCCACATTCTCAAAAAGGATAGCTCGTTTTTTATGGGAACGGTCATCCACAGTCATCTACCAAAGATGACTGGGTCAGGCAAACTCATGGTCCGTGAACTGTGCGGGTTTCCCGCCATAGACAGACGACAGTCTACAGGACAAGGGCTTGAAGGGCTTTGTGGCATGCCTTTTCTCTGCTGATTCCTTGCTTCCGATACTGTCCTCCTAGGCTTTTTGTCATCATCGTGTCGTTATATTCTCTTCCCGAAGATTGATCGTCCTTATACGATAATTACTAGGTAGTTCCTTATAGCAGTTATTCATACATCCAATCATGTGCCTGAATCAATTACATGGAAAAGTGCGCTGTATGTACAAGCAGAAAGGGGACTTCGTGGGGCTTAAGGTTCACACAACCATACACCTCTTGGTCCCCCAAAACTGCATGTCCTTGTCAATTGTTATATGTAGAGCGTGCTAAACCTTCTCCAAACTGAAACAAAACCATTTAGAGGATTGTTCTCCAACCTTTGCGACAAACAACTATGAGGAACCTTAATTCGATTCCCTGATAGCTAGAAACGAGGCTTCCGTTGTAAACCAGAAGTTGACCAGGCCCTTCATCGGACGAGACTCCCATCTGTCACTATCCTTCCCTGTGGGCTTGGTTTGAGCGGCTTGCTTAAACTTCACTTCCACGTTATAAATCGGTCGGTCCCGGCGTGAAAGACACGAAGTGGTTCGAAAACAAAGCTGGCCTGGTTGAACAACACTCTTTGCTGGATCTACGTGTAGGCGGCACTGACCGACTGCTCGGGAACCGCCGTTCCGATAGTGGAACAAAATACCTCGGCAAAATCCGGTGTTCTGGTCGTAGAAGACTAGCGTTGATGTAACGGCCGATAACGGGGCCCATGAGAAGAAGCAGCGATCATCTTCGATTGGGCAGGGGCCGGGGTTTATCAAGAGAAACCGCCTGCTAGGGAGAGGCCCATCCCGGGGCACTCTACAGTGACCACCGAAGAAGCGGATGAGGCGTCCCTCGATCGGTTCACCATACATCATTGCCAAGGGGACAGATGCGGCCAAATATCGGTCGCCGGCCTTGCCATCGAGCTGTGGGCCAATGGTGGTATCGCCCATGAGCTTCGTCCTGAAGAGGGCGCTCGGGCGTCGAGATTGTAATTCTTCTCGGATACCGAGAGCAAGGACGCGGTCGCGCTGCGAGATGGGCAAATAAATCCAGACAAGGCTCCGCCCAAGTCGATTGGAAAAACGTATGAAAGTGTCCATGGCCGCAGGATTCCTCGGAGTGGTGGATATGAATGCCATACAACTGGTGCGAATAGAAAAAGGCAATGCCTTTCACCCTGTCCATCTCAACCGTATAGATATTCTGGCACGAACTCCAGTCGTTGGGGTACACGTTTGAAAGAGCCCGGCTCGGTATTACATTGGTGTTCCAAGTGTAGAGCGTCTGTATCGAAACGGGTAACTTAAGGCGTAGCCGGCCATCCTGTAAAAGTAAAAATCCTTGTTGGCGAATAAGACCTAAAATACGCTAGGATGGTAGACATACCTTCAGCTGTGCTGTCACATCGGGGATAGACGCTTCACGTTGGACGATGAAGGCGAAGCGACCAGTACATTCACCTGCGTAAACATCCGTGTCGGAGATACGTTCGATTTTGCTGATGCCAGCAGTGTCGATGGTTAACCTCAGTGTCGGCAGTTGTTGGTGGGGTCCCATAACGCGTTTAAACTCCCCACCACGCTCCCAGAAGACAATCTCTCGGAGCGGAACCGTACGGAGCGAGTCCGGTTCCGAAGCCGATATATAATCAGCTAACTGAAATGCCAGGATGTATCTCCACAGCCATGCATACTTAGAGTACTGTCGAATCTTCTCCAGCAACTCCGGCGGCAAAGTGTGTAGGCGGGGCAATCCGGTCCGGCCGCATATCGTGCTTAGCATGTCCTTGTCCACCATTGTCGCCGAAAGATGGATAAGCTTCGCTCCCGCCAAGGATTCCTCCACGCAGCCACGACCCGGAGACGGTTCAAAGCATTTGATTCAGTAACCGAGCATTGTTGCCGGAAGATCTCGAAGCAGTCAAAATGGATCGGGGCGAACTCGGGCAAACAAGCGCAACGTTCGCAGTTAGGATAGCGGCACAAAAAATAGCCGTCGACATTGTGGATGGCATAACCTGGTTGGGGGAATGGGAAGGGTCTGGTGTGACCGCGGTAAGACGTTGAATTACTATCCCCAAAGACTAAGGTAAGTCGGCATCTTTTCTTACGGAGCGAGGCAGAGAGACAAAAAAAGGCTGATCTAGAGCTACGAAGACTCGGCGTGAGCCTGAGCGTGACTTGGACCCGGGAACGTGGACGACAAGCTCACATACGTGCTATTGCTCGTTCGTGCCTCGATATACGGCCTGCACAGATGCCACAACGGGGGTAAACCCCCATATGGCGGCAATCGTCATCGGTATCAACGGCTGCGGTTGCCATCTAGCTATCTCGAAACTTGAGGTGGTGAGTCAAAAAGAAAAGAACAAAAAAATGGACAGAGTACGCTGCACTTGGAGCGGAATTGGCAGGAGCAGGTCGATGAGGAATGCCTCGAATTAATTTGAGGGGGACAGTAGGACGGGAGTTCGAGTTACACAGGTCCAGTCATGGAAGTGTGTTGTCTTCTCTCACACCCATTCAGCTAGAAGTACTCCACTGACACGCAGATATCCCATAGGTACCCAACGCGACTGCCTCCGAAGCTGTTCGGGCTTTCCCAACTTACCCAATTCAAAGGTTGTTCACTTTTAGTCCAGAGGTGGGCGCGGCATCGCACCTTCTTCTAGCTAGGATAACCGGCAACATACCGGGTACTTGAACCGTTGGGAAAGTGCATCCCTCAAAACCCCCAACTTCCAAGGTCGGCGCGCCAAGATCGCAGGAATTATCACAGTTTAGGCATCAAGTCTCCATGTTTCGTCGCGACGCCGCCGTACCCAATGTTGAATTGGTGTGTTGTAAAGGCGTAGCTGCAAGCGTTGCCTGCGGGAGCCTACCCTGATAAACTACTGGCTCTTCAAGAGAGCGAAGATGGAAGTTTCAGATTGAGGCCAACGCTCAACCATGTCGTGATGACGTTGATCTCGCTCACCCTTTTTAATGGCCTGATGTATATTTTCAACTTTACTTTTAGTTTTTATTCCATTATTAGTCACCGACCCTCACCCCCTACTCCCCTACGGTTTGTAAACACATATTACAGACCAATCTCAAGCGAACATGACGGAGACCCAAGCTGAACCGGATGAAACCACCAATATCCTACAGTCGCCTTCTCTCCTACTTCATTCGCAAGATGTCATACTCAACCAACCCAGTTCAGATGAGCCTAGGGCCGCCGAGAATACCAAACCGATGACCATCAAGCAAATACTCGCCCACCTAGGCGGCGTCTTTCCCATGGACGACGCCATTATCGAGGGTAACCCCCCATTTGACGCCCATCTCAAACCTCCCACCCCAAACTAACACCTACCCTCCAGCCCTCCCCCCGGGACGAACATTCCTCTCCGTCACCCACTCCGCAACAAGCGCCTGGACCATCACGGGAAAAGTCACTGCCATCAACCCGCTCCAAACCGAAGAATACTACTTCGTCAAGATCGCCTACGGCGAGACCGGCCGGATCATGCTCCGCGGCGAATACGAGTCCTCCAAGATCATCCACCAAACCACCCCCGACTTCATCCCCCAACCCATCCACTTCGGCCAGTACCACCACCACCACATCACATCACCGCCCCCCGGAGACGGTCCAGCACTCCAAGCCTACTTCTACCTCTCCGCCTTCGTCGACATGGACGTGACCACGCCTCCCAACCCGGCCGAATTCACCGCCCGCCTGGCCCGCTTACACCGTCTCAGCACATCACCAACAGGGCGGTTCGGCTTCGCCGTGCCCACATGCGACGGCGACCGCGCCCACGTGGTAGACTGGCAGGAAAGCTGGGCAGAGTTCTACCGCAACTTATTCCTAGGCGTGTGCCGGCTCGATCTGGCGCGGAACGGCGCGTGGCCGGTGTATGAGCGGGTGATGGGGGCCGTTGTACGGGTGGTGATACCGCGGTTGTTGGGGCCGTTGCAGGCGGACGGGCGGGTGCTGAAGCCGTGTTTGGTGCATGGGGATTTGTGGGAGGGGAATGTCGGGGTGAGGAGGGGAGATGGGAGGAGTGTGGTGTTTGATGCTGGGTCGTATTTTGCGCATAATGAGATGGAGTTGGGGCATTGGTGAGTTACACACACACACACTCACTACAGTGAGGTGGAACGTGGAACGGTGGGATGAATTTGGAACTGCACAAGGCTGACGACATGGCATTTTTGGGACAGGAAATGCGAATTCAGCACTGTGTTTCGAGACGAAGCCTACATCGACGAATATGTGAAGCACTATCCCAAGGCGGAGCCAGAGGAAGAATTCTACGACCGCATCCGGCTGTACAGTCTCAAAGGGGCGATCAACTACTCAGCTGGGCATCCGAACAGCGAGCTGAGGAAGACGTGAGTTAACTCCTCTCAATCCCTTGACTTGCCTTTTCATGCCTACCGAACTGGATCTTGATCCGTTATTAGTGCGTACAACAACATGTTGTATCTTTGCGAGAAGTATGCTCCCGTCGAGGGCGTCGATAAGTACGACCCGGCAACCGACCCGTGGCTCACGGGTGCTTCTATCGTCCCTCACATGGCGGACGGGCTCATTTAGTTGTTACTTAACCACTTAAACAGAACAAAATAAATGATTAAAACTGACAAGTCTCAATTCTACTACCTACCCCTGCTCATTCAACTGCCGTCCTGCACGTTGGTAGCATCCATCACGTGCGGCCGCAGCGTTGCTTTGCCGTTTACGACGTTTCAGACCAACTCCAGGAATTCAGCCCCCACGGCCCCCATGGTATAACCGGTAGGGAACGATCGGAAAAGCGGCCGAGTATTTATTTCTGCTGTTTCGTGTCACAAAGCTTGTTTACTTACCCGTTCAATTTCACTAAGCGGTACTTGGGTGTTATACAACAGCCCAGCATGGACGACCCAAAGACAACACCACCGTCTTCGACACTGATATCGTCCTCAACCCCATCACCAACACCAACATCACCACCCCCAAAACCATACTCCACCTTCCCCCCCTCCGTCTGCACCTACCTAACCTACCTCCTCGGCGTAACCATCACCCTCTCCACACTAACAGCCACCATCTACTTTCCGCTCATCCCGACCCTCGCAGCCTACTTTAGCGGCAGCAGCAACACAAAAACAACAACCATCCAATCCATAAACCTCACCGTAACAGCCTACGCCATCGCCCAAGCGCTCTCCCCGGCCCTCTTCGCCTCCCTCGCGGACCTTCCCACCCTCGGCCGCCGGCCGGTTTTGCTGGGACTTATAGCGCTTTATGCTTTGGCTAGTTTGGGGCTGGGGTTAACTTTCCACCTTCACTCCCCCAACAATGAAGGAACAGCGACGAATGGAAGCGAAAAAAGATACACAGCCCTACTAACGCTTCGCATCCTGCAAAGCATCGCCGGTTCTCCCACCCCCGCTCTCGCATACGGTATCGTAGCTGATGTGGCGCCTGTGTCGGAGCGTGGAGCGATGCTGGGACCGTTGTTGGCGACTTGTAATGCGTTGTCTGCGGTTGGGCCGGTTGTTGGGGGGGCGGTTGCTTATCGGGGTCGGCAGCAACAACGACAAGCATTGGATGGGCAAGGGGGTAGCAGCAGTAGTGGCGGTGGTGTTGGTGATAGTAGGGGAACAAGAGGGGACGGGGTGGAAGGGGTGTTTTGGGGGTTGTTGGGGCTGGCGGGGGTGGTGTTGGTGGTCGTGGGGTTGACGATGCCTGAGACGGGGAGGGGGGTGGTTGGGAATGGGGAGGGGAGGACTTGGTGGGTTGTTGGGAGGAGGTGGTTTACTAGAAGGAGGGAGAAGGGCAAGAGAGAGAAAGAAAAGGGTGTTGTGAAAACGGAGAAGGGGGACGACGGAAAGGATGATAAGACCACCAAAACTAAGGGCAGATGGTCTCTCCTCGACGTAGCCGCGTCCTTCCGCATCCTCTTCCACAAAGACGCCTTCGCCGTGCTGTGGATGGTCGCCTCGTCGTACTGCATCTACTACACCTTCCAAGTCGCGATCCCCGTCATCTTTGACGAGGTGTACGGCTACAACGAGCTCGAGATCGGTCTGGTCTTCCTCCCGGGCCTTGTGGGCATGACTATCGGTGGGATGGTCGCTGGTCGGTTGGTTGATCGGAACTATGCCGTCGTTGCGAGACGGCATGGTCTGGGGGATGCGGGCGATACCGGGCGGAAAGAACGAAAACGCGGCCACGAACTAGGCGACTTCCCCATCGAAGCAGCGCGGTACCGCCACTGTCTCGGCTTCATCCTTCTCGAAACGCTCGTCGTGATCGGCTACGGCTGGGCGGTCTGGCTGCGTGTTCACCCGGCGGTGCCCATCATCCTCCAATTCTTTGCCTGCGCGCTGTCGACACTGCTCAGCCACACGGCCAGCGCGCTGCTGGTTGACATCTTCCCGGACTCGTCGAGCTCGGCGTACGCGTCTGGGCAGCTGATGCGGTGCGGGCTGAGTGCGGCCTCGGCGGCTGTGGTGCAGCCGCTGGTGGATGCTGTTGGGAGGGGGTGGTATTTTACGATTTTCTCGTCGTTCGCGAATTTGTCGTGTGCTGCGTCGGTGGTTGTGAGCTTGTGGAAGGGGAGGGAGTGGCGGCGGAAGCGGTTTGAGCAGGGTCGATGAGGGTCAGCGATTGTTGTCATACCTGGGGATATTTTGTGCATCTTCATAACTCGGGAAGTCGGCACTAGGTTGATGACTTGAAATCACGTCCGAATCTGAGCCGCAAAGAACTCATGATCCAGCCCATCGGTGATATTGAGGCCGATCTGTGAAGGTGGACTAGATGAAATAGATCGGACAGGGCCGTTTGTATGTCATCCAGAGACCGTTTATCACTAACAGGCTGTCGACTCATCTAACCATGCAGGCCTCGACGATGATAGGGACTATTCGAAGTGAGGTGAGTCGTGATAATCATTAGAATTCCTATTTATTTACCAATTTCTTAATAATTTCGGCTCAGCTTTTTCACCCGTGAGGCTCAACTCCGCGCCTGAACCTTCATCATGCCACCCACACGGCGTTGAAATACGCAGCCATCGCGGAAGTTCTCTGTAACGGATCCTACATAGCCATGCACGTCGTTGATCAGGCTTGTCATTGTCAGAATGGAGAATCCATGACAGGGCGGGTTTAGCCGCGCTGTGATGCAGTCCCGCGGTGATCAGGGGTTGTTCTGGCCCGTTGCCACTGCCGTGCTGCGGGGGTACTTGTGTCTAGCCTAGCTGAAGCGACCGCAAAAAAAAAAAAAAAACAAGAAAAAATAGCTTGAGAGGCAAAATAAAATCAGAAGAAAAAGAAATGCTCCCAAAACGAAATGTCGAGCGGGAGAGAAAATAAAAAGAAAAAAAACCCAAACAAACAGGATGGGGATCGGTGCCAAATAAGGGCGAACTGTCATAATTTTAAGAATTAGGCACTGCTGTTCGTGAGCCCACAGCGGGCCGTGCTCAACCTTGCAGCTGCCCGTCTGCCGTCTGCCCGCATCGTGCGCCCGCCCGCTCGCCACATTTCTTCCATTTATTTTCCCAATATTCAACCCCAACCATCACGGCAGGAAGGACCACCCAATCTCCTTCCTTCCACAAACACGGCCAATCCGCCGATTGCAGAATCCCCACTGCATCCAAAAGAAATTCCAAATAATTTGCCAGTCGACTATTTTTCCTTTCTTTTTCTACTCTTCCCAACCGCCAGAAGAGAGCCAACGCGTCAGGACGCGTTTCGTTCGATCGCGCCAGTCGTCACTTATCCCGTATCCGGACCGCAATTCTCCAAACAATAATTTTTTTCTTCAAAATAACCAGCGACTTGTGTTTATACGCACATTTACTGGCCTCAAAATCACGCCAGAATCACCACCAAAAACCACCATCAAACCACACCAAACAACCCAGAAACCCAGAAACCAAACATGGCATCCACACCACCCCCAACCAGCACCACTCCACCAAAACGCAAGCGCGGCCGCCCGCCTCTCTCACCCTCCCAGCGCAAGCCCAAGCCTGTGCCCTCCGGCCGGCCCCGCGGTCGTCCCAAGGGCAGCGGCACCAAAACCAAGACCACCACCACCAGCACCACCATCAGTGGTACAGCCCGTACCAACGCCGGCATCAAGAAAGCCCAGTCCACTGACCCAACCGCAGCCGTGGACACCCCTCTCCGCCGGGGCCGTGGACGGCCGCGCAAGTCGGATGGTCCTGCCGCTGCTGCTGCTGCTTCGCCGGCTGTGTCTACGCCTGGTGGTGGTGGTGGTGGTACTGCTGGTGGTGGTGGAGACACGTCGGCGGTAGCAACACCGGCGGGCCAGGTGAAGAAAGGTCGGGGTCGGCCGAAGGGGTCGGGGAAGAAGAAGTCGCTTGGTCCGACTACGCCTGCGAAGGGGGGACCGGGACGGCCGAGGAAGGTTGCTGCGGCTGTTGAGCCGGAGGGGGATGATGATGAGGAGGAGGGGGAGGAGGAGGAGGGCGTGGATGGGAGCGAGTAGTGACTAGGGGAAATGAATGGGTAGAAGTGAATGGGAGAAGGGAGCATGAGGAAGCTGGAAAGCCGGTTTACTTTCGGGTGATCTAGGACGCGGCGTTGATTTACTCGGGGATTCACACGGGGACTGATGGGATGGATGGAAGCTGGCAAGATACATCTGGAGTTTGGGTGTTTCTTCGGGTGACTTTTGCGATGGTGCTGGCATGGCATGGGTGGTGTGCACGGCACAGGTTCTACGGGGCGGACGATACGATAGGCTTGGGGCTTGGGGCTCCCGGAGATTTTTATTTGCTTCTGCTTTGGGGTGATTTGGGGTGGTGTATGATAAGATTGCGGAATGAGGCGAGCTCGGTACCGTAGCCCTCGTCAATGGCGTTTACTGAGTTTTGATATCACGGTGCTGTTGATGTGTATATGCATGTGGCCGAGAAAGCCACCATCTAGGACAGTCGTGACGGATGGTCCAGTTAACATTGTTGCTCACTGTTGATTGTTACACTAACCAGGAAGACTAAACACGAAACATTGAGGGCAAACATACCTTGGTGTCTAGGGGTAGGAGCGATACACCCATATAAGCATATATCCGTATAGCTGCATACATCACAACGCCAAGCCCTGCACTGACCAGCAACTAATGTCAGTTTCAGACATCACTCATTACTTTTTCCTGTCAAGGTTACTTCTCACATCCACCATCGACTCGCTGCAACATCAGGTGAGGCGGCATCTCACTTTTCGAGGATACACCGCCCTGCCATGGACTGCTGTGCGCTGGCGATTTCCGTTTCGAGTTTTCCTGCCGTGGTATAAATTCTTGGTGACCTGTTGGTTTCGATAAACGGCCATCAAATCTCAGATCAAATTCACGCTTAACTTTCACTCGAATTTCACTCGATTATCTCCCGCTCCGATATCAAAATGGCGAAAAAGAAGAACACTCCCGCAGCCACACCGGCGCCGGCCGCCAACAAATCGGCAGCAACCAAATACAACAACAAAAAAGACACAAAACCCAAAGGAGCCCCCCCCGAAGGCGACTTTATCGTCTTCACCAACTCCGACAAGGACCCCAAATCCCGTCGCGGCGGCGGTGGTCCCTCTGCCAACCCCGGTTCCGGTTCCGCCTCCGGCACCAACCCCGGCGCCCCCGAATCCCTCGAACCCCCCCGCCCAACAGCCCGCCAACTCATAGGCGGCGCCTCCTGGACCGGCAAACTCCCCGTCAATTTGTTGTCAGAACACTGCCAAAAACAAAAATGGGAACGCCCCGACTACTCCACCCACAAACTCCCCTCCTCCTCCTCCTCCTCCTCCGAAGGCGACACCGCCGGCGGGCAACAATTCTCCGCCCTCGTAACCCTCTCCGCCAAAAACCCCAAAACCGGCTCCATCACCCGCCTGCCCCCCTTCAAACTCCCCCCCTCACACCTCCATCTAATCACAAAACCGACAGCGCTAGAGGCGCGGCATGTAGCAGCGACGTATGCGCTATTCAGGGTGTGTAGTATGAAAAACTTGGGCATGGCGCTGCCGCCGGATTATAGGAGTTTGTGGAAGGAGTTTGGGGAGTTGAAGAGGGTGGATGTGAAAGAGGGGAGGGGGTGGATGTATGAGGCGGATCCGTTTTTGGCGGCTAGGGAGAGGGAGGAGGCGAGGGTTGTGGCGGAGAAGAAGAGGGTTGCGGAGAGGGCGCAGGCGCAGAAGGCTGCTGAGGAGAGGGAGAAGTTTGGGGGGGCGGCGTTGGCGTTTAGGGGTGGGGGGAATGGTTCGGGAGGGGGTGGATCAGGGGGAGGAGGGCCGGGGACGCATAGTAATGTTATGCGCGGGTGGACGACGGCGCCGAAAATTGAGATGGGGAATAAGACGCGGGCGCAGTTGGAGGATTTGTTACGGCGGGAAACGGTGTGGAATCCGCACGGGGTGGTTATGCCGGCCGCACAAAAACAGAACATCGTGCGGGAGTTGGCCGACCTCGGGTTCCGGGCGAGTCATGTGGAGGAGGCGGTGGAGGTGTGTAAAGACCGGGAGGAGACGCTGGGGTGGCTGCTGGTGCATATTCCCGAAGACGACCTACCGCGGTGGGCGCTGCCGGAGCGGTATACGGCGGGCGTTACGGTGGCTGCGACAGACCTCAAAAGGGAGGGGGCGATTAAGAGGTTGGCCGAGTGTGGGTATTCGGTGGATTTGTGTCGGCGGATGTTGGATGGGCAGGGGGGGGATGAGGGGAAGGCGGCCGAGGGGTTGCAGCGGTTGTTGGTGTCGAGTGGTGTTGAGGGAGAACAAGGAGAAGGTGAAGAGGAAGAGGAAGAGGTTGACTCGTGGCACACACCGGATGAGAGCTGGGACGAGGAGATGGCTACGCTTGAAGCTAGTTTCGGCGAGCTGTACACCCGCATATCGCCTGATGTGTGCCAGATCCGTCTGGAGGGTGTCGTCGATGGGCCGAAGCAGCAAAAGAAGGCACAGACCCAGACCGAGATCGAAACACACCTGCAGTTCCGCAAGACGCCGCGGTACCCGGCGCAGGTGGTACTCTCATTAGTAGCGCCCTCGCTGCCGGCGTACATCAAGCTGAGCGTGGTCAAGCGGGCGCTGGCATATGCGCACGAGTCGCTGCGCGGGGAGGAGGCCAAGATTTACTACCTCATCAGCTGGGTACAGGAGAACATCAACGAGATCATCGAGCGGCCTGGGGCGCTACGCGATGTGGCTGCTGTCTCGTCCGCGGCGTCAGAAGAGCCGGTTTCTGCTGCTACGGCTACGCGGACGTCGAAGAACCGATCGAAAAACCAGAGAGCCCCCCGACCGATCAACTGGACCCCCAACCCACAGAGCACTGCCGACTGGCTCGCGCGAACAGCCGCCCCCGCCTACAAAAAGATGCTCGCCCAGCGCGAGAGACTCCCCGCCTGGCAAGTGCGCGCCGAAGTAGTCCGCACAGTAGCCGAGAACCAAGTGACCATCATCTCAGGCGAGACAGGCTCCGGCAAATCGACCCAGTCAGTCCAGTTCATCCTCGACGACCTGTACAGCCGTGGTCTAGGCCCCGGCGCCAACATCATCGTCACCCAACCGCGGCGTATCTCTGCCCTGGGCCTGGCCGACCGCGTCGCCGAGGAACGGTGCACGCCCGTCGGCCACGAGGTCGGCTACACCATCCGCGGCGAGAGCAAGACCAGCCCGCAACACACGCGGATTACCTTTGTCACGACGGGTGTGCTGCTGCGGCGTCTGCAGACGTCCGGCGGGAAGGTGGCTGATATCGTAGCTTCGCTGGCGGATGTTAGTCATGTGGTTGTTGATGAGGTGCACGAGCGCAGTTTGGATACGGACTTTTTGTTGAGTATTGTGCGTGATGTGCTGTACCAGCGTCGGGATTTGAAGCTGGTGCTGATGAGTGCTACGCTGGATGCTGCGTCGTTTCGGGAGTACTTTATGGCTGATGGGAAGGGGGTCACCGTGGGGTTGGTGGAGATTGCGGGAAGGACGTATCCTGTGCAGGATTATTATCTAGATGATGTGATCCGGATGACGGGGTTCCGGGGGAGTGCCGGTGGTCATTATAACAATTCCCGGTTTGACTCGTACGAGGACAAGGACACGGACACGCTAGCAGACAAGAGCAACGCCAGCGACGACCCCATCAACAAGATCATCCAGAAACTCGGCGGCCGCATCAACTACGACCTGCTCGCCGACACCGTACGTGCTATCGACGAGGAGTTGGCCGCCACTCACAACCCTGGCGGTATCCTCGTCTTTTTACCAGGCGTCGCCGAGATCAACCGCGCCTGCAGCATCCTCCGTTCACCCTCCTCCTCATCTCTCCACGTCCTCCCCGTCCACGCCTCACTCGAAACCCGCGAACAGCGCAAAGTCTTCGCTCCGGCCCCCCCAGGCCGCCGCAAAGTCGTCGTAGCCACCAACGTCGCCGAAACCTCCATCACCATCGACGACATCGTCGCCGTGCTCGACACCGGCCGCGTCAAAGAAACCTCCTTCGACCCAGCCAACAACATGCGCAAGCTCGAAGAAACCTGGGCTTCCCTGGCCGCCTGCAAACAACGCCGCGGTCGTGCCGGCCGTGTCCAAGCAGGCACCTGCTACAAACTCTACACCCGCCACCTCGAACAATCCCAAATGCAAGCCCGCCCGGAACCTGAAATCCGCCGCGTGCCTCTCGAACAACTCTGTCTCGCCGTTCGCGCTATGGGTATCCGCGATGTTGCGTCGTTCCTCGCGCGGGCTCCCACCCCGCCTGAGGCTACAGCCGTCGAGGGAGCTGTCTCCTTACTCCGCCGCATGGGCGCCCTCGACGGCGACGAGTTAACCGCTCTCGGTCGCCAACTGGCCATGATCCCCGCGGACCTGCGCTGCGGCAAACTAATGGTCTACGGCGCTATCTTTGGGTGTTTACCCGAGTGCGTCACCATCGCGGCTATTCTCAGCACCAAGAGCCCGTTTGTCTCGCCGGCAGACAAAAGAGACGAAGCCAAGCAAGCCAAGATGCGGTTTGCACGGGGCGGGGCCGTGGGAGAAGGGGATTTGTTGACGGATTTAAGGGCAGTCCAGGAATGGGATGCGATGATGGCTGATCGCGGGGTGCAGCAACGACACGTGCGACAGTGGTGCGAGGAGAACTTCTTGTCCTTCCCCACGCTATCCGATATCTCCTCCACACGCACACAGTACTACACCGCTCTCTCCGAGATGGGCATTTCCCCCTCTGCCTCTCCCTCCTCTCAACCGTCTCCCTCTTCTCAACCATCACCCTCACAAGCATCCCCCCCCCTCCTCCGCGCCCTAACAGCCTCCGCCTTCGCCCCACAACTCTGCCGCATCCAATTCCCCGAGCAGAAATTCGCTACCTCGGTCTCGGGCACAGTGGCATTGGACCCAGAAGCCAAGACGATCAAGTATTTTGCGCAGGACCATGGACGCGTGTTCGTGCACCCGTCGAGTACGCTTTTTGATAGCCAGGGGTTTGGCGCGGGGAATGTGGCGTTTGTGTCGTATTTTACGTTGATGGCTACGAGTAAGGTTTTTGTGAGGGATTTGACGCGTGAGTTTCTTTCTCCTATCTTACTTACCCTACGTGTTATACATACCATACCGTACCATACCATACACCCCCTATTTACCTTACACACCCCTTTTCTCAGCCCCCACCATGCTACCATACTACCATGCCGGGGTACTAACACAGAGTAGCATTCAACGCCTACACCCTCCTCCTCTTCACAGGCCCCATAACCCTCGACACAGCCGGCCGCGGTCTTCTCGTCGACGGCTGGCTGCGGCTGCGCGGCTGGGCCCGTATTGGTGTTTTAGTCTCGCGTTTGAGAGGGGTTATTGATCGGTTGATTGCACGGCGGGTTGAGGGGACTACTGCTGCTGGTGCTGGGGGAGACGGGAAGGAAGGGAGTGGGGAGGAGGTGATTAGGTTGGTGACGAGGTTGGTGGAGTTGGATGGGTTGGATGCGTAGGAGGGACTTGGTTACCCAGATAATTGGGGGTGAAACAAGATGCATTAGATGGAAGGGGTTTAGGTGGGGGGAAGATGGTGGAGATAGAGGATTCTTTCACTAGGTTGAACAGAACGGGCTGTGGTGCATACATATGTAGAAGGCATGGGATACAAAAGGCGAACCTCATGATGAGATGGGTAGAATACACAGAACGTGGAAGAATTTGGCTCGCTTCAACATCCAAATGCACCCGACAAAGGTCTACACAACAACTTCTCTGCTTCAACCGGAAACATCAGCTCGAACTACCGCGACAACCACTGATACAACCACCGGCGGATGACATCACAAATACACTCATATACTCATACGCTCAGATACAGTCACGACAGCCACACACTCATACAGTGACAACACACTTATGCACTCAGTCATCTGCAAACGTATACAATCAAAACACGTCGTCGTTCGTGGCTCAATAGGTCTGCAGAAGAGAGAGAGAGAGAGAGAGAGAGAGAGAGAGAGAGAGAGAGAGAGAGAGAGAG